GGAAGGGTATGTGAAGATAGTTTACTAGTGGACTACCCTGCCTGGCTAAGGAAGGACGCCGTATGAAAATTCGAGAGTTGCCAAATTTCCCTTGATAAAATGTGTATTTTCGACGCAATTTAAGCATATTTTTCCTTGAAATTTTCTGATATTTTAGATTAAGTTGCGTACAAAATCGTCTGCAAATTTTGGAGGAAAATGTTTATGATTTTCCAAGTAAATTCGGTTTTTATCGAGGGAAATTCGGCAACGTCTGAAGGCTCATACGGCGTTCTTCCTTAGCACGGCAGTGCCCCCTGTTGCAGAGTTGCCATGAGTTCCAACTTCCGAAACAGAGTCAAGAGCACTGTAGAAATTGGTAATTTTATGTTCCCGTATCTTACTCTATGATACAAAAGCATAAAAGAAACGCGTTTAAATCATCACGCATGAGCGCGAAGCGCCACGGCAGGTTGGTTGGTTGGTTCGCGAAGCTGTCAGAGGGTGAACACCTAGTTGGGAATAAGCTGATCTTGTTGTCAACTTTGACTTGGCTGAATGAAATTGGCTCATTTTTCTTTGAAATTTTAAAATTTAAGCGGAAATTTTGAAACACCGTGATAGAAATCTCTGGTTTTGCATTTCAGCCATCGATATGTTTATCCTTTTTACTCTCATTGATTTTATTTGTCTCTAAATGACTCCAAAATAACTCTAAAGTACTTTAACTGCTTTAGGTCGACTTATCTTCGACTGTTTCAACTTAGCTTCGGCACAGAGACATAATATTATCTTCATTCCTTATTTCAAAAAATGTAATCCACAGCTTACAACTTAAAAATTGTAATACGTTAATTTAGTTTGAATTCCATGCCACTCTTTGAAAAGCCGTTATTCATTTATACCTGTGGGTGCCAGGGGTACCTGTTTGGATAGTGGAAATTACGTACTGGATTTGCGTGAAGCTTGCGCGAAAATTCAAGGTGGCCCGGAAAAAATGTACGAGATAAGATACTTGTTGATAAAATTGATGGGCAGACTAATTAATGAATAGGTGAGAAAAGTCTTCCAAAAAGAGAAGATGACAGTGCGGCGGATCTCTCTTCTAGTAACTTTATTTCTCCCTCCATAAAATGCAAATTAGTGTTGACACTCTGAATAATTTTTAGCGGGTGGCCGGTATGTATTTGTGTTTTTCTCTCTTCCCTTTTTGTTCAAAAACTTTAACACACCCCTGTGCACAGACTTACGTAGAAAAATTCTATATATTCCCAGCGATGTAACTTGTTGAGAACATGTTTCGCCGAGACGTTTTCCGAGAATGTTTTATGGTTTTGAAAAATATTAGATTTGAAAATTGTATGAACTATCACCTCTTAACTTTCAACGATCAACTTTCTAGTCGTAAATTAGTGCCATACAGCAAAAAAAATTTAAATCTCAATTTTTTTCATTTTATTACACTTTAATAGGTTTGCTGTGAGAACAAGTTTCTATATTGACTTCTTTTTTCTTTTTTTGATAAGAATCAAGTTCTGGAAATTCCTATTTACCATAAAGTGCTACCGTCGCGTCATGCTCGTAAATCCATGACAGCTGTAAAGAAAAATTTTTAAAGAAGGAAAAAAAGAAATAGAATAGTTGAACTTATACTTCACAGTCAGACTTTACACGTTAATTTAAACCAATTTTTGAAATTGTTGAATACTTCACGAGAAAGCAAGAGCCCCTAATGAGACGATTGCAGTCAAGTGGCTGCGCATAATCCATACTCCAATGTAATTATTATATACCTATCTCGTATATTTATTATGCGCGGAATCAACCAGTGAATACAAAACACACGATTAAAAAAGTATAGCAAGAGTGTCATGGTTTCGTCTCACTAAAATAAATGGTCGGCAGAAAGTTTGTAAAGTTGTAAACCAAGATAAGCGTCTTTCGATATGTTTGCATTCATCGTCAATTCAAAATACGCATTTAAACAGGAGCCTTTTTTCCCAACATTTTCACGCACTATTTTTCATGTTGAAAAAATAAAGAATGTAGCATTTTGCACAAAGTCAATAACCCCCTTTCCTTAATAAACTAGATACGGCAGGAAACTAGGAAACCAGGAAAGCCGCAAACAGAGGAACTTATTCTGCCTTGCTAAGGAAAAACGCCGTATGAACATTCGAATGATGCCAAATTTAGTTTCAGAAAAGATTTAATTTCGGAGAAAATTATGAAAATTTGTCCTTGCAATTTTGAGACTTTTTAGATCAAATTACGAACAAAATCCTCTATAAAATTGGAAGAAAAATATTAACAAATTTCCCCGAAAATCCATGATTAGTCGAAGGAGATTTGGCAATGCTTAAAAGCTCATACGGCGTTTATCCTTGGCATGGCAGTATTCCTCAAATTAAAAGTACACTAATTAAAATTTAACCGGAAACCGCGGATGCACCGTGCGTTTTCATTGAATTTACGCTGTTCTCGGAAAAACAGGAAAGCGGAGCGCTCTACGATCGAGAGGAATAAATCATCGAAGCCTGGATACATAGTAGCAGCGAAATGTCGAAGGTTTCCCTAACGAGCTGCATTAGAAGAAAATTCTTTCGTCTAAGAAGAATGCACTTAGTGCACAAATCCGATTCCTGATTTTGTTTTCAAACCCCCTCCCCGCCGCCCGAGGCGAGCGACCAGCTACACTGTTGGTCACAATCAGGAGTTTATTGCTCTGGTAACAATGGCGGATCATCGACTATCGATCTTTTCCCATTTGAAGCTACGACGAAGAATCGATTGTTAAAGTATACCCTGATAATCGATATTTTCCATGCGTTTAAACGGCAGATAAATCGATTCATCGCGAACCACGACTCGGGTAATTATTCTGCGGGTTGTCGCTGTAAATTAGAATATCCCTTGTATTGCTCGGATGTTGTCTGCGAGTCGCGTGGAGGAGGGGTCGGTGCCTGCTCTACCGTGCTAAGGAAGAAAGCCGTATGAGCCCTCAGGCGTTGCCAAATTTCCTTTGATAAAACACGAATTTCCTGGTAAACTTATAAATATTTTCCTTCCAATTTTTCAGATAATTTTGTTCGCAATTTTACCTGAAGTTCCTGAAAATTTCAAGGAAAAATATTCATATCTTTCCTCAAAAATAAACATTTTATTGAAGGAAATTTGGCAACTCTCGAATGTTCATACGGCGTTCTTCCTTAGCACGGCAGTGCTGATGCATCGCATTGGTTTTGTCCGTGGCTATCGGATCGGTAGTCATTGAAAATGTCGCAAAAATGTCTCGGCTCCGAGAGGATTTTTTTTCTCGTTTATATGTAAACAAGAGTTTTTTTCCCTACGCAAGTGATGTCGTCTCGATTGAGCTATCTTGTTTGGAGTCGACGTCACCTGTCATCGTGACATAAACAATTGCCATCAGATCGTATTCTCGTTATTTTATTGCGGTTCCTGAAAAAAATTGAATTATTATTTTGCTTAATTGCGTTTCAAGTGAATTCTGTAATTAATCATACTGAAATTGTTAAATAAGGTGCTGTCCGAAGATACGCGGTCAGCGTGGTTCCCCCTTATTTTCTTTTTTCTCCTTCTTTCTCCTTTTCTTTTTTATATTTTATTTTATCTTCCTTCTGTTTTATCTATTTTTCATTTTACTTAGCGACCAAGTGGCAATTTTGTAATATTGAGATGAAAAAAAACCCCTTTAAAATCACACCATTCTGTATTATTTGTTAGATAGATATATGTATTGAAGATTAAAATTTGATGAAGGATTATCTGTAAAGACGTTAATAGCCTGAGACGTTAATTCCTGTCTCTATTCCCTCTCTCATTCCATTTGTCCCTGGTAAAAATTGGCATTAGAATGTGTGTTTCAAAATACTATAGACCTAAAGCCGGCTGTAAGATTTCCAATAGCTTCTGTAGCCGGCTGTACAATTTCTTATAGCCTTTTATAGCCGATGGCGATTGAGCAACAGCCAGACGATAAAGTTTATGCTGAACGTTACTAAATACGGATACTAGGACTTAGTTAGTTTTTGGACTACCGCTCTCTTTATGTGCCGTAGTATCTTGATTTATTTTGCGAGGAGAGCTCCGTACTTTTGAAGGATGCCTGTTATTCTTAATATGTTGGAGCGCCTTCAATTTCTTATGATACTGTGCAATACCTCTGGTGCGAAATGGTTGCTTCAGACACCGTGGCACGCTGCGGCGCGGCGGGCGGGCAGAGAGCGCGAAACGCGCATTGGCGCCTACAAACCTAACAGGGAAACTTCACGCATTGCGCAATGCGTGAAGTATCCCTGTTAGGTTTGTAGGCGCCAATGCGTCGCCGCTCCGCTTTGTGTTAGGCTCTAATATTTAATCTCGCGGAGTCTGCGTTTTTCAACTAATGATTTTGAAATGTTTGCACACTCTGTATGGACCATCTTATTTTAATTGATGAAAAAACAATATGTTTTAAAGGAAAATATAATGCGTGTTTTGTAAATATTAAGGTAGTTCCGTATCAAACTTAATGATTTCCAAAGCACGCGAATTTCTACACAATTTCTTATAGCCTGTTATAGCCAATGGCGATAAAGTGTAAAGCCCTGCGATAGGAACTATAGCCCGACTGCATACTTTTTTATAGCTTTGTAAAGCCCGGCCATATGATTTGCTCCACTTTCTACAGCCAGCTATATGATTTTCAATAGCCTTCTTTAGTCGGCTATAAGAACTCCTATGGTATTTTGAAACGCAGCTCGTATCGCCAATTTTTACCAGGGGTTCCTTGCCGCATCCCCAATTCCCCGGTCCATTCCAGTTCATAATACTTGCAATTGGTGAAAATGTAATCTTTATTTCAGTTTGTGATACTGTGAAGGCCTAAAATACGGGAACCAATCAGAAATAGATTCGCATTGTCTTTACTCTCAGTATACAGGGACTCTACCTTAAAGTATTCACGCAGATTTAGAGACATAATACCGATAAAATCCCATTATTTTTTTTTTTCAGATGTAAGATGTGGTGGCACTTGTTCCTGTTAGCACTTATACCTTATTCATTATGTCACACAAGACAACGATCTCACTACGTTGGATCTCGCCCAGCCTTCAGAAGGGATTTAGTTGAGTGGAATCCTTGGCAAGCCTATGATGCCCAATATTTTAATTTAGCGAAATCGAGGAGGCCGCATTATGGGGCTGATCTCCTTCCCCTGCGGTCTGCCGTAGAAAAAAAACCGCCGCCCAGTGAAAGGTAAGCTATTGATTAGTGACAGTAAATGAGGGACTCGGAGGACAAGGCGCATAAGTGCAGTTTTTGACAAAATTGAGATATTAATGATGTCAAGTAAAACCAGTCTGAATGCATATGCTGTGAAAAATTCGCTCCCAAATTCAAATGTTTAAGCATCCTAAAGTCACTTTGAACTTTCTTTTCGCCATTAGGATCCATGTAATTTTGAAACTTCAAACATGCATTTCTCGAAATAACAAAAACTTCACTTATTCGCCTTGTCCTCCAAGCCCCTCAAATATAAACTACTAAAGAAAGCTAAAACATTGAGAAATAATCCGAAATGTTCAAGGAATGGTTACAATTCACTTATCAGGTAGAAAGTGATGATTGAGATTCAAAATAAAGCGCGTAAGGTACTCTGATGTATTTTGGTACATATCCCCCCCTTTTTTTTCCCCCGATGGCATACAATCCAAGCGGGTGGGCACAGTACTAATCCCACAAGTCATTCGATTCAGACGTAGACATTGTAAGAAATTCGTAAAGAATTCTGAGAGTGCAGAGAGGAATTTTAAACTCTCACGTAGCGCCTGCAATCCTCAGGTACGCAACTGGATCAACGACGCATGGCTGTTAAAGATTAAAGCTGAATAGAGAAAAATATAAGAGGCTGAGAGTGGATCCTGAACTTATCGACTTAATTGTTGACAGTCGACAAATAGGATATTTTTATCAATTTTTTATCATCTACAGTGAATGAATACGGTTCACAAAAAAAAATCTTCTGATTTTCAGTTTTTCATGCTACTTTCTTTCTAATGTACACCGGGATGTATCATATCAATTTTTAAAAATAACCTAATCTAATCATATAAAATAATTAAATTAGCGCTTGAGCTGAGTCATTTCTAAAGTAGTATTTTTGAAATGGACTGGCTAAATGGCTATAAATTCTAGGTGTTGTTGTCCCAGAAGATGCTGAACTAATCCACCGATGCAATACCAACAAGTTATGTCTTTTTTTTATTTGTATTTTTTCAATAGTTTTACTCTACATCCCATTCTTCCGATCAGGCGTCAATTCTTAGTGAAATTTGTCGTACTTAAGTCGGAAACTTCGACTTTAAACATCATCCCCCCCTCACCCTAGGGTTGGGGGGGGGGGGTTCAGGACTATGAAATTCGGACTCTTCGGGGTCGATTTCATGACCAACCCCGCGGTCCCTGACTTCGGACGACCTAAAACAACCCAGAAAAAAACCTGGTGCAGATGGTCTAAAACACCCCGCATATTCAAGTTATCTTCCCCACATATGAGCAAGTCCTTTTCATTACTTTATGGGTCATGCGCCATCTCAATACAGCTAGTAGTTCGATTAATTCATCGGATTAATGCAGCACTAATGTCCCCCGAAGATAACATTAGTTGTGCAGCATACAAATCATTCCGTCCGCAACGTATTGCCGATTTCTGGGGTGCGCTCAACGAGTGGACTCCCCGCTTATTTGAAAATTGGCGCGTCAATTTGTATATTCTGCCGCGCGCGCCCCTGAAATTGGCGGGAACCAATAGGATTGATTGTTTCGGCTCGTTTACATTTTGATAACAAGTGGTAAACAAACCTAAAAACGTGGTTTCTGGTTTTTCATCTTCTCCAAAAGTGTCGTGAATAAGTCCAATAAATATAATGTTGTTCGAGATTCTTGATTATTTGAAGCGGTTTTTATTTGCCGATCTCAACCACATCCCTTCAAAGAATATTCAATTCGTCGTTCTCCTGTTCAATCTCCACAAATAAACATGTCAAGGTGGTCTCAAAGTATCTGTAAGCTCTCACTAAGTACCTAACTCTAATAATTTACTTATTTTTTCCTTCTCGCAGTTTCACTAGCACTGTACTGTTCGAAATTATTGAGGCTCTCCAATTCCAGGAAACCACAAACCTCTCACTTTGGTTCATTTATCAATTCATCTTCTATTTATCACCAGGGATTTACTTGTCATCTTGTGGTCTACCTACCTAAATACTTACGTACTTACTCCAAATGTATTTTATCGTCAACGTCTCACTGGCTTTTACTCTGAGTCACCTGAAAGAGGGTTTTCAAAGCTGAGGGATAAAACACCTTTCGCCTAGAAGTAAGATTATGGAAGGTCTCAGTCAAATTCAGAGCCTAACCTATTGAGTACCTAGTGTCTACTCCCAAGTAGCATTTCTCAACGGCAAAATCGCTACATATTGCGATTTTATCGGCGATAAAATTGCCAGGAACATCAACATCTGAGCAATTATCCGCGATTAAATCGCGCTTTTATCGCCCGAAAATTTATCGCAACATTTTTGAAATAAAAATTGTGATAAATGACGATTTAATCTCGATTTTATCTACAAAAATTGATCACCATTTTATCGAACAAAAAATTGCGATTTAATCGCCTTATATCGCGATCTTTAATGAGATAATATCTCGATATATTGCTACCGATATAATTGCGATAATCAACCGATAAAATTTGCTATTATCGCGATCACTGCTACTTGGGCTGGGGCTGGCCAAAGTTTGATTTTCCCACGATGATCATGCCTTAAAAACGGTTGATTTCATGCCTCTGGTGTTGCAGATTCATACGGATTCCTCAAGGATTGATAACAGGATGATAAATTTTCCAGTGTTTTTAAGTGGCTCTGAATTTTGCATCTGAAAAAAGTAATGGATTCTTTGCTCACATACCTACCTAAGTCAAACTATGGCCCTACCACCCACTAATTTTCTCTAAACTTTGTAGTCAACCAAACTATGATTTTTCTTCTGACTTAACTTCTATTTCAATTTTGCTTATTGTTTCAGAGGTCCAAATGATAACTTTCTACGGGATGCAGTCGAAAAAGTACCTCACCCACCGATTGACCGATACTCCGGGTCTTTTTCGGGTAATTCATCAAGCTTTCATTTTCTATTCTTCAACAAAACACCATAATATGTATTTTTACCCACAAAGTAGATACTGATGATTACTCTATTCCACTTTACGCACTTATTCATCAGACTTTTAATTTAAGGAAGGCCTGTCAGTACAGGTGTCATATATCATAAATTTTATTGCCAGGTAGGTACTGGAACAAATGGTTTGATCAAATGTGATCGTGAGTCTGAATATTCTTGTAGTGCTCCTAAAAGCTTGAAGATTGCTCACAAGACCTGCACTTATCTTGGGTAATTTTAGAGCAATTTGACATTTGGAAACAGGTTTTCCAAAAAAAAAAAAAATTAAATGTTTTATATCATGTGACAACCCTTATAAAAAAAAAAAAAACTATTTCAGTTGAAAATTTATGCTTTACCAATGTATGTCTGGAAGTATTTTCTACTTTTAATGAGCTGCTTAGCTTAATTTGTTAGGTCTGAAGTGACCATATTTTTTGCTTCTAGGTACTCCATTTCTTGTAATTCAAAAAGTGATACTTTTTTTATGTTTTCCCCAGATATTCCGTCAGATGCATATCTATCAAAACAAACAATTGAAAGTAAGTATGCTATCAATTTCAAACCAAATTGTTTTTCTTGCCAGTGTTATATCGCAATTTTCATTTCTATGAGTGGGCTCCTATTACCTGGGTTCATTACCTGGGCTCCTATGGTTTTTTTTTTGGCAAGGTTTATATCGTCTCATCGTTGAATCACAATTTGGTCCTTAGCACAAGGACCCTTTCACTGCCTCTTTTCCGTTGTATTTTTATGACCTAATCTTCATTGAAATTCTATTTTTATCAAGAAGGTGACAGTACATTTTTTTTCATACGTAGTTCTTGATGTAAAACCAATCCATAGAAACAGAGGCTAAGAGCAGAGAAATTGAAAGGTTTGTTTCCGAGATATTTGAGTTGGTACAGTTTTTAACTTGAACACCTCTAGTTATGAGGCCTGTTAAAAATTTAAGGGGGTGCTTTTCTCTCATTCCCTCTTTCTTTTAATGTTTGTAACATTTTCAGAAAACTACCTCCATCTGTATTAAAATTCCTGAATTCTTTTCTCTCATTCGCAGGTGACCCATACCGAGTGGTCTGCTACTTTACCAACTGGTCAGGCTACAGGAAAAGCGAGGGAAAATATGTTCCCGAAAACTTAGATCCAAGTCTCTGCACTCATGTTGTTTTTGCATTTGCATCGCTGGACCCCAATGATCTCAAAATTGTCCCTGGGGATCCAATTGCAGATGTTGATAACCGTAAGGAATTTTTAATGCTAGAAAGAGTTTATCTCATTCATTTTATTGTAGCATTGATTTATTATCTTTCAGCCCAGCAGACTTCATAAGATTTTGAAAACTGCTATATGTTGATTTTTTTTTTAAAGTCTAACATTACGACAAAACTCTCTGGAAAATAGCTCTTCACCTCTTCAAAAACTGTCCCCACCACACAATCGGCAAATTCTTTTCTTCTTTTTCAAGCCATGTTGAAACTCAGTTGAAAATTACGTCAAAGAATTGGGGGAAAAAAATATGAATACCTCGTAAGGGAGTCCTCTTAATGACCAACATTTTAGCTTATCATTGTATGAAGAAGAGGCTAAAATGAACAAATCTGTTCCCCTTCTCATATAAATGCCCCGGTAGGTTCTTTTGTTGTTCCAGGAAACATTTCTTCATTTATATGTTTCCCTCAATTTACTCTCATTTTATCAAATGTAACTTTATGATTGGAGTATCATGTGTTACAAAATTGTCATTTATTGATAATTAATTTTTATCATTCGCTTTTTTCCTTTTCCTAGCCAGATATCCATTGTTGTAAAATGGTTGTAAAGCAGAAGTATGACTCCAGCAATCAGCTCATTTTTACCATTATTCAGTGCTACGAAATATTAATCATCTCATGATTTTAAAGTTATTTCTATGAGGTCTGAATCAATGGAAGCACTTTCTGTCTAATTCCTTGCTTATTATTGAGATTTCTTTTCATGTGCTTGTTTTATGTCAAATGTTCCATAAATGCTTATTAGATCTCTTCGAGCGCATCACATCTTTTTCTCAAACATCACCAAACCTGAAGATTCTCCTTGCTCTTGGTGGATGGACTGATTCCACGGGTGATAAATATTCTAAACTAGTCAGTAATCCAGAAGCTCGCCGTAAGTAAGTTTCTTTCCTTGCTCTTTTTAAATTGACGCCCCTATCCTAAAGAAATTATCAGTTACAACTTTCAAGTGTATTCTTTGCCCTTGTGTAATACTTTTGTGTGTATCCACCTTGTTTAAGAAATGAATTCTTACCTTATCATAAAGCCCTCAGCCAGAATTTCCTGGTGTTATACTAAAGCTTCTTTGAAAATCTTATCGCACGAGTGTGTGCTGTTTAGTTTTTTTTTTTTTAAAGTAACAGAACAAACAAACAATATACTATAGAGTTAGTTTATGAGATTGTAAAACATATTTGGTCACTAACCCTGTGGAACTGAAAGCTCAATGGACGTATTTAAATAAAAAAAAAAAATTATCTCCATTGAGACCTGAGTTCTGAGACCTATAAGAATACATCGATGGCAGGATACATGTCACAATGGAGATAGTTCTCCAAATGGCCAGTGCGTAAAAGTATCCATTCCTCAAGTATTCTTCAACCCCTGAAGCCAAATGTCATTAAAAGTAACGTGGTTGTATGCTTTCTGAAAGGTCTAATAAGGAAATAATATCATTTTTTTAAATGAAAGAATGTTTGCACCTGTAATAAAAATATTTAAATTTTGAATCGTTTTAAATTGAGCCATCAGACATGTACCTACTGGTTACAAAAATTCTGCGCATTTTTTATAAGCCACGTGTTTTTACTAAGAATACTCATCTGTTTACACCACAAAAAGTTTCATTATCACTCAAAAACAAAGAAATCAAAATCTTCAGTCTCACTTTAAAGAAGAGTAACAATCTTTAATAAACAAACAAAAATCACTTTTAATGTGTGACTTTTACAAGCGTCTCAACTTCTCAGCAATCTTGAAATTTAAAATTCTTAACTCTACGTCATTAACTCTTTTGAATTTCTCTCCAGTTTTGTTTCATCAACCGTTGAATTCCTTAAAAAATACAATTTTCATGGTTTACATTTGGACTGGAACTATCCTGTATGTTGGCAAGCTGACTGCACGTCAGGTCCCTTATCAGATAGAACAAATTTTGTACAGCTTATTCAGGTTAGTATCTCTCATTATTATCTATCAAGTTACAGAGTCCTTCCAGTAAAAACTAGCGATGAAGAAATTCATTAATGCGCAAAAAAAAACCATTCTTTTATAGAAAAGGTTTACATCAGCTCTATTGTAGTATACAATTTTATTTGCATTTGTGTCTTGTTGTGTTGTCTCTCTGCGGAAAAGAGAATAATTCTGCCTCAGCATTAATCCTATTTTCTTCTTACTCAGGAACTTAGAACAGATTTTGAAAAACAGCAGCCACCATTGAGTCTAGCTATTGCTGTATCAGGCTACAAGGAAATAATCAAAGCTGGATATGATTTCCGAGCTTTAAATGAAGCGGTCGACTTTTTTTCGATCATGTCCTTCGACTACCATGGAGCATGGGAAGCTGTTACCGGCCACGTCAGTCCTCTAAGCTACAGACAAGGAGACCGATTTTCTCTGTACAATGTGGTAGGATTTTTTATCTGGTCAAAAATTTATATATTAATTTATCAAAAGCACTTTTGCTAAACGTCATAATTCTTGCATACAGCTAGTCACCAGAATTCCTCCGAACTCTAGAGACTGTTTATTAATACAGCTCAATCTATGAAACTGTCCTCTTGTCATAACTCAGTATGAAAAATGAAAATATTGATGATAGAATCCTAAAAAATTTCTTTTCCTCTATTTTTAGCTATTTTTCCTGCATAATGTTTTCCGTAATATAGAAACCAAGATTATTCCGTCATTTTTACCACTTTCAAAATCACTTTCACTAGCTCAGTTGACATCTCAAGCAGCAGGTTTTTAAAAAAAATAGAAATTTGATAGGGATAAACTGCAATGAAATAGCTTTTTAATATTTAAACATTGGACTTGTTTAACATATGTTGTGTCTGTCAGAACATAATCCCATCCGTAGTATGCGGTATGCCTGGAACATGCATGTTAAAAACCTTTGTTGCTAATAAACGTGAATAGGCTATAGGTTTCTAATGAAATACAAGCCACTTAGCAGAGAGAGAGAGAGAGAAAAAAAAAAAGATAACTCATAATATTGTAAGGAGAACTATCTCTTTTTTGATCTTCCTTTAATTAAGTACAGCGCAAGAAGAACATTTTTTATCACAAGCTTTGCAAATGTGCTTTGATATTTTATTTTCATACAATTGATGAGAATTATTTTCTTTCTTCGAATGAGTTTGATTGCTTAGAGACCTACCAAGAATGAAAATTGAGAGTATCTAATACAGTTGATGAAAACATAGAAATAACTTGCTATTGTTAATGCTTAATCTATATTGATTTTCAGGAGGCAACAACGGCACTTCTCATCGAAAATGGAATGGCTCCTGGCAAACTTGTTCTTGGGGTCCCATTCTACGGCCAAAGTTTCACTCTTGAGTCCCCTGATTACCATGGAATAAATTGTTCCGCCACAGGTGCAGGTCTGCCTGGTGAATTCACTCAACAGCCAGGAATGCTTTCTTACTATGAAATTTGCTACCGAGGTAAATTTTACTTCAATACTCAGGTTACATCTGATTAATTATCAACGATCAATAAATTTATTTTCAATTAAAGGTCTAAGATACCTCTCTAAAAATAGTTCTTCTCATAATGACATTGTGAAGGAAAATAGTGGCTTTGAATGTACTTAGTATTCCTTCAGTATTTTTATATTTTTACCACTATTTAAAGTATTTGAGGGAAAACCAGAAAATAACTTCCAAAATTTGTTATGCATTAAATCATAATTAATACCTCTTAATATCACGAACTGACGCCGGCATTCAGTCTATTTTCACTGTGCAAATAAGAGTTACAGGAGATTTTGGAAGAAACTGTGAATTGATGATTATTTGACCCCGCTGACTCAATTATGCTCCTCTGATACGTCTACTGGAAATGGTGAGAGTAGCTCTTCTAGGATGCATCATATACTGATAGTGAACGTGTAAAAATGCATATCTCGGTTGCGGTGTTTCAAAATTGCCGCTGTTATCTTATTATTTCAAAAAGAGACCAAACGAACATCATAACTTGAAATTTTTACAGAATATCCATCACATAGAAAAAAAAATGACGGGAGTTCTCAAGAAATAATGTCCAGTGGTTCTCCTTGCAAAAAACGAAATATGACAGGAAGTTTGCAACACCGTAAACCGAGATAAACATTTCTGCGGTAACGTAAAAAGTCTCAATCTTCTGTTTGAAATTTCTAGCAATTTTTTAAAATTTGTGGGTGTTTGTTTACATTTTTGGTGATTATTCAATCAAAAGGTTGAATTTTCTCTGTTCTCTTTACTTTTCAAGTGCAATGGACTAATTTATTTGATTTTAGTGCAGAAACGCCAATGGGCAGTCGAACGTGATGGAACTGATACGTATGCCTATGCTGGTGATCAATGGGTTAGCTTTGATGATCCTGCAGCAGTACAAGTGAAGGTTGGATGATTTACCTTTTTTTTTTAATTTTTGAACAGAAAATGAAACTTTATGCCAAATGCATTTAATTTTAAACGGAAAGTATCTTCAGAGAACATACGAAATTTTGTTTGTACGGGAAGGGTCTCTTTTACGAGCTGAGAAAACTCTAATTCATCTTAAATTTGTATTGAAAAAGCTGTTTGATACCGATTTATTGTAAACAGGAACCTTTCATATCAGCAACTGTGGACACTACTCTTAACAAATTGCTTATATTGAACATAAAACAAGGCTCAAAAACAAGAAAAATACATTTAATTATGATTGGAATCTCTAAAAATTAGAAAACTCAAAATTTCCTCATATTAATTATTTTGGCTGAACGTCGTTTTGGAGGACCTGCTGCCCTCCTTCTTCAGCGTTGATAGTGGGACTAAAATTAAGTGGCGTGATAAAAATTAGGTGGACCCTCCGACCTAACATTCAGCCAAAATGCTAGATGTTAGAAAAGTTCGAGTTTTTTTTTGTTAATTTTTAATATTTCTAATCAGGGGAACCATTTCAGGTTATTATAGGATCAGGCAAAATGTGATATGGGCCAGGGATTTAGAGCTGAGGTTTGAGGGAGCATCATAAACGGAGCCGCATCGGCGCGCGAGGCGGAGGCCCGGCGCGGACTTTCATGCCGCTTCGATCAGTGCGCCGGGGGAGCGCATATGCCGTTGAGGCGGCTTCACCTGGTGAATCCGACTCCCGGCTCCTTTTCTGATGCTGCATCAGTTTTGATGCTGAGTCCAGCATCAAAATTAGCGGCTTCAATTAGCAGACGCGTCGGACGCCAGCGCCCCGGCGTGGGCCACCGCGCTAATGGGAAACGTAAACAAAGGGGTGTTCCGCGAATTCATCGCCGAGTCCGAGGGTCGCGGTCTTCTGGGACAGCCCCGTCGGTAATTAAGCTGGGTGGCGGGTCCGAAAATTGAGGCCGTATCGGGCCGCAAGCCGACGGTCCGGCCTCAGAGGCTGAGGCCCATGTTGGTCCCTGAGCCAGCATCAAACCTCAGCATCAGCGCTTGAGGCTGGCTCGGTCGGCTCTCCAGCATCGGGCTTCAATGCCCGAAGCCGGCGGCCGGCAGGTTGAGCGCATCAGGCTCGGAGCCGTATGCCCGAACGGCCGCTACCTGGGCATACGGCATTGATGCTGAAGCTACGAGTCGATGCTGTACAGCATAACCTCATGAGGCGCCTCAAATGCCTGATATGGGCCCTTTTTTTGCTAAGCTTCCCCCCCCCCCCTCAAATGGCGCCCCTGTTTCCGATCGTAATCAAGACCAATCCACACAGGTCAGTCATTCCCGAGGACGAGTTTTAGAACTTTACTGCGCAGTGACCTAGTATTGAGTGCCTGCAATGTATTTCTTATGGGAGCACCCATTGTGACGTAGCATTGAGTTCTGCGAGTTAGGGCCGGGCGGGGGAGTGGATTTCAAAAAAGCTGCGCAATGACTGACCTGTGTGGGTTGGTCTTGATCTTAATTAAACTGTTTATATTCAGAGTTAAATTGACTGCATTAGAAATCTGATGTGTGCGCACCAAAGTTACATGCTTGATGCCGTGGCACTTAATCAATTCGTTGAGATTTTTCTTTTAAACCCGTCCATGAACATTTACATTGAACTGTTCACCTACATTTACATCCCATCTTACAGGCCGATTTTGTAACTAAATTTGGCTTGGGCGGAATCATGGCTTGGACTGTAGACTTGGATGATTTTTCTAATCGCTGCTGCAGTGAGACGTATCCTTTATTAAAGAGCATAAATCGTGCATTTGGTCGATTGAAGGCACCACTAATCCCCTCTTGCAGTAGACCTCCTCCTCCTGTCACCCCACCACCAGCCATCACGACTGTTACACCAGATGAAGGTTCGTTTTGAGTATAATTATTTTATGTAATACCTCGCCACAAAGTAGGTGTTCCAATTTGTATTAAAAATTTTACATTTAAGTTTTAAAATTTGATTAATGATGCTGAACTTTCCATAGCCCAAATTTGTTTAACTTCTCTCAGCTTGTGCGGTTAATATTCAGGTGATTTTCAAATGTTCAAAATGTTTCAATTTAGAAAAAATAAATGCAAAATATTATAGGACCCAATTTTTTTTTTTTTTTTTTTTTTTTTTTTTTTTTTAATGTTAATAATTTACAATGCCATCCTTAAAACTTGACGACTTGGTTCCAGGTCTTGGTTCCTCAACGACAGAGCATCACCATCATCCATCTCCTCCAGATCCCTGGTGGACCACCACAGAAGTAGCAACCACCACGACAACAAAGCCAGTGACCTGGTGGACGCAGCCCACAACGCAGAAACCCACCACCACAACGCAACAAATCTGGTGGAAACCAGAATCTACCACAACTACAACAACACAGAAACCATCTACAACCACCGAGTTTGTCTGGTGGCGACCAGATCCCACAACATCAACAACAACAACCTCCCCCTCCACCACCACCACTACCACTACTTTAACAACCACTACACAAAAATCGACAACCACTGAACCAGTGTGGTGGAAACCGGATTCAACCACCGGATCAACATCTACAACAGAGTTTTCATGGTGGCCTCCAAGACCTCCGTCCCCCACAGTAACCAACAAACCAACTACTAGTCAACCAACAACGGTTCAGCAACCAACCTACAGACCAACAACCACTCAGCAACCAACCTACAGACCGACAACCACTCAGCAACCAACTTACAAACCAACCTCTCCTAAACCAACTCCTCCCTCTGAACCGGTCACTGCTTGCACACCGGGTCAATTCTACGCTGACCCTATCGACTGCAATAGTTATTACCACTGTGTGCGTGGTGGTCTGAAGAAACTGCGCTGTCCATCTAGTCTTCATTGGAATGATGCTCAGAAGACCTGTGATTGGCCAGCTAACGCCAATTGTCAAGCCGGTAAATTTTCGCCTTTGCCTTACTTTTTACTCTTCACATTTCTCCTGGCCTTGTCAGATTGAGAATTCTCTGTTTTTTTAAATTCATTTATCTGTAAGTTCGGACTGTTGTGAAAATCAGTCATACTGGCAACAATGATACATCCACCGCATCAAGGTCATCTGTTTCTCTCTGTCTGAGATTTGATTTGATATTTTTAAGTCTATTATTAATTATAAATTAAAATTAATTAAATTAATTGACCAGAATCAGCCACACTAAATCAGGCATTACCTACTTTTCTTTAATGTTTTGTTTTTCAAACAAAAAAGTAAGTATCTATAAATTTCAAGATTTTCAAACTCATTTGAACATCAATTTTCATGTTGTGAAGAATGCATTTTGAGGGCTCTTTTGTCGCAGTTGATCGCTGAGAATAAGCAGAGTCTCTCAAATGCGTCCATCTTATCTTAAATATTAATGTGGTAATGAGTCAGAAAATCTTTATTTTCAAATTTACTTACTCTTGTGCAGTACTTCAAAAAAGTGTTTCTCTGTGAAAGTAAGCAACACTAAGACTCAACATTTTGTGAGCATATTCTTTAAAATCCAGGGGAAATTAACAAGAAATTATTTTTGAGTATGGCAATAATTCAATTTTGACATTCCTCCTCCTCCAAACAAAATTCTATTTTTTCTAGCTTGATTAATTTTGTTTGCAAAATATTTGTCATCAATTATTAAAAAGAAGAAACAAATTTATTTCAAATTTCTTAGTTGTCAATTTTAAGCTTGAATGCTTGAATGTTTAGCTTAAATATTTGGTCATTAGCTCTTCTCTTGTTTTCTTTTTTCCTCTCTTTCTAACCCACAAAGAAAATAAATACCATTTTCAGGCATTTATGGCATAATTCATAATTAGGCATAAGGCATAATTTCATGCGGTTCCCAATTTTTCTCCAAGTAGGTATCCCTCTCTCTATTTTTTTAAATTTGAATGTCCATGTCCTAATAAACTCTTGTCTTGTTTCAGCATGTTCTGGGGATTACTCTTTTGCATTTTGGAAGTGAAATCGTTCTTTTTCATACCTTTTTGTCCTGTCAGGTGTATTTTTCTATGTATACATTTTTGTTTCAGCTTCTTTCAGTTATTTTAGGATTCCTGATTTTTTAGAGTTTTCCTTTCACTCATTTCCCATTGCTGGAAGTCTGTATTTAAATGGGATTTATGTTAAAACGTCATCAATTCTAAAAAATTTTAAGTGTAAAATTGAGCTCTAACTGCACTCTCCTCAGCTACTTCTGCTTTGCAACCATTTTATTCATCATTTAAGGTTTTATCTTTCATTTTATAAGTATAATCGTTTGTTTTGTATGTTTTAATAACTCCTCTTCTTGCAGCCTTTTGACTTTGGGGTTTTTCCCAGATACCTCTCATAGATTCTCAAACTGGCAAGGTTGGACGAAAGTTTAAGATTGTAGTTTTTGGATCAGTGAATGTATATCAACTTGAAAATATTTAGCAAAAGGAATTTGCGAACCAAAGATTCCTGTAATTACAGAGGCCAGATTTTTTTGAAAGAATCATTAGGGGCATTTATCCACAGCAATAACTTTTGATCCATTATCCTAGTTTTAAAAAGATTATATTTAAGAGGAGGGAACCAGCTCAGTTACGGTGTTTTCATAATTTTATGTCTTCATATTAATTTTAAAAAATGCCTAGAACAGCAAATAGGTTTTGTATTTCTACCAAAAGATGATTAACTATAAGGGAAAACTATCATGAAAATTTTATTGATAAGTATGCATTTAGTATTTTTTAAGGCAAAAAACAGATTGTTGGCTTTTGAAAACATTGTAATAGAACTGGTTCCCTTCTATTAAATGCGATCCAAAAAATCTCATGTTCTGGATTTCATTGTGTTTGATAAGGAACTTAAATGGATGATCATCAGCAAATTCTAACCAACCAGAAATGAATGATGTATATTTTGGTTTAATTGAAGCTTCCAATGAAGACAACGAAGGTAATGAGTGATTGAATAGTGCCACTTTGACCTTGCTTGCTCTCAAAATAAGGTTTGTAGTTACCCCTATGAGTTGGGTGCTGCAACAGGCATGTACTTACTGAGTAATATTTCATACTATTTTCATTGCGTCACACAATGCTTTTAGGGTGCATCATCATTTTATTTTCAAGTTCAGTTTTGGAAGCAAGAAGAAAATACATCAATAACTTAACTTATCAAAGGAGAACTTTAATGCTCCACAATATTTGCCATTCTGTGATTCTATTAGGTTACAATCTGCTGAAGGTTATCTTCAAAAACATTTGTCTTGCACTTTTCCAATTATGATATAGCTCAATAGTTACTATCTTCTTCATCATATTAATTCAACACAACCTCTGTGAAGGAGAGATAATCATGAGAATTTTGTAATCTGTGTTTCAGGTTTGGTTGAAAGTATTCCAGCGCCAGCGCCTGTTGTACCTGAGCGCCCAGTTGAACTTGCACCCCCTGCTCCCCCAGCTCCTCCTCAATACACTGAAGCGCCACCACAAAGACCCACCGAAGTAAGCACAAAGTCTAGTACTCCTCTTTGCGCCTGAGTTTATAAAACTTACTATTTTGCTCAGGGGCATTCTCACAAATACGTATTTCATTCAATAAAAAAAAAGAGGACAAGCCATTTCCTTTAAAATTAAGAAGAAGGAACCAGCGCGGCAATGGTTGCCAAGAAGATTACAGATACTTCAGGGAAATGCTGTCGCAACTTATACGGCCATAAGTAACGTTGCAGGAACTTTTCTGCAAAGCTGCAACCTTTCAGAAACCATAGCTGGGTAGAAGAAGTCTCAATAGAAACCATTGACCTTATATTATGGGACTTCCAGATACTTGGGTATTTATTCTTTAGTTAAAATAATATGCTGTTTTTCTGTGACTTTTTCCCTAATGAGCCTTCTCTGCTTTTTTCTACCTCTCTAAATTAAAAAAAAAAAATCCCTTTTATAAAACAAGGATTAAATGTGAAGGGTTTGGCAAATCTCCATACTCAAGTAATATTTAAGTTAATTATCAACCTCTACTTGGCTCCTCTAATGGAATTGCCAAAAACCGGCCCCTGCGTCGGTGTGTAGTTTGTATGTAAGTGCTTTTACAAAGTTTTGCCCCCTGTAACTTTAATGAGAAAGCATATATTGTAATGCTTGACTTCACGCCCTATCCGGTACTTGATTTATTTTCAAGGTATTGCCTTTTTTTCAGTTTTGTCACAAGATTGGTAATTTCAAAACGTATGCTTACAATCTAATTTTCTTTGAAAGAAAAAAGTTTGATTTGATTAGAGTCCTGGTCAAAGATCTGCGTATGATTCGTTAATTTGTTCATTGTTGATTTGTTCCTACATATCTTACATCAGTCAATATACTAATTAGATTTCTTTCTCCTCTGATTATTTGAGCTTACCTTGAATCCAAATTATGAAAAATACACTTTGAATTAATTAATTTTGCATTTTAAGATGATTGACTTCCTTATTTCAGCCTCCTTACTCCCCACCGGCGCCCCCTAGTTCTGGCTGCACCTCTGATGGTTACTATTCACACCCTGAAGATTGCAATAGCTTTTACATCTGCGCAAGTGGCAAATTGATGCACCATCGATGTCCAAGTGGTTTAGCGTGGAACAGTGAAAAGAAAGTTTGCGATTGGAGTTATAACGTCAAATGTTTGCAGAGAACTCCATATGTTGCTAAGCCTTACTCATTGAATCCCAGCGCTAATCCAACATATTTTATCAGTAAGGATTTTTCACTAATTTTGACTTGCTATTTCCTCTATTTAGAGCCAGAAAGAGAAGAGCATAAATTACAGAAACATGTCTCATAAAAAATTACAATCTAATGGATTTGCAAAATTTTTTGATGATTCTCTTCATGGTGTAAATCCACTGGATTTTGGCAAAGAAAATTTTAATTGATTATATGATTCTTTTTAAGAATATGCCCGATTGAGGGGTTTTATGCAGTTGAAAGCTTTACAAAACCTTGGACCTGACTTCAAGTTTGCGAAATTTCATCTTTTTTACTTTAAAATAGCTACATGTTTTGTAATTTCTATAGTTGAAATTTATGAGACTTAAAGTGAATGAGCAGTGTCAAAGGATGGTTCAATTTTAATGTTAATGTTTTTGTATCTTTATTTTAGATTACCTCGGCCGCTATGGTGCATGCACTGAAAATTTTGCTCCACATCCCACCGATTGTAACAAATACCTTGTGTGTCTGTGGGGTCAGTACCAAGAACAAAGTTGCCCAGCAGGCTTGCATTGGAATTATGTAAGTGCTGCACCTAGACTTTACTTATCCTAGAAATTATCCGTTTACTTTTTGAACTTTCACCTAAAAAATCCTCTATTTCAAGTTTTAATTATGTTTTAAATGAAAGCTTCAGATTATGTTTAAATGAAGAAGGATAAAAAATGGACCAGCTCTCTCTCTCTCAGATTGGTTGTTACCGATTTTGGTCTATGCGTTGAGTTAAGGCAAATATCCCTGGAGTCAGCGGAACAAAAAACACTTTTGAAACCACTCACTTCTGGCTGGAAAAATGAATATTCTAGTTGTTGATATAACTTCGTAGGAAAATCGAATGGGTCATTTTTAAATGACTGACCAGACTGAAATATGAGAAAAGATCAGTAATTTTCCATTCACACCTCTCTTAAGTTGATTCCATGCATTTTATGTTTTCAATAAATTTGTATCGCATTACATTACATATCATTATCTCTTTTAGTATGATAGCCTGTAAAATCATTCATTAATTCATGAATGTTATTACAGAGAACGAAAAACTGCGACTGGCCATACCTCAATGTGTGCGCAACGGGTGGAAACGAAATTATCTCCAGCACTTACTATCCTACCACCAGCTATCCCACAACCCCATCAACCACTCAATGGACATGGACTGAAGGGACAACCTCCAAACCTCCATCGACAACAAAGCCACCCTGGGAGTGGAAGCCAGAAACTACAACCGAGGGATGGAAACCCCCCTCGACAACAAAGCCACCCTGGGAGTGGAAGCCAGAAACTACAACCGAGGGATGGAAACCCCCGTCCACAGCTGTTACAACTACCAAACCATCTACCACCACCGAGTGGCAATGGAAGCCAGAACAAACCACATCCTGGGTTTGGAGGCCAGCTACTCCTGCGTGGACAGAAGCCCCAGATCTAGCCCCAGCTCTATCAGGTATGATTCATCTTTTTAGCAAAGGGCACCTGACATTCTACGAACTAAATCACTTTTTCACAAGTTTTCTCCTTAAAAATTTATGTAGGAAATGGACCACTAGACAAGGTACGAGTTAAAGGATTCTGATATATGTTTCTTTACCAAAATTTCACGTAGAACAAGACTTGCGCAATGAAAATTACTGAAACCAACTCTCAACGAAGATATTAACGTTTTTATTTCACATCGGTTACGAGGCATTTGAACTGCCCGCTCACAAGAAACTCAAAGCTCTACGTGAGTCAAATCGCGCACTACACAACGGTTTCGGCAATCATCTCTATCGATCAATGTTCATTTCCCACCATGTGTTGTTCAAACTATAAGGAATTTGCTATAGCTGAGCCAAAGCGTCAAGATTGAGGTTGCCAGATTTTTATATCGCAGAGACTGCAATGATAAACGTTTAGGGCGCGATGTGAATCACGTAGAGCATTGAGTTTTCATGAGCGGGTGGTTTAAATTCACGCATCAAGAATCATTAAATATCTTTCTAAGGAGTTGATTGCGGTAATTTTTGTTGTGTGCATCGTGTTCTAAGTGAAATTTTAGTTACGAAACATGTATCAGAATTCGTACCTTGTCTAGTGGTCCATTATTCACCCAACGGCAAGCTTAGAAATCAACTTGAAAGAAGATATAAGCATTAATAATCAATACATTAGTGTCTTGGCAAAATTATGAATGATACTTCTTGAACGATTTGTGTTCCATCGTAGAAGTGAAAAGTCTATATTTATAAATGTCTTGCCTAGAAGTTGATCCTCAAACTCCCTGCGATATGAATAGCGTTCTCTGTAAACTCTATCTTGTATAGTGCCCATTACCATGCTACTTTGATTAATAGTGTTTTTTTTTTACAATTTTTTTTTTCTAAAAGAAGCCTGATAAAACTTGGCACTAACAGTTTGGGGAAGGGGGAATGAATCGCCTCAAGCATGACTCAAAAATTCTAGCATCACCCGATTTCGTATTTCATACAAGACTACGCAATCAAAATAATGCACTCTGATGACTTTTGACTTATGTTTAAAAACATCCATGAGCATTTGCGACGGCACTTTCCCTCCCTTATCAATCACTCAACCAAAAAACCAGCCACCTCCTCTTGTACATCAATTTCATTAGACCACCAGGGTTTTTATTTAAATATGTCCCCCAATAATAAATCATTATCTCACCAATTGGCTATCGAAGCTTTCCGGCAAGCACACAAGATCAATCTTAACCGATGAATGCATTGTTTATGCGCATCTCTCGTTTCACTTGATTCTTCTTTCTCAACTTCAGGTTACTTCAAAGTGGTTTGTTACTTCACCAATTGGGCCTGGTACCGACAAGGTTACGGGAAATATCTTCCAGAGGACATCAATTACAAACTTTGCACACATATTGTTTACGGGTTCGCTGTTTTGGATGGTGAAAACTACATCATTAAACCTCATGATTCCTGGGCTGATGAAGAAAATCGTAAGTATGCACTAATATCTCAGTGTATCTCGTCCAAGTATTCACTTCCTGGCATCAGTTTTTTTAGATGTAGGATAGAAATTGTGTATTTTATAGCCGTGAATTCAGATTGAGTGAACTTTTATACTTTCAGCTTTATTTCAAGGTTTAATACATGGATTTTATGGAATCAGTTGAAATGTGTCTTAAGACGTAGTTGATCCGATTTTTGCCAAAAATGCAAAGTTAGACCACTATTTTGGCAAAATGTATTCAATATCTGGATGATTGCTCTACAGATTCACCTCATCAACAATTAATCCACGTTATTGATTCAAAATTTCTGAAAAAACTTCTAAAATTGATATATGTAATACTCAGCTTGTTTCCATCATTAGAATCCCCGCCAAAGATCTCCTGAAGTCATTTTTGCTTTTTTATTATAGAATTCTACGAACGTGTGACAAAAGCTAAAAAGCACGGAACCAAAGTAACAATCGCCATCGGAGGATGGAATGACTCAGCCGGTGACAAGTACAGTAGGCTTGTTAATAATCCAAGTGCAAGAAGAAGATTCATTTCTCATGTTGTAGACTTCATTTTGAAGCATAACTTTGATGGATTGGATCTAGACTGGGAGTATCCAAAATGTTGGCAGGTATGAATTTATCACTCCATTTGATATTATTTTCTTTGCTTCAAAGGTTAGCCTTGAGACGTTGCTTTCAGCTGAATTTGACTAATTATTTTTCACAAAATTCTCAATTTTCCAATTTAGAACTTTGAATGATACTTTGCATAGGAAGGTCAAATTATTAATCCTCAAATTTACTCACGATCAGTTGCAGTCAGACAATTCTGACAGCATTTGTGTTTGATTCAAATTTATATTCAAAAGTCATGGTCTTTAATCTCTTTTTTGACTTTTATCTTTTATTTTTATTTTTAATGTTGGTATTTATCTCTTTTGTTCGGCAAAAGGTGGATTGCAACAAAGGGCCAAGTTCAGATAAAGAAAACTTTGCTGCGTTTGTTCGTGAATTGAGGCAAGCTTTTGCTCCTAAAGGTCTTCTTCTCTCAGCTGCCGTTTCGCCAAGCAAGAAAGTTATTGATGAAGGTATGCTCAAATTGTTGATCAAGCTTCTTTATTGTGAAATTGATCAATTTCCAAAGTTTACAACTGATTAATTTCATGTACTTTCCTTGTCTTTGAGAATATTTATGTCCGAAATATTTCCCTGTACAATTCTCCAACTCAATCAAAATCATTCATCCTTCAATGGGCCTGTTGCAAACTTTTGCTAGAGTAAAAGTAAGAGTTGTTTCTTCTAGATAATGCCTCAAAAATCACGATGAGCGCATCGGCAAAGTCTGAAATGCACTCATAACTTCACAGTCTGCGTAAGAAATTTGCGGTTTTTTGAGCTTCCCGCTTTAAAAGCGATACTACGGCACAGGTGAACATTTTGTAAGAGGAGTCGTTCCATCGTCGGCAATACTCATCATGGCCGACGCCAATCCGCTAAAACACGTGTGATGGGACGAGATAATACCTGAACTGGATTAGACCAGATAACAATCGGCGTGTTTTAACGTTCATGTTTTCCACGCCCGAATTGATTGACCTTGAACTCTCCTCGAATTACACGCAGAACTGCGCGCAAGCGTCGGTCATGATGAACATCGCCGACGATGGAGCGACTCCTCTAACAAAATGTTCACCTGTGCCGTAGTATCGTTTTTGAAGCGGGAAGCTTAAAAAAACGCAAATTTCTTACGCAGATTGTGAAGTTATGAGTGCATTTCAGACTTTGCCGATGCGCTAATCGTAATTATTGAGGCATTATCTATAAGAAACAACTCTTATTTTTGCTCTAGCAAAAGTTTGCAACAGGCCCATTTTAAATGTTCTGTCATTTTGTTCGTCCATCCTGTTCAAAAATTAGGGTTTTTTTTTATTTTCTCAATAGCTTGCACATGAAAGGTCATACCTAAATCTTCATTTTTAATATTTACCAATCTTAAAAATTCGAAGCATGTTTAATGAATGAGTGTAATTTAAATTTAATACCATAATGTAGATCAAATATTCATGACTGTATGTATTTGCCAATTTTTCTCGCCAGGTTACGATGTACGGGCTCTTGCTGAAAACTTGGATTGGTTAGCTGTCATGTCTTATGATTACCATGGCCAATGGGACAAAAAAACCGGCCACAATTCTCCCTTCTATTATCACCCTGAGGATGATTACGCTGACTTTAACACTGTAAGTTTTTTGTGAAAAACCTTGAATTATAAGAGTTTCAGCTATTTTGCCAAATCCCTTCAAAATAACAAAAATTTTAAACAAGTTGAAAGTTCCGCTGGCAATTGTACCAGAGAGCAGCTCTGACAACTGTTGTAAAATACTGGTGAGGACAAAGGACAATTTAGCAAGATGTAAGTAGGTATAACATTGAAGAAGAGGATGAAACATAATATAAGCAAATTCAAGGACTCTTCGCATATCTTTTAAATCTGAGGCATTTGTGGATTTGAATTTTTTAAGAACAAAATAAAGAAGTGTATCCATAGGTATAATAGCTCGAAAGAGCAGTGTAGAATCATGTGACGAGCTGAATGTGAGATCATGTGAAGAGGAGCTAATTAAATATGCCTGCAAAAAAATGGATTTTGAATCTAAAGAATTGTTACTTAGGTTCTTAAAATTCCATCAGAACAAAATTAGAACAATAACTGGCTTTGAATAAAGGTAGAAAAAAGAGGAGAAAAATATCAGCTAAATGACCACGATTTCAGAAATACACAAATTAAGATCACATTCACTCTTTGTAAGAAGAATAATCAAAGATGAAAACTTTTTTCCCTCAAAAATGAGGGAATGATGGCATTATCTGCTGGGTTTTGTATGGGTGCTTCAATCAGTAATAAACCATTACTAAGGTTTCTAGCTCTGAACAATCGAATTAGCGTCACTTATGAGAGCCTGTTACTAAAACACAGAAATGAATGATAGTAAAAAATGAAAAACTGACAAAAAGAAGAAACCAAATAGGTAAAAAAACCCAACAAAAGTATTATTATTTATTTTGATCCTTTACAATTCATGTTAGTTTTGCCCAAAAATCGGGCTGGCTTGAGCAAAAATTGTTTGGCCTCCTTGACATACAGTCAAAATATATTTTTTATTCATCCTAGCTATCTGCTTACTATACTCTCTAAAACTATTTAATGTTTACAAAGCTTCACTCCAAATTTATATGACTAATGTGAAACTACATTTGTTTGCTTTGATTCCTCAGGATTACTCCATCAATTACTGGATCAAGCAAGGAATGCCACGCAGGAAGATTGTGATGGGTATGCCATTCTATGGTCAATCATTCACTTTGGCAGATCCAAACAAACATGGCCTCAATGCCCCAGCAACTGGACCGGGTGAAGCTGGTGAACAGACACGTGCAGCTGGTTTCTTGGCCTATTATGAAGTGAGTCATGTATTATAGAAGTATTAGTCTATTCACTAGTATCTAGATTTTATATAGTTTAATGAGTATGATACTGAAAGCTATACTCACAAGTCTTCATTCATTTTTTTCTGTTTAGTAATATTATCAAGAAATAAAAATAAAAAGTAATCAAGAAAAAATGAAAATTTAAATATAAAATTAACTATAAATTTAACATTTATCTTCCAATATGGCAAACCAAAATCATGGGAACACTTGTCTCTCAAAAAATCCATTTTTAGTTTTCAAAATGAAATTTGATTTTTTTTCCAGATTTGTCAACATTTGAAATCAGGCCAGTGGAATGAAGTGATAGATCCTGAGCGACGCATTGGTCCTTATATTTACAAAGGAAATCAATGGATAGGCTTTGATGATGCCACACAAATTAAACGTAAAGTAAGTTATTGTATTAATCAGTGTACAAACCCTCCAATATTGATGCTGACAGTAATACATTTTTGTAGAGTATTGCAGTGTAACTAAATAGGTCAAAAACTTGATCCTCATTCCAAAATACATATTCTCATGGTATTTCAGTGAGGTATACCTTGTTCATGGCTAAGTGCAGTTGTACCTCGTTATAATATTTTCAAAGGAGAATTAAAAGCGGAATGCTGTTTTTAAAAAAATATTATTTTAAGATCCACTGTTAGTCAAAATTTAAGTTGTATAAAGAACTGAATTAATTCATAAATTTTTTTTCACCTTGAAGTCGCATGACTCAGAGCATATCATCCTGTTTGTATATTTTTTGCAGATAATACCATATTTTCTATTCAATCTTTATTCATTATAATCATTTTAGTAATTTATTTAAACAATTCAAATGCTACTTTATATTTTTTTATTATGCACAATTAATTTTCCAGCGATTTGAATTTTTGAAGCATTCTGTCACTCAAAATGATCATTGTTTTCTTCTACTTCATCGTTAGAGTGATTAATTCATTGGTTGATTTATTTCAGTCGCAATACATCAGGGAAATGAATCTTGGTGGTGCTATGATTTGGGCTTTGGATTTAGATGACTTTAAGAACCGTTGCGGTGAAGGTCGTCACCCTCTCCTCACAACTATTGCCAAAGTTTTGGCCCCTCCACCAGGTATGTTTAATTAGTTATTTAATCCAACTCATAAAATCATTGCGTTTAAATTCTACCACTAAGCTTTTTTTGTAGGAATAAGGCATAATAGAGTTTGCTAACATGATACTTATCATCTCATTCAAAAAAATAGCCAACAAACAAGTCTTTTGATGTTGCGTACGAATCTTTTTTACATCTCTCTTTTAATTTTTCACTGTAAGTTCCCTTCAGAGTAGCAGCCACTAATAATTTGTTTCATTTTGCAGGTTCCGGTGGGGATGTTGACTACGTAACACCAAGTTACGAATCTACAACTACCACAAGACCAACGACCCTGAAACCAATCACCACAACTACTACCAAGAAACCTAAACCTACCTACAAACCTCCTGATTACGAGATACCGACGAGGCCAGATTATGAAAATCCATACAGACCAACAACAACTAAGCCCACAACCACGCGACCCCCATATGAGATAACGACCTCATTGAAACCAACAACTACCACATCTTATTACCCACCTGCTCTTAAGAGTGAATTTAAGGTCATTTGTTACTTCACCAACTGGGCATGGTACAGGTGTGTATTGTCACTCTGAGTTTGAAAATCTTATCTCATCTTATTATTAATCTTCATTTTATTGTTAATCGAATCTTAAAATCTTATCATCAAAATTTTATCTCTTTGGCACCCACAAGTTTTAACTCTTTCTACGACATCATTCCACTTCTTCTCTCTGCCAAATCATACTTTAAGATGACCTTTTGCCAAAACCACTTCGATAGCAAGAATGAAGCAGTCAGAATTCTTTTTAACAACTTTTGCAAATATAGGCAAGAATTATTCATCTGAAACAATTTGTCAATGCTCTCTTTATTTTACCCTCTTCTGAGTCTAAAACATACAATTGATATAAATATATTAAAATTGAATGTTTGATCTCCGTCTTAACATGTAACAAAATTCTTTTCCATAAAATTTAGTCCCTCTCTCTTTATTCAGTAAGAACATCATTATAAGTCAATGAAATCAATATAAAATGCCTTCCCATCCTTGCTTCACAGAGAATGATACAAGCAAACTGGTTCTGGTTTCTAACCAGAGTCCCATCCTTGCAAACTCTTGTAGGTGGTGTCTCTACAACTGAAGGTTTTGTGATTTTCTAAAAAAAAAAAAAAACTGATATCACATTAAAAGGGTCAAATAATATAAAAAAATGAAGCCTTATAGTGTACATATTCTTCTCTCCTTTGATTTTCTTTTTCTTTTTTATATTTCAGGCAGGGACCCGGAAAATACTTGCCCAGTGATATTGATTCAGATTTGTGCACGCATATCATCTATGGTTTTGCTGTCCTTGACAGTGACCAGTTAGTAATAAAACCTCATGATACCTGGGCCGATTACGATAACAGTAAGAATTTTCGATACTCTTTTTTAATTGTTAGTATTCTTAAATTTACCATCAAGAAATTTAATGCTTTATTTTAGCTTTAAACAAGGACGGAGGAATTCTTGTATGCAATGAAGAGTATCACTTCTGTACCTTAATCTTGACTAGGTAGCATACCCCTAACGGAGACTAATCTCCAAACTTCCATCAGCGATGGTAGTTAGGCTACCAACTTTGGCTTGTGTTACAAATTGGGATCTTTGTATCGTACATTTTTTTTTAGAATTTTTTTCTAAATTAACAAATTCTTTCATTTAGAACATGTGTTTATGTGCACTAAAAGTAAAAAAGTAGAGGCATAATGGATTCTCAACTGAAGTATGATAAATGAAATTCCTGTCGCAAGAATGATTAGAACCCCCCTCAATATTTCAGAATTTTACGAAAAAGTAACAGCCCTGAAAAAAGCTGGAGTCAAAGTGCTACTTGCTATTGGAGGATGGAATGATTCCGCCGGAGATAAATACAGTCGACTGGTGAACAATGCCGGTGCTCGAACAAGATTCGTGGAGCATGTCTTCAATTTCCTCAAAACTAACAACTTCGATGGTCTTGATTTAGATTGGGAATATCCGAAATGTTGGCAGGTAATAATCATTGAAAATTATTCATTGAAATCATCAATCATTGAAAATAAAATCATCGAAAAAAGTTCCTTACGTATGTATTTTCCTCTCCAAAATATGCATGCAATCGCTACATATCTACTAAAAGAGGTATGAAGGAGACTGCAGGATAATTGTTTTTTAGAACACGGAAAAGTGCCCATCTATAATTTCTGATAGTCGTCAAGGATGGAATTTAAGTCATTCGTTAGCGTGTTTAAGTAATTATCTGATGAAATTAAGGTTTGTATTGCTACAATCAGCTATCAGTTTTTGATACATCTGGCACAAATATGTTTGTGAGCCAATTGGAAATTATCAACATGTTTAATTCTCAAAAATATTATCTAAACATTTATGAAATCAACCAAAAAAAAAAGAAGACAAAAACATTAAAAATTACATTAATAGAGATAATGACCAGTCTAAGTTCAGAATGTAAATCTTTCTCCTTTTTTTCTGCACTGGAAGTATTTCCAACATTTGGATTGATTCTCTATTTTAGGTGAACTGCCAACAAGGACCACCCTCAGACAAAGAAGGATTTTCAGCACTAATTCAGGAGTTAAGCGCAAAATTCAAACCTGAGGGATTCCTACTCAGTGCGGCAGTCTCTCCCAGCAAAACTGTCATTGATAATGGTTTGTCTCTTATTTTGGTTCATTCTTTTGCGTGATTGTATTCTTTCAAAACTTTCGTAAACTCAATTCTCTCGATAGATTTGACCCTAGCAACGTTCTTTCAGTAGCTGCTGGGGCTCCTGTCATTTATCCTTGCTCATTGATTTACACCTTCTAATATTTTCTTTATCATTGAGAATCATTTCTTTTTTTCATACTTTCTTTTCTGTTCCCCAACAAATATATTAATAAAATAGTTGATCTTAAATAAAATTTGGTGTTTTCTTTGTAATAGGATATGATGTTCCAGTGATGTCTGAAAAATTGGACTGGATCTCTGTCATGACCTACGATTACCATGGTCAGTGGGATAAACAAACTGGTCATGTTGCCCCCATGTACGCTCATCCTGAAGACGAGGATGTAACTTTCAACGCAGTACGTTTTGTGAACAAATTTCAATAGCTTTTAAATAATTATTGTTTTTTGTGAAATACTCAGGAGTTAGGTCTCTTCATTCTCATTTTAATTTTATATTTATTTTATGTTTTTTATCTTACTGAGATATAAGAGGACAGACTGCTCTTGTGATCAGAAAATGAGAATTTTTTCCGGATTTCTTACAAATCTTTTTTTTTTTTTTCAATTAAACTTTGTAGTTTACGTTTCCTGCATTTTACTGTTTTTTCATTAAATATCAGAATAAATTATTTCATAGAATTCCTTCGGCAGATTGCGCTATGAGAAGAATAGATTAATTTGCATTAATCATTAATCAATTAAAATACAGTGATAATGAGCTTTCTTCAACCATTTAACTCTTTGATGTGTCAATCTTAAAGCATTCAGTTTTAAGGGTACGTCGCAAAAAAAAAAAAAAAAAAAAAAAAAAAAAAAAAAAAAAATGTGTCCATGGATCATGAGTTCAGTTATTGTTTTTTTCTGTAGTACCTGGCTTTCCCACATAGTATTCTACTATGGCATACCACATATATACTTTTTATTAATACTCTATTTCCTCTTCTATTCTTGCTCTTTCATGTATATTCTATTTCACTTCACAGAATTGGACAATGCACTACTGGGTGAAAAAAGGAGCAGCCCGAGAAAAGTTGGTGTTGGGAATGCCTATGTATGGGCAGTCATTCAGTTTAGCCGACAGGACACAAAATGGGCTGAACTCTCCAACATATGGAGGTGGAGAGGCAGGAGAAGAAACTCGCGCAAGAGGTTTCCTGTCTTATTATGAGGTGAGTTCGAAGCTCCAATGGTGAAACATGAGCTCTTCTTTGCTTTTTGCATCCATACTTAATCAAGAATTTTCAAAAATGGTTTCTAAAAAGGATTTATGCTTAAAATATGTAAATCTGAGTTTTGGATTTTTACTCCCGCTCATGACACAGATTCACACCCATCAAAAAAATTTTGAAAGGTCTCATCCTACCCCCTCCTCTCATGTTAACACTTGTTAATGAATTTTGGCTGAAAAATTGCCATCTGATGATGATTTTCATCACAGATTTTTGAAAAATTGAGTATCCATTCTGGCGATATGTAACACAGTCCTGCCACACCTCCCCCTCTTTGTAAAACAGACTACCCCTTTTCCCATGGTGAGTTACATATTTTATGAACATACACGTACATTATGCATGATGCGTATGCACTCACAACACTATGCTCATATCTTGTAACAGTAATGCCTCGAGCTTCTGAATAGTATTCACATAGTTTCATCAATACGATCACATTGTCATGCTGCAGGTTCCTCTAATTTGATATAATGTTATCATCGGTAAGCTTTTTCCTATTCCTGAGTCATTTGTCGATTACTATATGCGTATTTTCATGTTTAAATTACTTCTCATTATATGTATACTTTCTAGAAGATCCATGGTGATTAATATCTCAAATTAATAGCAAAAGAAAACCAAAAAATATGAAGTTTATTTGGAAATTTTTGCAAAATATCATCGCTCAAATGTAACTATCTGTAAACCGCTCATTTTTCCACAGATTTGTCAAAGGATTAAAAATGGATGGAAGGTGATAAGAGATGAATATGGTGCAATGGGTCCATATGCTATTTATGGCGATCAATGGGTGTCTTTTGATGATCAAGCAATGATCAGACATAAGTCAGAATTTGTTTACCACAACAAACTTGGAGGAGCTATGATTTGGGCACTTGATCTGGATGATTTCCGGTAATTGATACGTACCAATTGCTTATAATATCATTTATTTCCTATAGAATATTTATTGAAAATAAAAAGTCATTTCGTCATATCGATGGTGTAACTCTGCAATCATATATCTCGTTTGCAGTGTCTGAAAATCACCACCTTCATGTTATTTTTTCAAAGGAGAACAAATTGACATCATTCCTTGAAGTTTATGCAGAATTTTCTTTGCACAGTAAAAAAAATCACGGCAGTGTTCAAGAATTGCCGTTGAGTAGTATTCCGTTTAGAAAGGTAACCTACACTAGTTCCGTAGGTAAGTGTCATTAAAATGCAAGGTGTAATAAATGCCGAACTCTTTGTTTCAATACTTAAGCTTTCAGATATATTTCCTGCTTTTTTTTGATACTACCTGATGAAATGCTTAAAATATTGTCAAGTGGGAAAAATTAGAGTGTTTTGGATCTTGATTTTTTAGCAACATTGTTAAAACTCTGTAAGTAAATCTCTATTCTTTAATCACGGAAATCTATTTTCCAACATTACACCATACAGCTAATATTCATCTCCTCTCATTGCCATGTTTCATTCTCTTCATAAGTCCTATTGAAATTTATTTGCAGCAATCTGTGTGGATGTGAAAAGTATCCATTACTACGCACCATCAACCGAGTGCTGAGAAACTATCCAGGCCCCGGGCCAAATTGTAAACTTGATGCAGCAGCCGCAAGTCTTCGAATGAACCCTAATTTCTTCTCAAACCTCTATAATCCTGTTGTTCCCACCACTGCCCTGTCACAAATTCAATGTGCATCAGCTGTCAAGCATTTCTCTGACTGCAGTAAATACTACGAATGCAAGTTTGGACGATTATGGGAGGCGACCTGTCCGAAAGGATACTATTTCAATGAGGTAATATTTGACGGTTATTGAAGTATTATTTCAGGTTTTTTATGATGTATTATATTGTTTAAAAAAAAGTAAAAAATGGAAAAGATCTGTATGAAGGTTTCCATGGACTCGCCTGAGGTGTTATGAGGTTTTGAATTGTTTCAACGCTTCCTTACAGAGGTTTCCAGTACGTAATTTTATTTGGTATTCACCCTTTCGAGGCAATATCCCCCCAAGGATAGATTGTTTGATACCTTGAAACAGTGAACTACCTAGGACTGATTAAACTTTGAATATTTTACAGTGAAGCACAAGCAGTGCAATACTTTTTAACAGTAGTGTATATCGTTAGCTTCTGCCCAAAGTATCATACGCACTATTTACGTTCATACGCTATGTCGCCGGACATCTCTTCCACATATTTCACAATAATCAGTCCACTAAGTAGATCTTGAAGACCACTGACCGTTTGTTGGAATGAAATGGAATTAATTAGAGGTTCAAATAATTCAAACAAAATTAATCACATACCTAATCTTGCTTTATTAAATTTTTCAGAGAAGTCTAATTTGTGATAAAGCAGAGCGGACAACTTGTTCCACTAATCTCAGTGCTGATTACGCAACTGGTAAGTTTCTTTAGACTGTTCATAAAGCGCTAATTTTACAAAAATCAATATTCTCCTCAACTTCTGTACATTTCAAGAGAGGAGAAAATGATGAAATTTTATTTAAGAGTCATCTTCTAATATTTACTCTTGAGCAGCTTGATATTTTTATTTTTGACTCAATTTGAAACTCCATGCAGATTTTAATATTTCTCTTCGAATGCATTCTTATCTTTCGGCAAATAATTTACATATCAGCAAAATTATTCATGTATTTATTTATTTTTCTCTTTGGCAGATGATCAGCGCAAAGTTATTTGTTACTTCACAAATTGGGCATGGTACCGCAAAGGAACTGGAAAATATCTACCTCAAGATATTGACCCAGAATTGTGTTCTCATATTATCTATGGTTTTGCAAGCTTAGACCCAAATACTCTGACAATTAGAGCTCAAAATAAGTGGGCTGACATCAATAATGGTATGTAGTGTCATCATTTTTCTGTTCGCTGGCGATAAAACCACCATTTTTTTTATCCATTTTCACATCTATAGTCTTCTCTTTGAGAAATTGTAAATGGCAAAGAGATAGCTTATTGTATTAAAACGCAAAGAATCAGACATAGTAATGACATTTCTGATCATTTGACGTTAGAATCTTTAACGGATTATTTAACGTAAATTTTACATCGTAATTCAGAATTTTCTAATTTTGCCTACCACTTCTTTTTGTTTTTATCTTTGTATTATTTTCAACCAAAGGAAAATTTAAGAAAAATTTATTGATTAAATACTCGCTGGTAACTGTTAGCTCACATTTCGTCGATTTCCAGACAAATTAATATAACTCCATTTTAGGGTTGCCAAAATGACTCAAGCATTCCAATCTTTTACAACAATCTAACTAGGGAATTCATGTCCAAAATTTTGCCAATTTTTGTGTATGTTCAATTAAATAATCTGTGAAATGTTTTTGAAATATTGAAAGATTTTTCCAGTTAAAATACGATTTGTGAATAGGATTTTAGCAACGTTGAAATCTAGTTGCATTTTATCATCCGAGAACAATGAATGTCTAAAAAATGGGAGGAAAAAGTTTTGAGACTTCGTCAGACCAAACTTGGTAGAAACTGTTCTTGAAAATTTCTACCAGGTAAATCGAGATCATGTCCATGATTATTTTTTGTTTTATTGCAGAGTTCTACTCCAAAGTAACTGCTCAAAAAGAGAAGAATGTCAAAGTTTTACTGGCATTAGGTGGTTGGAATGATTCCAAAGATGACAAATACAGCCGCCTTGTCAGCAGCCCTGCAGCAAGAGAGCAATTCATCCACCATGCTCTTCGATATTTAGTGAAATATAATTTCGATGGGTTGAGCTTGGATTGGGCGTACCCAACTTGTCCACAGGTCAGGATGCCAGACTTTATTTTTCACAAATAACTAATAATGGAAAAGGACAAAAAATCTGGTTGAACTATTAACATTTGCAACTTCACCTTATTTATTTTTTTTGTAATTAATTTATCGAAAAAGATAAGAAACTTGGGATGATATATTCTCATTTGCAACTGTATCCTACCTATTATTGTATCGAAAGTCATCTTTTGTCCAAAGTATCATAAGCACCATTGGTGCTAAGGCAATATGCCTCCAAATTTCTCAACCTTTTCCAATTTTTCACAAGTAAACTATTGAGTCACTTGAACATTTTACCAAATATATATCTTTTTTACATCTTAACCTATTTTTGTCTCATTATTTCCAGAGTGACTGCAGCAAAGGCCGTGCTGTTGATAAGGAAGGTTTCTCTGCATTTATTCAAGAGTTGAGCACAGTATTCAAACCTTACGGCCTTTTACTTTCAGCTGCTGTTTCACCAAGCAAAGTTGTTATTGACAAAGGTATAATATCTTTCTACATATCGACGGTGTAAGTCGGCAATCACATAACTCGTTTGCGGTGTCTGAAAATCTCCGCCTCTATGTTATTTCTTTAAAGGAGAACAAATTGACATCATTCCTTAAAGTTTTTGCAGAATTTTCCTCGCACAGAGAAGAAAAATCACGGCAGTTTTGAAGAATTGCCGCTGAGTAGTTTTCTGTTTAAAAAGTGAAGTATGACAGGAAGTCTAAGACGTCGCAAACCGAGTTATGTGATTGCCGACTTACACCGTCTATATGTTATTTTATAATAATGTAATAGAACTGTACAACCCACGACTTCAGCAACTATAAGTTTCTTATGAAAAAATTGGCCTCCTAGGTGATTTCGTCACCTTCCAGGCAAAGTATCAAAAGCGCCATGCGACGTTTAAAAATTTCCGCCGCCATTTTATTTTTTTACTGAGAAATTGTTGGTTGAATCTGTTCGAAAATTTCACTAAATTTTATCGGCAGCACAAAGAAAATTCGGTGTAATTTTCGGACAGCTTCGTTGAACAATTTCTCTGTAAAAAAATATAATGGCGGCGGAAATTTTTAAACGTCGCATGGCGCTTGTGATACTTTGCCTGGAAGGTGACGATTTGAGAAAGGGTGTAGAAAATCCAAGAATGTCAGAAATTTTGCGTCATTCAGGAGAATAATATTCCCCTCATGCTTTATCAGAAAAATGTCATTCATTTTTCAAAATGACCATTTAATTTGCATTTATTTTTCAAAATGACAATTTAATTTGCATTTATTTTTCATATTTAGTGCTCTCTTCAAAATTTTCAAGTGTTCTTCAGGACTGTCTTGGCCTTGGTGCGGTATTTCCTGCATAGAAACTTTCTTACAAAGTGTAAGATCAGGTATTTTTTGCTATCATCATGGACCAAAATTAACAAAACTGCTTCAAAAATTGGAAGAATAGGTAAGAGAGTTTATTTGTTCAAATTATGTATCAAAATTTGTGATAATGTGTTCCTGTTTGCAGCATATGATGTACCAGCCTTATCGGAGTATCTCGATTTTGTTTCTTTAATGGCCTTTGATTACCATGGTCCTTGGGATGGACGAACCGGACATATAGCCCCTCTATATCATCTTAAGTCTGACACCTATGATCATCTGAACATTGTAAGTAACCTTGAAGGGTACGAATGTATCTATTTAATTTTAATCACACAAAAAAGTGTTTTTATGTTTTTCAACATTACTTTAAGGTAATGCGATAAGCAAATCGCACAGAATTTCCACCTTTTTTTGGTACCGTAAAAAGTTACGGGTTTCAGGCTCACTTATGAACGTCATGATGCGTCTTATCTACATTTTGATCACCGAGTGGCCAACAGTCTCCACACGCCAAACCGTTGGATTCCTGTTTTGTGTTTTTCGAAAATGGACCCTGGAAGTAAAAAAAAATTATCCAACAATTTGCAAAAAATGTTGCTTGCTGAAGTAACAAAATTACGCAGCTGAATGATGAGTGCTGCAGAGTCGTAGTAGTGTAGAGTATTGTGCATCAGTCTGACTCAAATTCAGACCTCCCAGCCGTCATGCAGTGCTTCAGACGGATGCATCATCACAACTCCAGAGAATCAGCGGGTGATCGTTTCCGTCCAGCCAAGGGCCCTTTCTGCCCCATTCTTCAAAGAAAAATTCGAAACCTGTGGGGTTCCTTCTTGAAAACGGTAAAATAATGATCTCACATTCTAGAGGAAACTTTTGGACGTGCTCTGATCAAAATCTAGGTGGAACAAGACGTTCTCTCATCAATTCATTTTTCAAGACTAAAATCAAAAGAAACCTATTGATTGGCACGAACAAAAAGTATTTCTATTTGTATGGACAGGAACATTTTCTTGCCTTGTGATGTCACACAAAGAAGTTGAAACAATTTGATATGCTCCGTTATTTGGTTTACTATGCGTGTTTTCATCATATCATGTATTCAGCAAACTTTTTTTTTTGGCAGGATTTTGGTGTCAAGTATTGGTTATCACATGGAATGCAGAAAGAAAAACTTATTCTAGGAATGCCATTGTATGGGGAAAGTTTCACTCTTGTCAATGGGACAGACTATACCTATGGTGCCAAAGTTGTCGGGCCTGGCAAACCTGGTGAATTCACGCAAGTTGGAGGGTTTTTAGCTTACTACGAGGTAATATTTTGTAAATGTTAAGCCTAGGATTTTAATTAATATCTTTGACTTTAAGCATTTAGGTGAGATATCTAACAGCTCTCAATAATCAAGGCAATAATCGTAGCTCTCAAGGCTGAAACGCGTCTGCAGTTGCCTTCCTGGATGGACGTAACTAGTGTTACTCCAAACAGCGGATCTCTTTGAGGGAAAATTGTGCTTGTGTGTGAGCTTTTTCCCTTTGTAATGAGATATCAGCTTTAAGCTGAACTTTTTTCGCATGATGGCTAAAAACTCTATCATTAAGCTCTCAATAAGTCAGGAATTTAAAGGCTACTTATCATAATTTAATTTCACAAGCAACGTCAAGGATTTTTGTTTTCAGTTTTGCCTCCCGTCAGTGAAGGTGCAGAGTTGGCGCTCTTCTGCCTTCGTGCAAGTCTTGTGATACTATGACTATCAAATACCTTTAATTTATGAGATTTTAAAGCAAAGACTTCTAATTTTAATTGGGCTGAGTTCAACAGAAAAGAACCAAAGCCTATCAAGATTGAACCAAGGAAATGAGTGTTTTGAAGTTTTTTTTTTTTTTTTTTTTTTTTTTTTTTTTATGAAAGGGGAGTGTTCAAAGCCTAATTTTGTTTGACTACTTTATGTACATTATATTTCCTCTTGACTTTGAGATTTAAAAAACGTGCAGCTAGTTAAGCTTAAAACTGCTCCTAACTCATTTTTCTCCGGTTATGTGTCGTGGCTCTTTTCTGCTCAATATAGTCCAATAGTTAGTAGGTGCTTTCAGAAAGTGACCAAAAGTAGGGTATGGCTAAATATGTGTAATAATTTCCGCAAACTCAAACTCAAATGTACTGTATTATTGATCTTGTACAGATTTGTATTGATGATTCAACGTTTATAATTTCAGATATGTAATCTTGCCAACAATGGAGGATGGAATGTTGAGAAGAATTTCCAAGGTATCCCAGGTTCTATGATGCATTTAGAGGATCAGTGGGTCAGCTTTGATGATGTCTCTGACATCCGCAGAAAGGTAATACATTTGCTTTTCAGTTTCACTAATAGCTACATTATTTTTTACGTCAAAATCAAAGGGAATCCTATTGAAATAATAGCACATCATTTTTTTAAATGTGGTGCTTTCTGCTAATTGTTCATTATATCTTTTAAAACATAAATTAGGATTTTACGCTCTGCAGCCTGATTGTTGAAATTTTTTGTTTGTCGAGACGACATAGATGACATAGGTTAAAAGGCGAAGCGTGATTGGTCGGCTATGTCTTATCGCTGCTTTATCGTGCCTTTGTCAGGTGGAATGATCGACATACTGTCGGAAACTAAAGAGGTGCTGTTAGCTTGTCGAGAGGTCAACCCGACATAGCCGACCAATCACGCTTCGCCTTTTAACCTATGTCATCTATGTCGTCCCGACAAACAAACAATTTCAACAATCAGGCTGCAGTATGTAACAATAATATGATTTATCATTGATCATTAAATATTTTTGGTTTGCTAGTTCCTCTGTACTTTTTTTTACTTTTTAAGCTGTAACCATTACACTATTTCACCAGCTTGATTTTAAAATAGTCAGGTAAAATTTTATGACACTACAATTTTCTGCTTATGAATTTTAAGATTCACTTTTTTTTCATGTACAAGTGTTAATGCAATGCAGTCATAGTCGAGGAGAGAATTTTTTTTTTTTTTTAGGTGTATGAATTAGGCATGATCAATCGATTAGAAAGCTTCCTTATTTCTTTAAAAAAAGAGAGAAATAATGTCCGTTGCAAAGTTGGGGGAAGAAATCTATATTTCCGATGCAAGTATACAAAATTTTAGTTATCAATTTTTTCAAATTCATTTTTTAATTATGTTCAAATAAATGCTTTACTATTTGTATCTTTTATGTCCATCAGAGTACCTACATTAAAGAAAATCAGCTTGGAGGAGGAATGGTTTGGGCACTTGATTTAGACGACTTTTCCGGACTTTGTGGCTGCGGTCCTAACCCTCTTCTCACAACCGTCAATCAAGAACTACGAAATTACAAGAAACGGGCCACAATGGAAGACTGCACTTAAAATGACTTTAGGCTTTTTGCAATTCTTGACTGATAAAGCATAAGATCAAAAATAAAAAAGTAGATATCACAGAGCATTCGTTATTATTAAAGTTTCTGTCATTAGTAACTTCATTATCCTCCAATTGATAAGTCAATAATGTTTCCATAACCATGTTATCTGCATAAATCTATATTTTAAGCAGCAATGATTTTCAGAAAGTAGAACAAAATCATACAAACTGTAATAGAATCACCTCAATTCTTTGTTTAATCCTCACGTATGATCTAAATGTGAGGGTAAATTTTAAAGTATGTCGACCTATTTTTTTTCTCTCGAGAACAAACAATCATGCTACGAAAAGTACCGACCATTAATATGAGACACATATTCTTTTAGCCTCCAAACAAGCCATAGTTTTTTTCAATTTTGTCCTTGCGATGCAGAGAAATATTATGATTCTCCAATCAAATTATAGTGTTTTTTTTTCTCAGATAAGCAGCCTTCTCTAAAACCATTTTTTAAAAACACATATTTTTATTTGCTTCTCTATAAGTGTACAAATCCCTGAGAGAAATTTCCAGAAGAAACTGCTGCTGTAGTGCTGCAAACCAAATTGAAAATCGTTGGAACAGCAATGCTGTAGTAGGTACCATTTTAGTATATTTTTCAGTGAAGAAGTAAAAAAATCTGAAAGTAGTCTGGGCGGTTAACTGAAGTTACTCATCACAGAGACTCCACCACTACATATTTTCCCTTTCCATTGTAAATTGTGCTCAAATTAGTTAGGTAGATATTTTTAATTGCTCAATTGTAATATTGCTTCCTATTAAGTATGTATATTTCTTTGGTCAAATTGTTATAGACACTTTAGTGTCCTATAATTGAACAAAGTGATAACTTCTGCTCTGTTTTGTCTTAAACGTATGTGTTCAAGTGCTTTAACTCATAAATAATTGTTTCATAGTGTGTTTCAAAAATAAAAAAAAAAGAACTCAAAACCTCTTCATCTTGTTGTCTCGTTTAATTTGTTTGTAACTTGCAAACAAACCTTATGAATCTCAAATCCTCCGAAGTTTTTCTATTAAAATTGTTGGTAACTTTCTGTCCCTACCACAAAGAACATGTTCTGACCTTCTTATGGAGAAGCATTTTCAAGGTTTTGTTTTGATAAATATTTTTTAGAGTAATAATGGAGTCACAACAATGGAGAATTTGCAGGTGTCTGAAATTTCATGAATTTAGTGGAAACTACTGACAATGAGTCAACTGAACATGAGGATACCCTTGGTTCATGAATTGAACACTTATTGGAGAAGATATGACAAAATAATCTAATCTGCTAAAATACGTGTGTTTAAATGGGAAATCCCGCCAGATGATGTCACTAGGCGGTGCATTTTCTCACTTTTAAATGGATTGCATTTTGCAAAAAGGAACCACCAGCATTGCAATTTTGCTAAGATTGTGAAACTTCTTTTGTCTTGGAGGAAAAACCCGATAATCCCTTAATAGTTTCTATTTTCCTCGCTAAAAACTGTAAATTTAGGACAAAAATTACCATCTAAATTTCATAGTTTTTCACGATTTCCGCAATTTTATTGCAAAAGATGAAGTTGCACAATCTTATAGCATCATTGCAATGCTAGTGGTTCCTTTTTGCAAAATGCAATCCAAATCAATTTTAATACTATTTCCCTCATCAGAAAAAAAATTACAAAAAATACTGTGAAATCAGTTCTTTAAGCACTTTCAGATGAAGCAATACAAAATTTGCATGCAAATTCTCCATTCTGTCTAATACTCATTTTCTAAAAACACTTACGATTCATCAATCTTTTACCGGAGCAAGTAACAAAACACAAAAAATTACTATGGAAATATGAAAAAAGTTTTTTTTTCTTTTTTTTAAACACGCATAAGTATCAATTTAAACAGTAAATACAATGTAACACTACAATACTGGTCTATGGAAGTTTGCAAGACGTTGCAAATGAATTAAATTACAGTTTCAGAGCAATTATTATCACAGATTATAACATCAAAGGAACATTGATGGCAGAAATCACAAAAAGAGAAAGAAGTCTTCCTCCTCCTCTTCCCCAATAAAATCGCTAAGTTATAAGAAAATAGCAAGAGTAGACTAAAAAATTACCCCGAGAGACACAAGTCAATTAAAGAACGTGAATGAGTATAGCAAAGAAAAATAAAAGAGTTAAGGGCTAGTTTGTGTAAAAGAGTCGATTTCCTTCACTCTATTAACATTTTCCTCGCAAAATCAAGCCATAAATACTTGAGGAAAAGTCTGTGAAAAATATTCTGATTACTTCCCCTATTGATTTTCTGAAGTAAAAAAAGAAAAGACCAGTTAGATTCAAGGATTGAATTTTTCGGGAATTAAACTTCTTCACCCCTTAAAAGCTAAAAGTGGGGATAGAACTAGTAGTCCACTAAAAAAATCAAGAGGTTCCACCTCTCAATTTCATAAAATCTACTCTCGAGGTTTAGACCTTCTTAAGTTTTTGTAAGATAATCTTAAAACATACCTAATTCAACAGAAAAAATAATTTTCTTAAAATTACAGAATCACAGAAAAAAATCAGTGCCATGCAAAAATGACATGTGCAATGTACAGGTAGATAGTTGAGACGACTACACTCACAAGCATAACTGGATAGCCAATTCTGAAAAATATAAAAAAATATTAAGTACACATGTAATTAAAGAAAAATGTAAGCATTCTGGTTTATGCAGTCTCCTCCTTAAATACAGTCTGATAACCCACGTAGCATTTCTCAACGGAAAAATCGCCATATATTGCGATTTTATCAGTGATAAAATCGCCAGGATCATCAACATCTGAGCGATTATCCCAAAAAAATTGAACCACATAGACCGTGCATCCTGTGTTACGGAAGGCGAGACAACTTTGAAAAATTCGCATGCGATGAGTGGTGGCACCAACCCGCATTGATGAGTTCGTGTGTCCCAGTTGCGCACATCTGCGCATGCGCAGTAGCAGCTCCAGTGAATTTTCGTCGGATTGTGAAGCTTTTTTCCTCGGTTAATAATTAGCTCGGAAAAATGAAACAATGCTAATCGGGTGTAAAATTATGTGTTCTAAAACTTTTTATCTTAGGAATTTTGTCTGAAAATGGATTCTAAACGAGATATTCGTGAATAACGGAGCGCGGGCATGAATTCTCCATTGCCTCTCAGCAGTCCCTTCAAGTGCTTGGGACACACGCTCTCTCCCCTTCCCCGCCCGCCCATCATGGGGCTCCGAGAGACTTGCTTCGCTCTGCCTGTAATAAACTGAGCCGGACGCACGGTCTTCGTGATTCAATGTCTTTGGATTATCCTCAATCTTATTGGAATAAAATCGCGATTTTATCGCCCGGCAATTTATCACGATATTTTCGAAATAAAACTCGCGATAAATGGAAATTTAATGTCGATTTTATCGACGAAAATTGATCACGATTTTATCGCACCAAAAATTGCGATGTGTAGCGATTTAATCGCCATATATCGCAATTTTTTATGCGATAATATCTCAATATGTTGCAACCGATATAATCGCGATAACCAACCGATAAAATCGCTATTTATCACGATCACTGCTACTTCGGAAGAGAGATACCCTTGAATGATGGAATGTAAGCATTCTGGTTTATGTAGTTTCCTCCTTAAATACTGTCCGATTAGAGAGATATCCTTGTATGATGGCTACTTCTAAATGCAAGTAATAATGCTGAAACGAACTATGAGCAAATGAATGGAATCAAAACGAATTACCTATGTAGGCCTGCAAATCCTATGCACATAGTTCCTTTAGATTTAATTCAATTTTACAGTTTCGTTCGGTATAATAACGTTTAAATACAATAAAAAATTGAACTTTTTTGTAATAAATATATACGGAAGGTGGATACTTACTTTAAATATTCACTGAAAGAAATTCGATATCCATGTTGCTCAGCCACTCCAGCACAGACCATGTTAGAAGATGCTCCTATTAGTGTGCCATTACCTGAATAATAAGAATATATAAAGGTAACTTAAGATGAGTGACATATAGATTTTAGGGTAAAATTCATGGGATCAATCATTCTTGCAGGATTCATGCATGGGTTAAGTTTTGAAAAAATTTGAAAAGAAAACCATTCTCCAAATTTTGAACTGTGAAATTAAAATAACTGCCACTTTTATAAGTCGACAAATTCTTAGCATTGCGACTAAAAAGAAATTACACCAAAGGGAATAATAAAAACAAAATGACTGGAAATGCAATTTTGAAACTTGTCAATGTCAATCCCTGTCACAAGAAATAATCGCAAAATGACCGACTTTATATGTTTCCCTGATTACACGCAATTACGATGCAATTTACCGATACACAGCTTAAGACTAATGTGGCGAGAGGCGAATGAAACGTGCAGTGTTTCAGAAGAGAAATACTATACGGAATTTTTCTTGATTTTTATGTGAATCAAAGTGGCATGAGTAGAAACAAAAAGAAATACCTTGTAACGATCAAAGTTATGATAGTAAAAAGGTCGCTCTAATAAATTGCATCAACGATACAAAAGAGGATTATGTGTGTGAATGATTGCTAAAAAAATTGACCTACCGCCAAAAGAGGCGCCCAATGCCAATGCCCAAACCAACGGTTGGAGAGGTAACCCGAGCTCTTTGTTTTGAGACAGCCCTGTGATTATGTGAACCATCATGGATGCCAGAGGAATATTATCAACGAATGAAGAAACAATTGCTGAGACCCACAGGATCAGCACAATGGCAACAGCAAGCCTCGATTCTTTGTCCACACCCAAGATGAACAGTTCCGTTTGGTGACCAATCCATTCAATTAAGCCTAGACGAGACAGAGCCTGTTGAAAAAAAAACAATGGTTCTTGTTCAATCATTAACTACGAGATAGAGAACAAATTAAAAAATGAGGATAAAGAAAAGCTATTTAAGGATCTCAAAAAAGTTTGGAAGGACACTCCTTCGTCATGTGCTTATTGTTACTTTGTCCTATCTCAAAGTATTTTTTTCTCTACTTTGTATACTATCTTCCTATAAGATTCAACTTAAACTGGTTTCCAGGAATATGAGGGTCTATTTTCATTGTAATAATCCACTGATTTGCAAAACTCCTCATAAACGTGGACAATTAGATTTTCTGATGAAAATTTTAAAATGATCAATATGGTCTATTTATGCTATCAGGTTTTTAAAATATACCATCCAACACTGTATTCTAATACGACAAAGGAAAAGGAAGTAAACTATAGGTTAAGAATACAAAATCTGATACGAATACTTACACCTATTAAAACGAAAAGGGCAGTAAAAAACAATAATGTCGACCACTCGACTCGGGCAAGCACTCCTTCCAAATCTACTTTCTCTGCTAAAATGAACAGGAGGGCTGCTCCAAAGAGAGCTGACCATCCAAGAGAGAGATTCAGCTTGAAATTCGAATGGCAGAAGAATAAAGTGATGACAAAGAGCAGGGTGAATCCTGACTTTATGAGGAGTTTCCTGTCTCGTATCGGGTACTAGAAAAACATAGATAACAAAAAGAAAACCCATTGGATAAATTAATCAAACATAAAACAAAAAACAATTGTTTCCCATAAAATGGACGTATTTCTATCAAACGAAACTAAGCGCTATGTGGAGGAAGGTGGAGGGGGTCTTGGATTGGCGGGTGTTGCGGAACGCGATGCTCGTTCCGTCCTATACTCGCGATGCTTTTCCATGGCGCTTCGTTCCGTTTGACAGAACGCGCTATCTGGGATTCCAAAATCCTCAAAGGAACTCAATTTGGCGCTTAATTCTGCGTAACGAAAATATGTCCAAATGAGAGGCTGCATTATTTGAAGCTCTCTTATGCAACGAAATTTGAGATTTTACAAATAGGTACTTTGTCTATTGTACAATTTTCCGAGAAACACCAAGGTAACTAAGTGTCTTTGTTTTTCTTTTCCACGCTAAAGAAAAGCTCTCTAAGTTGAGGCTGTGGTGAAAAGGATCCTCTACAATTGCTATACCTCTGCTATATAATCCAATGCATTTGGGGTTTGAAGAAAGAAAAAAAAAGAGAAAGAAGAGAAAAGTAGAGAGACAAGATGCATTACAGCATACCTTTTCTTGAAGTTCCTGGAGGTTTGTTTTGTAATTTGGAATAGCCGAACTGAAATGGAAAAAAAAAAAGACATAATTCAATACAAAAAATTACTTCACATTAAATTGTATCTTTGGCAAAAACGGATTATTCAAGTCAAACCAACTTGAGAGGAGCAACTGCTAAATTTTTAATTAAATACTATTCCTGAGAGACGAAAAAATTTTACCTTAAACTGAGGTTTAAAATATACATAAATAAATTCATAGAAAGTTAGTTGACTGATTATTAGAATGGAACAAGCCAGTAGATCCATTATCTACTGTCTAGAGGCGGGAACGGAAGTAAAAGAGTCTCTATCGCCCCCCGATAGTTCGTCAACTTACTTGCTGTGATCTCAAGTTGACATTGTAAGATTCTTTCACTGGAACATAAGTATTGCCTCCTAGAAAAAACAGTCTGTGGACTTGGATATTGAATGCTGAACTCGGCGCATTCTCATTACATTCATGAAATTGTTTCATGATGAGCTGAAAGCATTGTAAGTTTTTTCTTCCGTTTGATTAGACAGCTTCAATCTCGAAATAAAGTATCAGGATAGTTAAAGTAAGCTTTATTGCTTGAAGGTAAACCTAACGTATTTGATGAAAATATTTATTCTTGGTTCTTGAGGCCGAAGATCAGTCTCTTCGAGAGATTATGAAAAAAAATGGTGAAAGGAAAATAATATTACAGTACTGGCAAACGAGTGAATCGTGAATTACATCAATGAAAGGAAGTGTATGTTTGTGAGGAAGAGGAACATATCATGAATGGAGACATAGTGTGAGTTATTACCTTCCAGTGAGAAGCTTTGTTTTCAATTCACCCAACAATCTTCTGACTTTAATCATAAGAGTTTCACGAACCAGATCTTCATCTTTGGAATAAGAGGAAAGCGATGCAGCAGCTCTTTGCCAGATTGCAATTTCATGCCGGAGTTCTGCGATCAAATAGGAAAACGTATCAGGAAAAAGTTAATCCATACTTCATGAAATGCAAGAAAGGAAAGATTACGATACATAGTTGTGTATAGTGGCAGAAGCTCACTCAAATAAGTCAAGAAAAATAATTTTCTTCCATTCCAAACTTAGGTAGGTTGAAGAGACTCTTCAGAAAAACTTGCTCTACACATTGATTGCTAAGGCATTTTTCGTGCTGTTGTATCAGCCATTTCTAAGGATCCTGAATGCATCTTGACAAACGAGACAGCCACAATGAAAAATTTAATTTTTTTCCCCTCAATTTTTAGCTTCTCATTGAATGCCTGTTACCATACCGTGCCCCTCATCACTTTCACCATGTATTGTCAAAAGGTTCTATAAGCTGGTGGTGACAAAAAACATGAAAGTCAGCCATTTTACAATATTGTATCATCCTTAATTGCCGATGCAACATCAGAAGTTGTATTCACAAAAAGAAAAAATAATCATAATATTCAGAGGCATGCTCCCATTTCTGAGGAAAACATTGAGGAGAAAAGTAGAACTACTGAGCCATGATTATTCTTTAAATAATCATTCTGATCAAAAAATAAATTTAAAAGTTGGCATTTTTAAACAACAATTACCTTGCACATCATGTGGCTCGGAGAAACGAAGATCATTCGTATTGCGGAAAATGTATCTCAAGTGGAAATGAACGACAACCATTACAATAAGACATCCTGTGCCAGCATGTAAAATGTAACTTCCAAAATTGACACCCTATGAAATAAAGAAATATTATTTTTAGTCCATGTGACAAAATGTTGCAGCTTAGGAAAAAGGGGGGTCAAAAAGAGCGGCTCAGCCTATTGTGTCGGATTAAGTCATTTTAATAGGTACTGTTCAAGTCAAGGCCTAGGTTGTTTGCATGATCCAGTTGCCTGGTTGTTTGCCTATATATTTCAAACTCTAAATAAAAAATACCAGCTACTTGACTTTGCCCCTCTGCTACCAGTTTTCAGGTGTTGGTTACTTTGAGACCAAGTTTGCCAGCAAAGAGCCAACTTTCAGGGGTGCAGAAATTCTAGGTCTCTGCAATTTTTTGGAAAGCATTAGATATTTGCAAAAGGGTTGACACAACACGCTGATTAAAATTTTGGTAAATTTTTTGGCGGATTTGCAATATTCTTTCAAATATCTAAGGAAATCGTTAAATTATGTTGTTTGCAGGGAAAGGAAGAGGACCTTGTCACCTTGTCAGTGTCCATAATTTGGTCTCAAACGACTAGTTGTATGGTAAAAACCATTTACACCCTTGTCAATTTTTCGCTTATTTTAAAAACAACACACTCATCAATTATTTCTATGTAAAAATACGTGCTTTTATGAAAATGTTCAAATATTTGGTTCTTTTCTGCTACACCTTAGTCAATTTATAGTCTATCTACACATGAAATGTTTCATTGAAATCAAGAGAAAATCACTTAGATGGCTCCACAGTCCGCACCAACTGAAAAGTAAATTGACTTTTTACATTAATTTCCCTATAAAAGGAGATAGAAAGGAGTATCTTTCTTTTTCTCCTTGATCCGCTTGATATTTTGCACACAGCATGCTAATGAAACAAAGCTCAGTTACATATTTCCTTGACATTTTTTCTTGCAAGAAAATGAAAACCACATTTGCGATTGAATCAAAACTTGCAGATTTCTTACAAGGAATTTTACGATTACTGAAATTAATATAAGTTACGAAATCACTTACCGCAGCTACAATTTTTGCGTTTGTAGCAATTATGACATTTGGCGGATCACCAACAAGTGTCAAACCTCCACCAATGTTAGAGTAAATCAACACCGCCATCAATATGGGAACAGGATTTAGTTCTGTTACTTCACAAAGTCTGAAAGTTAAAAGGAAGAAAACTAAGTAATTTATCATAAACTAATACAGCATGAGTTCAAATGAAAATTTACACCATCTTTTGAATGGAAGGGCAACCAAATCCAAGAAAAAACAGGTGGTCTTAATGAATAAAAGTCAGGAAAAATCGAGTCATCACCAACTATTTTCAGACTAGAAATACCAGGCCGTAAGTGCACTGTGAAACCATAACTTTAGGCACTTCTTGACGAAGAACATGAGGCAATCAATGATTAAATTATATTTTTTATGAAATGTAATGGACCGTATAGTCAAGACTTTTCAAAAAACTTAAATTATTGACACATTTTAAAGTTTTATGCTCAGTGCTTCCTCATCTTCAAACAGCGAGAAAAAAAAAAGAAAAACCTTTGATTTGTACCTGATAGTCACAGGAGTCATAAGTAGGATTGTTGTGACATTATCCAGAATTGATGATATGAGAGCCGTAAAACCAGAGAGAGTGATAATTAGAGGCCAGACTTTCCCATTGGTAACCTGAAAATCCAATCATCATTATTGTCACTGTCAGCAAATGGATTTTAAGCAATTCAACAATGTTACAAGATCTAAAACTTACTCTCCTCTAAGCTTACACAATCTGCAAGAACCTGTGTGACATAGGGGTGTTCAAACGAATTCTTGCCAGAACACTATCGACATCGTCTCTTATTGAAACTGGCGGCAGTACCGACAGTGGCCATGATCTCGACAACAGCCGGCCTTATCGGAGTTTTGAGAGCTCGCACTCAATACATTGTTGCCCCGTGTGTCGGTTTATCAGATTGCCTGGCGCGGCGGCGCGTAAAATAGATGTCCAATTGGCAACAGCTTATTTTCGCCAGCTCCGAAAACTCTGATCGCTATCGGTAAGAGCGCTCTTATCGTAACTTTTTCTTAACGGAACTGTTTCGGTGGCTTACCGACAACCGATTGAACAGCCCTAGTGTGACATGCTGTAAAAAATTACTGATGGACTGTTGAAAAAAAAGGGAAATATTGCTTTGATCCATTTGGGCAATCGCCTCAAAAAATCGATAAAATACAATCAGCAAATTCTCTTCACTTTAACATATTTAGAGTGTTCAAACTTAGATTCCTCTGAGGAGAGAGAGCCCCCGGAGCCTAAATTAACTTCAAAATGAGCCAAAATCCCCAGAACGACAGTTCACGCGTATTGAAAATTTAAAACTCATATACTGACCTTGTAAGCATAAACAGCCAGATAATCAAATACACCCGTTTCAGCAAAGATTGCGACCAGAATCATCATGCAAAACAAAAGAACGATTGTTTCTACGTCGACCCATGATATCAACTCAGCAGCCGTTGGTCTCTGGAACAATAAAAAATTATTTAGAGTGTACTTCATACAAGACATATCTATGCTTTACTGCAAAAAAATGCGTAACTTAATTGTAACTTTTAAAAATATCTGATTATGTTTTATTCTCTTTAAGAAAAGATAATCAATATGTTTCTTTGAAATTCGGTGTGATTTTTTTAGAGTGAAAGAGAAAAATTCTAAGAAAATTCCATTGGAGACTGTTGGTTGGTTTTCCTTTAAAACATAAAACATGAGCAAAGGCTTACAATGGTGCAATCTGAGACATGAAGATGTAAAGAAGAGACTGTGCTGTTTAGGTACCTCATTTAGAGCAGCTAAAATTGCAATAGATAGAGTTGACGCAAAGACAGCAGCAATTGTTCGGTGTACTATCTGAAACAAAAATGAAAATTGCCCTGATATACGACTTAATTCTACTGAAGTATAGAGCTATGGCAGGTTAAGTTTTTTTAAGTTTTAGAAAATGAAGCATTAAGTTGAGAAAATAGTGTTTTAATTCAATGATCTTGAGGGAAAACAAAGAAATAGAAACAAAGTAAAAAAAAAAAAAAAAAATTGAGGGTTAAGTATGGTGTCTGCATTGCTTGAATTTTCTCATTCACTGATATTTCCTTATTTTCACTGGTGAGTTGATGAAAACCACGGTCTCCTTCCACTTGCCCCCAAAAGAGCTAAGATTTTTCTTAGAAGAACTAAAATCTTCTTTAGGAGTTCCTAGCAAAATTATTTTCATTCATCATTCATTGTTCCGCAAATTCTTCAGCTTTGAGTCTAAATCAGACCGCTAAAAAATACAAAATGTTCTCAAAGCAGAAAGACTAAAAAGTCCTTTTGTTTGATACTAATCCCTAGTGAGTTTCCTGATTTTCCGGGAACTTTATCGTTCCTTAATAAATCCTGGTATACATATAATCATTTTTCTGGATACTAGACACCTTAGAATAAAGTTACACATGTGCAAGTGAGAAAAATATTGATAACATTTCATTTTTTTCAGAGCCTCTGATGTCTTGCAGAACTAAACTTCAAAACTTCATTCAAAAAAACTCAAAACTGTACATATTCAATATTCAATTTGACATCGTCTTAAGAGCTGCTTGAATTTTAGCGACTAAATACTGAACAGATTGGTCAGCAGCACACTTTTCTTAGAACAGCATGGGGGAAATACTCCAATCATTTAGGAACTTTGCGAATGGATAGATGTAAAAAGTGATTACCTCAAACATAATTAATATGTACAGCCCAAATAAAATGAAAGCAGCAAAGATAATTCCATCCTCCGGTCTGATGGGATGCAAATCGACAGTGAGGGTGACAGGAAAACTGGCATTTAGGTCTGTTTGAAGCTGAAGCCGCACTTCACTGTTTTGAAATATCCTGAAAGGGGAAAAATAAATTGAAAAAAATTTCAATTTTATACACTCTTTTCATAGCACGTTATTTAATAAAGGTAAAGTAGGATTGTTTCTGTAAATGAATAAAATCACTGCAAAATGATTTACACATTGTTAATACCGGATGATGCTTTTAGTGTGAAGGAACGGAGAGAGAGCAAAGAATTCTCCTGGTCTCACAACTGGTGAATATATACCTGTTTTTTGGCCAATTATTCACTATTTTAGTTAGCTAATTAAGTAACGATACAACTGTCACCATTGAATTTCTACTCTTTTAATTTTTTTCAAAATTAAAAAGAACTTACATTTAACAGAGAAATATTTCAATTATTAAACTTACTCTTTATCCACCTCATCAAATTCAAAAAGCTTGGTGACGCTTATTTCAGGAACCGTATCCAGCATTTCTTCAGAAACAAGTGGTACTTCCCAGACTTTACTTAAATTCTGAAATCGGAGGCATTCAATTTAGATATTAAAAATTCCAAAATAATTTTTCAAAATTCACCTTATTTTGAAACACACATGAAAAAAACGGGACTACCACATAAATTGAGACAACTTCCTCAACACAGCAAAATTGGCTACTGTGGATGACTGATACTTTTTAATAGATGCTAACAGTAAAAGTAAATCAGACAGGGTGCGAAAGTGAAAAAACGCAACTTGAGTTTGTATCAAAATTTTACAGAAGATATGATGAACGCATTGATACTTTCCAAATTTAACTCTTAAGTTAGGAACCAGCATTTTTTTGTGCATCAAGTCACACTTCTGGCTCACAAAAAACCAAAATCTACTTGAGTGAATTCAGTACTGAACTAATTTTGCTATACATCCTACACCTTTACTGTCTGCTGATTTTTTTAACTACAAGATTAAAGGTGCAATGTATCAGAAGAGGAAGGAAATTTGCACAAAAGTATGTTCTAGTTATTTGCTTAATGTACAGGTTGTTAAAGAAATTCTTCCTACAACCAACTTGTTTTTCTAATTCACCAAATAATTTCTGAGAAGTATAAAAAGACTAGAGAAAGAATACAAGTTTTTGAAAAAATAAGTTTACAAATAGACAAGTCATTTCGTCCATACCTGCATGTACATTGGATTATTTTTCTCCAATTTTTTGACAGATTGGCGTAGTTCAATCCATACACTTAGCTTGCGGCTAGACAGGCTTTCATAATCATCTGGTATGAATGCTCCAAATAATTCCACTTTTAACTCCTGTAGAACAATATTCTGGGATATTAGAAAACCTAAAGGCAATAAAAAAAATGATTTTATTGTAGTTTTGGGAAGTTTTTTTTGAGTATAAATTTTCAAAGAAAACATATTTGGCAGAAAGCACAATTTAATATCAGTAAAAACAATGTAAATAAGGTGCAATCAATCGATCTTTCACATAAGGGGAGATTGGGTTACGTGAAAATTTTTTTTCTGAGCCCTTAACATGCTTTAGAGACATAGGTACTACATCAACTATTGCTAGATACATTTTTTTATTCTTCCTCTTTTTTAGTAGGAAATACCCTCAGCTGAACAGATGACAACAGCATTTCTTTTAGCTAAAGATTTTTTTCCATATAAAAAGACCAATTTTTCAGAGAGCTCACAAGGGGAACTTACGGACCTGCCGCCTCCGATTGGGCTGAATTTTTTTTTACAGACTCTATGGACCATTTCTAGAGGTCAATTTGAGCCGTTTTCCCGAATGCGCAATAGGAAGGGCGTAAAAAATTCCCAAAAGTTGCGTTTTCGGCGTGTGATTTGGTCGTGCAGCAGCCTCTAGTACCGCTTTATCGGCCCGGAGGTTTCAGTGGAGTCCGGAGCCCTACTGCACACGTACTGGTTCCATGATAGTGATGTCCCAGGTTCGATCCTCGACTTTTTATTTTCCGCATGATCACGTAACATTTTATTTTTAATTCTTCATCCGCATTTATAAATCAAGCAGTTCCGATCACTATCCCCCCCCCCCTCATTTTACGTACATTTTCCCCCGATATTTATTCACATTGGCCACATACAGGGTGTTTCAGACCACCCGTACCAGGCCTTTTTCTCGGTTGGTGTAGGTCGTACGAAGTCGGAGACCGCGGGGTTGAATAGGGAATTGACCCCAAGGAATCCGAATTTTGTGGTCCCGAAACCCTCCCATCCCCCCTTGGGGGGTAAAGGGGGGGTCACGATGCTAAAAGTCACGGTTCCCGACCAAATTGCAGATAGATCGCATCAGAATTGAGAAGCACGGAAAATTTCACGTGGAATTGACCCCTAAAAATCCAAAATCGGACCATCCAAGGCCCAAAAATGACCCTTTAAAGAGGGGGACAGTACCCCCCTCCATACTTTCTCTTTGGTCTCAAAATTGACGTAAATTCTCCAGAAAAAGACAGTTTCCGAGGTAATCGACCTTGAGAAATCCAAATTTCATGGTCCCGAAGCTCCTCCAGCTCCCCTTGGGAGGTAAACGGGGGGGCCCAATTTTAAAAATCGGGACTCCTTTCCGAATTGCAAATTGATTGCATCCAAATTGAGGAGCAGAACACATTTACATCTTAAGTGACTCCTAAGAGTTCTAATTGACCCCCCTGAACGGCAGAAAGTAACCCCCTGAGGAGGGGGGCCTCGCCCCCGCCAAAAATTTCTCAGGATTCCTCTTTGGTCGCAAAATTGACGTCGATTCTCCAGAAAAAGATGGTTTCTCATGTAATCGACCCCGAGGACTCTAAATTTCATGTTCCCTGAGCTCCTCGGGGTCGATTACATGGGAGACCGTCTATTTCTGCAGAATCGACGTCAATTTTGCAACCACAGAGGAGTCTTGTGAAATTTTTGGCGGGGGCGAAGCCCCCCTCCTCAGGGAGTTACTTTCTGCCATACAGGGGGTCTATTAGAACTCTTAGGAGTCACTTAAGATGTAAATGTGTTCTGCTCCTCAATTTGGATGCAATCAATTTGCGATTCGGAAAGGAGCCCCGATTTTCAAAATTGGGCCCCCCCGTTTACTCCCCAAGGGGGGCTAAAGGAGCTTCGGGACCATGAAATTTGGATTTCTCAAGGTCGATTACCTGGGAAACTGACTTTTTCTGGAGAATTTATGTCAATTTTGAGACCAAAGAGAAAGTATGGAGGGGGGTACTGTCCCCCTCTTTAAAGGGTCATTTTTGGGCCTTGGATGTTCCGATTTTGGATTTTTAGGGGTCAATTCCACGTGAAATTTTCCGTGCTTCTCAATTCTGATGCGATCTATCCGCAATTTGGTCGGGAACCGTGACTTTTAGCATCGTGACCCCCCCTTTACCCCCCAAGGGAGGGTGGGAGGGTTTCGGGACCACGAAATTCGGATTCCTTGGGGTCAATTCCCTATTCAACCCCGCGGTCTCCGACTTCGTGCGGCCTAAACCAACCGAGAAAAAGGCCTGGTACGGGTGGTCTGAAACACCCTGTATAATCGTATGAAACTTCATTGATATAAATTAATGAATTAAAAAGCAAAGGGCTAAAATAATGTGTTTCTTGGTGACCCTTGCATGCACATGGGTTTGGGGTTGCTCTTCGATTTATTTACACATTACATATTTTTCCAGGAAAACATTGGAAGATACCTATTGCAGTAACAAATAAGGTTTTCTTTTGCTTTTTAATTCATTAATTTATATCAATGAAGTTTCATACGATTATATGTGGCCAATGTGAATAAATATCGGGGAAAATGTACGTAAAATGAGGGGGGGGGGAAGTGATCGAAACTGCTTGATATATAAATGCGGATGAAGAATTAAAAATAAAATGTTACGTGACCATGCGGAAAATAAAAAGTCGAGGATCGAACCCGGGACATCACTATCATGGAACCAGTACGTGTGCAGTAGGGCTCCGGACTCCACTGAAACCTCCGGGCCGATAAAGCGGTACTAGAGGCTGCTTCAGTGTTGCCACGCGGCGCACGACCAAATCACACGCCGAAAACGCAACTTTTGGGAATTTTTTACGCCCTTCCTATTGCGCATTAGGGAAAACGGCTCAAATGGACCTCTAGAATTGGTCCATAGAGTCTGTAAAAAAAAATTCAGCCCAATCGGAGGCGGCAGGTCCGTAAGTTCCCCTTGTCAGTTTAGGGCTACCTAAACCATATGAAGGAATTTTTACGCTATCTTTGAAGAGGTACCTATGTTTGGAACAAATAAGAGCTCTTTCCATGTGAGCCAAGTTTACGAAAGTTTGTCTCAAATTTCAATTGTTAATCATTACAGTCTTAAATGATGGGAAATTGAGTTTTTTGCTTCAAATTTCTTATTATTAAATTAAGTACTAACTTTTTGATTTTCCGTGGGAGACAGATAACTGGTGCAAATCACTGTCATTAGGATGTTCCTTTGAGCACATCAGTATTGTCTGGAAACAAAAATGAGAAACAATAAATGAAAAAGGGAATTTCAAGATTTTCACAAACTGTAAATGGTGTGCAAACTAATGACCAAAGATGAGGTAAAAAAAAGTGGAAAAATGTCTTGTCTCCGGCAGGCAGAGACGAGGAAAGAAGGAAAACACTATCAGCGGGACAGTTTCCTAAAGCGTTGTCCACCCTGATCTGAGGTAAAGCTTGACCTAATTTTTGCTGATATTCAGAAGCAAAAACCTCATGAATGGCATATGGAATCTTCGAGCCCCCATCAATACTTTTGCTGAAGATTATAAGGAGAGTAACATATCTAAGTTTTGACAAATTTGACTGAAAGATAATTCCCATGGTGGACTTGTCATCTCCGAGAAATTGATTCAAATTTGTTAACAGGATAACAGCTGATGCGATTTTGAGATTTTGTAATATCCCTAGAGTCAGGAACAATGTTCGGCCTTGTCTAAAATTTTAGGAGCCACCTTGGTCAGAGAGCCCACTTTTTAGGAGCCATTTACAACTTTTAGGCCCCAATTTAACTCTCCATACACATCATGCACTCCGGCTGCTTGGCAATTGTCAAAATCTACAAGGTGCGTAAATTTTTTGAGGGTCACAATGGCCCAGCTCCTCCATTTTTGACGCCATTTGTTGCATGGAGCCCGGAGAAGCAGAAAACTGGCCAGGAAAGAGGAGGAATGATTTTTTTTGTACCTGAAATCTATCGGTGCAAGAATAATAATTAGGATGAAATAATAAAAACTTACTATAGAAAACACCCATACAAGAAAAAGAACGATTTGAGTGAGTCGGCGAACCCACGACATAGGCAAGTCTGCTTCATCGTCTTCGTCCACACATTTACTTTTTGATTTTGAATCATTGGCACGTCGACTAAGAAACGGTGATAGTGAGGCTTCTTTTGTGACGACAATCTCAGGAACAGTTTGATCGGAAGTTAGGGCATTATTACTTTGCTGAATTGCAAAATCTTCTTGAAAATTAGCAAACGTAGAATCTTGCTTGATTTGATCAGGCAGATCATTCCACACAGCTATGGCACCAACTGGCACTGTATCTCTGCCGGAATAAAATGAATAAAACAACTTAGTGAAAAAAAAAATGAATATAGAGAGGGGAATAAGGGAAACAGTTCATCTGAAGATTGAACATTGGTATAAAAATTGGATTGTACACAGGGTAATCAAAAGTTAAAGCGCCAGACTGGAATACAGAAAAAACCTAGAACTTAGGGGGAAGGGGGGGTGCTGTAGCCCCCTTAAAAAGCGACTTCGGAAAAAATTTCATAAAAGAAAAAAGTATTATTTTGGCCCAAATAACCTTTGATGACCCTACAGACCATAGAGTCTTGAATTTGCTCATGTTCTGATTTTTCCTCATTTTCAGCGGAAAGTTCCCTGATGACAATTTGAATTTTAAGAGGAGAAAACAGATCAATAACGCCTTATTGAACTATCGGTTATTTTTCACCATTGAGTCACGTGGAATAAGTTAATAATTCTTAGTTATAAAGGTGCATGATTTCACACGAAAAAAATCAAGAAAATACAGGAATTTCAGAATGATGAAATAGGAAACAAATGTTTACACTCATGGTGTCGAATTTTGGTTTTTGAACGTACCTACTCGACGGAAACGGTTCAGGAGAATCCTGTCTTGTAGATGTTCCTGGTCCACATGGAGTTTGGGGTGTATAGTACGTATTGATACTGAACAAAGATTCGCTTTCACTGCCAATATTCCTGTCGGACGAAGTTGGAGTGTCGCAGATAAGTCGCTCGTCATCTTTTGGATAGCTCATCGCTCAACGGCAGACCTGATATGCAAAACTGAGGAAATTAAGAGAGGAAATATTAATGGTGTGAACAAGTGTAGAAGTAGAGAACAAACGAAAGTAATTTATTTTTAATGGACTACATGAGTAGTCAAAGGGATACCTACTATTTTCACCTTTTTTCTGTCCATTTTTGGGAGGCAAATTTCCCAAACTTTGAACTTTGCACGAGAAATGATTTAAGGATATGCCTGCAAAACTTTATGAATACTTCAGGCGTCTGGGATCCCTCCGAGATCACTAGTCTCAGTCTCTGCTTTTGACTCGCAACCTCTCCAAGTAGCGTTCTCATCTCGGAGCTTATAGCGTGATTCGCAAGTCAAGAGCCGAGAGTGAGAGACTAGAGATCTTAGGGAGACGGCGCAATGCTTGAAGAATTCCTTCAGTCATTAGCATAGACACATCCCTCGATCGTTTTCTGCGCAAAGTTCAAAGTTTTGGAAATTTGCTTCCGGCAAATGAGGTCCCTCTTCATTGATTTGATCACGATTCTGAAGCAACAAAGCTTGCGTACACTCCCACAAAAATGAAAAAGACTTGGTCTCTTTGCAGCAGACTCGGATATTTAAACGCAGAGTTGAAAAGTTGATAGGGCGAAACGCATGAAGCAATTATTTCGACTACCAAGCAGGTAAAGATGTACAACCACAAAATGAAGGAGAATCTCTTTTCGACTGACACGGAGACTTTAACGCAGGAGTAGAAAAGTTGAACAGGGTGAAACGCGTGATACTTCCAAGTAGGTAAAATTGCGTGCCCACAAAATGAAGGAGAACATGATGTTCTATATCATTAGTCTTATTTAGTTCGTCAAACGCAACTTCAGTTCGCGTAACCGAACTAGTGTGCGTTTAGGAACAACGTAAGTTCAATTAGTTTCCATACACACATAAGTGTTTTTACAGATGTACCAGAAATTGCGGTTCCAACTGCAAACGAACTGCTCTGTTTTAGAGCTATGACAAAGGTATATTTTTGTAAAATAACTTGAGTGACACTCCGGCCTCCGGCCATTTTCACTGATTTTTCCGTGGAAAAAAAAATCTGAATTGCACCAGAGAAGTGCAAATTTTCAAAATTTACTGAGGGAAGATCTCCTAGACCCTTACATCAGAGCTAAACGAGTTGGACCCCTTTTGGAGGTGTGCTCTCCCCCTTTCCCCAAAATGCTTAATTTCGCCCATGTGCCCATCGTTAGCAGCATACACCTCCTCAACACAAAAGTCCTTTGAAAAAAAAAAATTGCAAAAAAAATACACATAAAAGAATTAACCATACTCACAAAAATGACAACCACGCGAATTGATTATTTACTCGGGGAGGATAATTGGAAATAGAAAATTATATATTTGGGACGTTTGACGAACCAACTAAAAGCAGGAACACACATAAACTGAACTCACGACACTTAGGCGTTGAAATAAATGCTTGTAACCACTTAATTTCAAAGGAAGGATAAAAATGCGTTGTTCATCATGTTCGCGTACACAAGAATTTCAACAAACATTATTCACGGCAGCACCACTACGACGTAATTCTTATAAACCACTGATTAAATGTGAAGAGTGCGTATAGATTTTGAATACTTTAAGCAGACTAACTACGAGAAAAGAATGGTTGGGTAGAGGTGATGAGAGCAGCACGAGCTGCAGGAATGACTGAAACACCTCGCAACCCGTAAATCGTGTCGCATTGGTTCATTAGATAAAAATCCGAGCACACGGCAAATGAAGATAGGTACCGCGAAATTAGAGGAGATTCCTTTCATTCGCTGATAGGGAAATTGATAATCAGAAGGTGACTACAATACAGGCTCGTCTGGGTAAAAAATGAAAGGTACAGGTACAGGGCCGTCCATAAATTGATGGCTTAAGTGAGGCACCAATCTCCATTGCGGTGTTTCAAAATTTCCACTTCTGCAGGTTTATTTTTTCGAGAAAATTCGCAACAGTATCTAGCGATACTGTTGCGATTTTCTATTGTTGAAAATCGCGAATATGTTTAACGAAAATCTATTGACATTAACTGGCAAAAATAGCTTAAAATTGCAATTAGGATAGGCTAAATTTGCAAAATTTTCCGGAGGCGTACCCCCGGTGTTCGTTGCCATAGGGGGGGGGGGTGTCCGGGGGGATTATACCCCCCAGTCCCCAGGGCTTATATTCTGTACCCACGAATCAAAAGCCCACGCGCCGCCACTGGTTTTACGCTACCGGTGGCGAGGCGTGCTGTGCGATATATCGATTGATCTGCCATTTAAACCTATGGAAAAGGATCGATATACAGGGTGTTCACAACGAACACCTTAATAATCGATTCTTTACCATAAGTTTAGATGGGGAAATTTTGATAATCGATCATTCACGCTTCGTCACTGTACGCTACCTTTCGGCGTTAAAGGAGTCCCGCCAAAGATAGTACAGAAATTCTGCGATTCAAATTGTTATCACGGAGGAAACTCGTGAAATAAGGAAAACGAGTATCTCAGATAAACGAACGTCGGATATTTTATCTCGATTTGCATTAACCGGAAAACCGGTTGTAATATTCCTTCTTTTTCGGCTGCAGGATGACAGACTACGAGACATTGGCAAACTGTCATGGGTGGAACTGCATGAACTACAGGAGCTTTTTGTGGGGGATCAGAAGAGCATCTCATCTGGGAGGGGGGTCTGGGAGGGAGGGGTCTAGAAAGTTTTTCCATCGAAGGGTATTGAAACGACCTCACTAGCTCCAAAAATGGGTGTTGGAAGGGTTTTTGCTCCAACTCCAATGGGAAGTCTGGGAGGCCTCCCTCGACAAATTTTGAAAAAATTAGTTGGTTCAATGGCAATCTTGAGTTATTCTCACCTAAAAATTGATAAAAATACAACTTCAAAGATAAAAAATAGATTGCGCCCTCTAAAGCGATATCTTTCATATTTTTTTAGAGGGGACCAAGTAGATTCCTGGAGGCAGGCCCTTCCCCAGCTCCCCCTAGTTACGCCCCGGCACTTTGTGCATACCTAAGTATGTCTTTAGTGAGTTACTTAATTAGAGGAGAGTTAATTGTACTGTTGGATCACTGATTTCTGCATTTTTTCATCCTCTTTCCAAAAATATTTGTACACACTCTACCTCAAATTCTGAGCCCACTCTTCTGCCCCCCCCCCCCCCCNAATGGATTTAGTATAGACTGCTGGCAAATTAGGCAAGGCCTCAGAAGGATAGTCCTGGATTCTCAGAGTATTACACTAAGAAATTTTAGGTGATCCCTCAGACATTCCTCTCAATAATAAAAACTGAACCACCCAGTAATTCAGATAACACTCAAGGTACCTAAGAAGAAAAAAAAACCAGCACATAAGAAGTATATAAAACATAACGAGCAAAGCAAACTGGAGCTTCCCAGACCAGTTACAAGCCTGATTCTGGCCAGATGTAGAAGCTACGATAAAAGTTAAAACAATAGATGAACAGATAGAATCAGCATGATATGAGTGCAAACTGTAGTTAATTTGCCACTTCTGAACAGCGCTTTACTTTGTACTTATTGTTAAACCGATCCGCTTCAACCCAGGCTTTCAGTGAATGATCTCTCTTTAGATCCAAATGCAGAAGGAATTGAGTAACTGTGACTGTGAAGCTGGAAATTGAGTGACCTATCTTGTTTACTGTGTGCTGAATTCGTATTCTGTGATTCGCATCAAGAGATGTGGATGAAAAGTACTTGAATGCTTAAATGTTGCTAGTGAAACCATGAAATAGCTATGCACATTGAATGTTAAGAGTACTAAATCTGCTATAAGTCTTAAACAGTATATAAAATTTGTTTTGTTTGTGAGTGCAGAACATATTTGCAGAGAAAACCTCGAATGTTGCATACCTTGTTGGAGTCTGACAAGAATCCTCCATTTGAAGGTCTGGAGTATTTATCCTCCCAACCAACGGGAAATGAAAATTGAGTAGAATTATTAATTGAACAGTAAGAGTCGTCGGCGTACATGGTGAACAATAAAATATGCAAAATCAATCGAGAGAAAACAAACACAACGTAAAATAATAAAATGAACGTGGAGTCGTGGAGTACGCGCGGTGATAAGGAAGTAAACAAACAAGAAACGGCAACAACGACTGCTGGGAACCAATCAACAAACAGAAAAAATATCAAGGACGCGCCCTCAAGGCCGAAGCTCGTACATATGGCAACATTGCAGGTCAAAGAACGAAAAAGAGAATAGTTATCCGTCGATACGGCAACCGCGTAATAATGTCGAATGTTTTGTTTTGATAATTTTTGAAAGTCCTACCGAAAAAGCTCCCTGTAGACTATAATTATATTATAATTTAATCAGTTATGCTCTCGAGCTAGCTACATTGTGTTTTAAGACCGTCCACCGGTCTAGTGATAACCTCCGAGTAAATTTTCGTTCACCGGGTGCTATCATTTTTTTATATAATAAGGTAAGCAAAGCCTAAAGTTTAATCCTTGCAACGTCTGGTTTTCTTTCAAATATTTTGTTGCCCGTAGTTCGTGCTATCAATTATCGTTCTCCCGACAGCTTATTTCAATCAGTTTTCATGTACTATCATTGCGTTTTCCTTGAAATGCATTATCAAGATTGCTAATCATCTCATAACCTGAAAGTATGTTACCTGCGTCAAAATATCGCTGAATAATGATGCATGACTTCATCATCTAGTGGTCGCTATTTACGTAAACTTTAATCCTCAATAGATCCTCTTTCTTGATGATCTACAGGGATCAAATAAATTCATAACCAGGCACCAAAGAACATCTCCCTGTGGCCACCCAAATGATAGCTCCCAATCGCTCCAGTCGAATCCCGAACTGTCCATACTCCTTGCAATTCCTCTAGAGATCCATGGGCTCTGTAAATTGCTGGATTTTTCCTTATGTGCTTGAAAGCATCAGAGGGCACTTTGAATTCTTGCACCTACTTATTGTAGGCATTAATTTGTATGTTTCCAAAAATTGTGTTCTGGAAGACGGAGTCACTAGAAGTGGAAATCCATCTCAAAATTATGCATCTTCCTGAAATAAACTCGCCACTCTAGTGGAGCTGAGGTCTTTTTATGGATTTATTATTTTTCCAAGCACCTATTTATTGAGTCTATATTTTTGTCTAAGGTGCATTTTTTAAAAAATGTAAGATGATATGATCTCGAGAACTCAGAAAAATATGTAATCTACAGCACATGCAATTATGCACATCTATTTTTATTTGTTACAGGTAAAAATGGGTGACAGCGGAGGCGAATTTGAATCAGGTGAGTGATTAAAGAATGATGTCAACTTCATCTACACATAGAGCTCGCGCATCGTATGTTGAGACAAAGTCAATCTCCGATTAGCTCTAAATTCGTACCACTCAACAGCTTAATACATGTAGTCAGGTGGCACTACCAGTGAATGGTGACATAAACAATTCTTTGACGTTTGTCTCAACATACGATACGCTAGCTCTATCAATGGTGAACGTTTCAAAATATGAGTGTTGATGCCAAGTTTCAAAATCTCTTTTGTTGTTATTCCTAATTATTTTTATTTAAAAAAAAAGGATGGAGGTATTCTTTGAAACTTTTTACAAAATTTTCTGTATTGGACAAAGAAAAATCAGCAAATATTCCAAGAATTAACGCTCATTGATTTTCCTTTTAAAAAGATAAAATGAAAAAAAAGTTTGCAACATCTCAAATTGAGACATCTTGTGTTTTTCACCATTAATGTATTAAAACGCATGCTACATTTTTCTCGAAAACAAGATGGAGCAATTTTGTTCTTGTCTCCTCCCACTCCAAGCTCTGGAAGTTTTTCAAATCACCAAAAAATTTTACGAAAAATAAAAGAAAGGATGAGCAACCCTTCTTGATTTAAAAAGTAAATTGTCGGGTAAAACTTTGCGACATCGCAATGTATTCAAGCCTCTGTGGCTCTGACCCTTACAAGTGTGGATTCCTGCTTCACTCAGTGTACCTAATACCTTGCATTTAAAGTTGATCATTGATGGTGGAATTCCTGTGGGATTATTTGTTGTCCTCTCATAGTGTAATACTTTATACAAGAATTTCCTGCTTCAGTGGAACTGATTCTTGAAAATCAAATACATCCGTCAAATATTTCAATCCTTGTTAGATTTGTCAACTTTTCCTAGCATTCTCAGCTTTTACATTGCAAATATTTAAAATATTATTAAATTTGTTTCAGGAAAAAATCAAGATGACCTAATTATGCAAAGACAACGAGAAATTGAAAAAGAGGTTTGTAATATTTTAATTAGTCTAGTCCATATGAGGGTCTCAATGTCCTCTCTGCGAGGGAGATAAAAGTGTACAGTTAGCCGTTAATAGTCTTCGTAAACCAAAGTGCTCCTAAAATATTCGTGACTGGTAGTACCGTGAGTATTATTTGGATTGTGTTTGCAGAATAGAACCAACATGATTACAGTGTTGTAAAAATCCTGAATCTTCATATTTTTCCAAAACTTGCCTGGAATAGCAAAAAGTTTGTGTTTTTATACCTAAAAATGGTTAATTTTCAGGGAAATATTATTGTAAATTTTCTCACTTTACCCTTAAGTATTTTGTGTTTTTTAAAGCAATGAAGAAGTTCCACAATTGTAAAAGAACTGATCAAGTTGGTTCCCCTCAACAAATGCGATCTATTTGTAAAGTTTAGTAAGAAAAAATCTGATCTTTAAATTTTGATGATAAACTTTCTTAAGTGTCTTAAAGAATAAGTTGCAAGAAATTTAGTTCATTGTTGTGCGAATGGAGGATGTAAATTTGGATTATTATTCGGCACTACATGCATTGAATCATGCTATCATGACGCAGCATATTCTTAAAAAAAATTCTCAGAACCAAGTTTTATGAACTACGAAACTTATACCACCAAAACTCCAGAATGATCTGAAATTTTTGCCATTTTTGACCCATACTTTTCTTTTAGCACTTCTCTAAGCTTTAGTATGATTCATTAATTCAATTTTAAATTCTCATCGTTAAAAGTCCCTTTTCCTATGGATATTCACCTGTTGAAAACTGAACTTTTACTTAAAATCGCTTCCTTAATAGCCTTCATCGGTCTGTATTTTTGGTTATCTGCATATTTATCATAATGTGACACAAGAGACAAAAAATTAGACTCTGCCCTTTAGATTTGCTTTCTTTTAATATCCAAAATAATTGCCTTGATGGCGCTTTTTCTTCATGCATACCTATTTGAAGGAAAAGAAGGAATGTACTCTGGTATCTGAGGAATTTTTATTGTAGGAATTTAATTTCCCGAATCCTCCCAACAATTATCTTATGCATGGTCGAAGCGGGACTTTTCATGAATCCTTGAAGTGGTTAGCTCTGTTACTATTCTGTCGTTCTAAGGAAGGAAGCCAAATGAGCCCTCAGGCATTGCCAAACTTGTCAAGAAAATAAAAATTTTCAGGGAGACTTGTTTATATTTTTCTCCCAATTTTTTTAGAGAACTTCATTGACAGTTTAATCTATCTAAAATTTTCAAGGAAAAATATGCGTACATTTCCTGAATAATTGTTTCATAGGAAGAAAGGTAACATCAGGGTGTCAATCTGCATTTTTCTTTCGCACAGCTTCCTTAGTACAGCAATATTAGATACAGTGTGATCGGGCTGGCAAGCTTACATAAGTAATGCAAGATGCTCCCAAATTAATTTTTCTTGCAATCATTTGTATTTTTCAGATCAATGAATCCATCATGTTAGTGGGCGATAAGGAGTCGCTGTCAACCTTGGAGGCAGAATATCTTAGTGATGAAATTTATAAACTGAAAGTCAAAGATCTGGCTACCAAGTACAAGAATATCCGCCGTACACGGCCGGACGGCAACTGTTTTTTCCGTGCCTTTGCTTATGCTTACTTTGAAAGCTTGCTGGACCATAAAGAAGACTATAACAGGTAAGAAAATAAGAAGTAGGTTCAATGTCGCCTCATATATTTTGAGAAATGATCTTTCTAATTTCCTTTGCTAGAATTAAACGTCGGTTGGACTTATCGCATTCCAAAATTATTCCGCTCTCATCAAGATTGGGGATGTCATAAAACTGTACAAGTATCACACATCAAGTGTTGAAGTTAAGTCAACAGATTTTGAAAATGTAGCTGGTTCTTAATAATAATTTTTTTGTACAGTAAGCAGGGTGTCTACAAGTCCGGAAATAGCACTGATTTTTTAAGGGCTGTCCGGAAGTACTGAAAATGTACGGAAATTCTGCAAGAAGGTCCGGAATTTTTTTCATTTTTGGGCCATTTGTGGCGCACTTTTAGCGAAAAATTCAAATTTTTGACATTTTTCGAATCTCGTCCATTGGAGGCACTAAAAAAGTACTGAATATTTGATGTTAAGGAGGTACTCAATTTCTTGGAAATGTACTGAAAGAGAACTGTAAAAATACTGATTTTTGGCCAGCCTGTTTCAGTAGACACCCCGGTATGACCTCAATTATCGGATCGCAATTTAACAGATCGATCCTCCGGTCCTCTCAGCGGGACCCACCAGTGCAATTTAAGGGATTAGGCCCCCGGTCCCATGCAATCCGTCAAATCAAGGTCTTACTGTACTATGGACCTTGAAGTATTATAACTAATGTGTCAGTCCGCTAGCTTGAATAACAAAGAATCCTAATCCTTTGAAAACGATTTCACACCAGCCTCTTTTGATACCCTTACCATAGTAGGTATCGCGAACAGAGATGCAGCTCAACTTATGCAATCATTATCATACTTGACCGTTCATGTGGTACTTAAATAAACTTAATTCTTTGAACTTGGTACCTTCATCATGTACTTGAAGGCATTGTAAGTAAAACTAAAAAGTGTGCAAAACTAAAATCTGTTTCACCTTACATGGAATCAGTAACTAGCAACTTTTTACTGTTTATCATCTGTCACTAGTTTCTTTTCAGCTAAAAACGAGGGTTTTCTATTTGACCGTAAGTTTACTCCTATGTATATGAGAGCCCATGTCAAAATTTAGTTTGTTATGTCTTTATTAAAATGCACCTTACCTTTTGAAAACAATGCCTTATATGTATTCGTAAATGGCTGACCAAAAGTTGCGTTTGAGAGCATCAGAGGATAGTGTCAAATGTACTTATGCAAAAGTTGCCCAATTATCACTGCTAACTTTTGCTATTTATTTCTTTTTTTTCCAGTTTTTATAATATTGCTGTAGAAAGTAAGAAAAAATTGATCTCGCTTGGATTTCCTCAATTTACTTTGGAAGATTTTCATGATACAGTAAGTATTCACATATACCTATGTGCCCAAATATTTTGAATGAATCATCACCAACAAAATGCCACAGATAATTACGCCACTTCTTTAATTTTAAATAATATTTTATATCAGCAGATTTCCACCAATGTGTTTTAAAATTATGTAGCTAATAGCTTTTTCGTGATGCCTGATGTTTGAGATATCATACGGCTTTGGTGCAGTTTCAATAGTTTTATAGTAGCTCATAAATTTAGCTTTAACCACTGGAGAAAGTTCTCAGTATTTGACGTCAAACAAAATCCAACTTACTATCAAACTCTCAAGAGAGGAAAGCATTGTAATGAAGGGTATAATGGAAAAACCTCAAGCTTTTCATATTTTAAACCCAATCATGCATAGCACATTTGCTTTTGTTGTTGTATGTATCTTTATTTTCCCTCAGCACTTCCAATATCCGTCATGTTAAACAACAAGCTCCTCATGCGAGTTATAAGCTTTGTGCAATATAAATTTTCTGGAAACTAGCAAAGCGCTAACTTCTTTTAAGTAATGTTTCTAGACTCCCTTTTCATGAACATATTAAAGATATCCAGAACTTACTGAAGTTCATCCAATGCATGTTTGTAAACCTTTATTATTTTTTTTCAATGACTTCTGCTATCTTCCAATAAGTTACCATAGCGAGCCAAACAATATCTGGCCCTAATTTGTCAATCTTTCTATTTTTAGTTTATGGAGGTGCTAGCCATAGCTGGTAAAGAAGAGCCCAACGCTCATGACGAACTCCATGCTGCTTTCAATAACCAAGGGTATTCAAATTATGTAGTTGTGTACTTAAGACTTCTTGCATCTGGTCAGCTTCAACAAGATGCCGACTTTTATCAACATTTTATCGAAGGAGATAGGACTATCACAGAATTTTGTCATCAGGTATGTCATCTTGAGATCTCCTTGTACAACTTAAATATGTATGCCTGTGGACAACAAGGCGGTTAAAGGAAGGTGGTCGCATTTCGAGTTAAGCCACCATTTTAAAGGCTGTGACGCACAGAGGGTACGTGCTTTGCCATGCAATCAAGATGTACTCGAAACGTACCCGATGCCGTGTGACGTCAAGAGGGTACGAAATGCGACCACCATTCTTTATTTGCTTTGTGTGGACAAACAAGATCATTCCATGGTTATATAGAACAGATGTCTATAGCCAGCAAGAAACTTTCTATCTTATACTCCATTTTTGGATCATGGTTTTTCATTTGAAAGTCTAAGGCCTAAAGGTTTTCAACTCATTGCAACATTTTCTTGATTGTGCAACTTTATAGTTGTGTCACAAAAAGTCAATGAGAAGTCTTTTCTGATTTTTCCCCAAATTGATTCCAGGGTTGCTGAAAAAAATCTCTTCCTCACTCACTTGGGATTTTCAGGTTTACTTTTCTAACTCCCCTTCATTCCAGGTTATTTCCTGGAGTACGTAACTGGTAGGTAAAAAGTATGTACTGTCTGACAATTGACCGAAAGGCAGTCGGCAAGAAAATACAAAGTATGCCCTAACTGAAAGTTAACAAATATTTTAGTACTCTTGATATGTGCAAGGAGACGGAACTATTGCATCCATTAAGGAACCATGCTTTGAATTTTGTGTAACTTGAGCCTCGTCATCTGATTTACAAATGAACATTTCCATATCTGTTACAGGAAGTGGAACCTATGTTTAGAGAAAGTGACCATATTCATATCATTGCTTTGAGCACAGCTTTGAATGTCGGAGTCAGAGTTCGGTACCTAGATAGAGGCGAATCAACAGAAGCTATCGCTCATGATTTCCCTGAAGGGACGCAACCAACAATTCATTTATTGTATCGTCCAAGTCATTATGATATTCTTTATCCTATCTAGCTCAATAACTCATTTTCCTCCTCCATTTTTTCTACCCTATGCTGTTATTTCTAACTTCGACAATTGCCGGATATATTCCCTAGACTCTTTCCAATCACGCTTTGAAACAAAAGTTTTGTTACATTACATTCTCAATTGCTCCTTGTAAATTTTAATGTTTATTCAATTTTTTAGATTCAAATTCTGCATCAATAATTTTACCCAAATAATAAAGTCGAAATCGATATCGGAAAAATCAAATTGACCATCATAAAAAAATTTTGTCCTTATAGGCGAGATGTTATCCGTTTAAAACTCAAGTATCTCGCTCTTCCTCCCCTGTACTTTTATCATTTAGTATCTTGTTTTAATTTATCTTTTTTTTAATACAAGCCCAATGTCATTGGCGCATTTCAAGGTGACTGTAGCTTTGAGTGTTTTTCATAACACTCTTATGATTCTTTGATGCGACTTTGCTCGCAAATCATGAAAATATTTTTTTAACATGCAGTTAAAACATCTTTAGATCTCTAATCCATTTACATTGTGCACATTTAATTCCGTGTGAAAGTGTAATAAAAATATTTAAAAGTCATTCTATCTGTATTTTTCAATCAAGGTGCAGGGTCAAGAAGGGCACTTTTCGGCCGCAGAGTTTTAGAATCTTTGTCACTAATTTATGTCTTTGAGAAAATCTAATGGGTGATTTTCCTGGAATTTTTACAATAGAACACTGTAGAATCACAAAGACTATTCCATAAAAATTGCGATGAAATGCATGCCTTCAATTTTCTTTCAGTTAATGAAATGTTAGCAAAGATTCTGAAACACTACAATGGCACACAATTTCTCACACCCACCGCCTCATTTCACATCTGAAGTAATACTTATTTGTCAACAAAGACAAGTTACATATGTCTACTAAACTACAATTTGAGGAGAATAGTGGGACTGATAGATATTGATACAGATAAATCATAAAGAAATATATATTTATTTCAAAATTAAAAGGAATTATAGAAATAGAAAACATCAAAATTAGGTAACCATTAAACAAAAATTCTTTTGAGTAACTAAGCAATATTCTGTTTAAAAATGCACACTACGCATAAAAAATTAATGAACAATATTTCTGCATGTGCAGATGCCTCTAAGAGTTTTGCCTGATGAGTTTACACACATGGGGGGTACAGGAGAAGATCTGCTCTGTCTTCGGTTTAGCGATGAAAGTAAATACAGAGATTGAAGGCAGCAGCTTTTCTGTCAAGCTGTCTTTCTGACTCCGATAGTATGGAAACTAATTTTGCTTGGACTCTAGCACAGTCATTTATAGTTATGAGAGTAACATATGAAATTAGTGAGTAAGTAAACAGTCTCAGCACATTGAAGTGATAATTGTGGTAAGAACTCTATCAACAAGAATGAGAAAAGGCACCACACTCTGAAGTGCAGAATAATTCATCCTCATTTTGGCCTGAGAACAATCTAAGTTGAGAGGAAAAGCTCCAGCACTAGAACCCCAGGTAGCACAATTGAAACTAAAATAAAATATAGAGGGATGAGAAAAGGAAATTAAATGGGGCGCAGGGTACCATCCAACCCAGAAAAAGGTTTATGTGAAAAAATAGAATACACACCACGGATAAGGAATGGAGGGAAAATTTTTTCGGCATGTTGGTTAATGCAAAGCCGGTCAATAAATATTCAGATCATCTGATTGGAAATTGCTCAAATGAAGGTATCATCATCCGCAGAAGGGATGTGAAGGGCTCTGCTTTTCGCATTTTTCAAAACAATATACTGAAAATCCAACACAAGTAACTGTAAATAAATCCTACAGACGCCTGTTTCAGAATAAAATTATGGTGAGAGAATGGTTAAAATTTTCTGAATGAAGGCACCTCAGCTCTCGTTATATCTGTCACCCATCAAACAGGGTTAGCACAATACCATTAGCTGACACACAAAAATTCGTAAATCTGGGCTGTAAATCGTAAATGAAGACTGTTCTTTGGGGCCTGCTTTGAGCTGTAATTTTTTTTTCTTTTCTTTTTTTTTAACTACAAGGAGTGGTCAAAATTACAAGATATCAATGTTTACCTACTTTTTCATTTTGCTAATTGTACACAATAGTTATAGTATTGTATACAATAGTTGAGTGATAGATTATGAAAGTAAACTCTGACAATATCACATCATTTACCTCCTTGCAAACTTCCACAACTACAATATGAAGAAATGAGATGGTTTTCATTGGTCCAGATACGAGTCGAAGTCAAGCTTAGGTTGTAATAATGCCTTGTTATCATAGCATGATGGAGCTAAAAGCCTGGGTACCTAGTCTAAAAGGCCTCCAATTTTTAGTAGATAACAATAATTTGAAACACTAGCAAACAGATGCTGAAGGCACAATTGATAAAATCAAAATTAATTGGTCAAAATAAAAAATACAATTAGCTCACAAAGAACTGAAAATCAATTGTAAGGCAGAAATTCAAGTTAAAATGAACAATACTGAAAAGAAATTAGGGGGATGGAATGTTTCATTTCATTTCATTTTTTTCTGGAGCTGACAACGTAAAATTTCAACCTTAGGAGATGAATGGATAAAGAAGTAGAGGAAGATTTAGTATTCTTGGCTGAAATTTTGTGAGGGTTCTTTTTCCGTTTCGATTTGCATGGCATTGGATTCACCTTGTTTTTTGACTGGCTGGCACGGTTCACCACTATTCATGGGGTAATGATTTGTGTGACTGTTGCCTGTTGCATTGGTGACAGAGAGATTGAACTGCTGAAGTTGGCAGTCACTCTCTGATTCAGGCTGCAATTTTTTCAATCTACTCTTCAGCTTAATTATTTCCTCTTCCGACTGACAAAGTTCAACAGAGAGGTGCTGAAATATGGAGCCTACTTCCTCTTGATAATGTTCGATAAATTTAGGCATATCATCTTTGAAGGCCTTATCAAGATCGATTTTACGAAACAAGTCCAATCTTTCAACGACCGATGAAGACTTTTTAAAGTCAATACCACTTTCAGCTAAATTATCAACAAAAACTTTGATAGGGACATAGCCAGTCCTGTCCCGTCCATAAAATGTATACTCAATTTCAATGGTACTATTGTTGTCTTTCTGTTCTGAAACAACACATACAATGAAGAATTTTCCATCGCGATCTGCAATCATTTTTCTTAGCTGACGATCGATCAAAGAATCTCGTAAACTTAAGGAGTTTACTGAATTCCTTCTGTAAACATACCAACCAACAATTTGTTCCGGTAAATGCCCAATTAGATGCCGCAGCTGATCTTCAATGATAGTTCCTGCTGCATTGTAAAACGAAAACACTGAAACGGGTAAAGTTGATAGAATGTCTGTAGAGACTACTTTCTTGGAAGATGGCTCTTGTGAGTCATTAATGACAACTTCCATGGTGACAGCTGTTTTGCCGATTAAAAAACCAATTTGGTCTGATTCGCTGTTGCAACAATCGTAGAGTAGCCCAGAGAGGGCTGCGTTTGATGCTGATAGCTTAAATTCCATCTTCCAGTAATTTGCATGGACTGAGCTAGAGGTTCGTATTACAATAGTTTTTCACTGCTCAGCAAACTTAGAGAATATTTCCGTTCGGTATGTATGAAACAAACTTTCATCACGGTGGTAGCCAAAGCGGGGTAATGAAATAACAAAACTGAGTGTATGATTCTTCTGTTAATCAATTAATTAGAGAAGCTGTCACACAATATGATCACTGACTATTGAGCAGAAAAGTCATCATCTTTATAGCAAGCGTTCGTAGTTTGCGAATCATCTATCTCTTGCAATTATTTCATGCTCGATTAGCAACTGGTTACTCATTAACACTGTTACCACAATTGATATGACGGTATATAGAGAAACACAAATGAAAAATCACACTGCACGTTGAGATTTGGAATTCACTTCACATTCAGATGTTCAAAGAAGCTGACTGAAAAAATTTCCTGAAAATTTCAACATAAACAAACCATGCCTTCAGAGGTTAGGTTGGTTAAGGAAAACATAACCTCCAAAATCTTGAACAACCGAAAACGGCTTGTAAACAACTCATAGCAACGTGCTCGGAAGTTTTCTGAACTTTTAGAACAAAGCTCCTATAATATTTTCAAGTTGATGAACACTGATAAATTTTAGGATCTTCTTTGTGTAATCGCAATGGCAGTAAGTCTTATGTCTTTGATTTTTCCATGTTCTTCTCTCGTTTTATTGACTCTTTCCGCTATCATCAAAACAAGCAATGCCTCCGAGTTCTTTTTTTCTTCGTCTAAAAGATCCTTGACAGGATCACTTGCTCAGTATCAGCATTTTTTATTACCTAGCATCACTGTCATTTTACAAGTCGTCTTATAAGTCAGAGCTGTTCGCAATAATCGGCCTTGTCTAAATCAGCATTTTGCGTAACACAACCAGTTCTCACACAAAACTGTTGCTATGTTATAACTATTTTGAACATGATGGTTCGGAGATTTCCAAAAATATTTTAATTAGTATCGCAACTTCTCTGATGTATTCATCGTTTACATTTGTTATGCTTCTCTTCCAGGGGATAAGTAATGCACAAGTACATGAAGTGCGGGAAATAACACGCATCGAGCGGATTGGTGCACATTCCCACATTAGAGGACTAGGATTGGATGACAGTCTAGAGCCACGCAAGGTAAATAGTGGAATTTCTTAGCTGCATTTTGTATACAAATTTTGGAATAAAAAAATATAATAATCATACTTATTTGAACTTTTTGTGAAACCACTGTTGAAATTGAAACTTAATACTACCGGTGATTTGTAGGGGTGGACTTGGATCATGAGAGTAATTAGGTTAGCCAGGATACTTTCTCCAGAGTTTTCACCTACTTATTTGACCCTAAGTAGTGATTCATCTGTTTTTGGCACATTCGAACTGGCATGCAATGTGTCGGATCCATTAAGGTAAAAAGCCCGGAAGATTTTGGCTCCTTACCCAAAATAGGACTATAGCCCCTGTGCAGGATCCTGAAGAATGCTTCTGAACCAAAAAATTGTCATAAAAAGAGAAATAAAGGCAGGACATTTCATAGAAAAAAATGTCCCATCATCCGACTCGCAGGTCAATTACTGTATTGAATGGCTCATGTTCAGGTGCCACCGTCCTTTGTTCAGCTAACAAATCAAAATCTTCTAAGATTTTTTGTTTAATTTATGCTATAAACAGGGTATGTAGCATCAGGACAAACCGGAAAATATCGGGAATTTTGGCCGATCAGGAAAATCAGAAAAATCGGATGCTTTATCAGGAATTTTTCTTATGCGAACCTCCTCAGTGGAGAAGTCTTACTGCTTTTTGCCCACCGTGCCAGCAGTCGTCGCACCGTCTTTGTTTCCGATAATTTCTCACCCGTAGCGCTTGTGTCGTATAGTGAAGGCCTCATCGCAGTGTCGCCGTCTTTGTGAAATCAAAATCTTCCGTCCATATGCAGCGCCTGTATTTTATTTGAAATAGTTTATATCGGTCTTTTTTTTAATGTGGCCCGTACTCCGACAAATCACTATTTTTATCAAAGTTTTGAAGTTATTCTCAATTTGTTTGCATTTTGTGCTACGTACGTGCTAGGACATCACATAATGGAATCTATCAACAGTTGGCAGACTAGTTTCTAATCATAAGAACTTTATCAGAAAATTTAGCCTCTGTTAGCATTTATGCAATAAATATAGTTTTTACGAGAAAAATCAGAAAAATATCAGGAATTTTCAAAATGAAAAAACAGGGAATTTTTTATGAAATATCACGAAATATTTGGAAAATATCAGGAGTTTTCAACATTAAAAAATACTAGACACCCTGATAAATAGTAAACCAATTAACGCCAAGAATCAGGGACAATTTACCGTAATAAATCATTTTGATTCTTTTTTACCGTGTGCTCCTAAGTAAGATGTTGACTTGTTTTTAAAACAGATATTTTCGTTCACTTTGCAATGTTCGGCTCTTCGAGAGCTTCTGTGCGAGGAAAAAGATGTTTATTTCACTGTGTTCTTTTATTTTTTATAGATTTCTCAGGGTATGGTAGGACAGTTACAAGCTCGAAGAGCAGCTGGAGTAGTTCTAGGTATTATTCGAGAGGGGAAAATTGCTGGGCGTGCAGTGCTTCTAGCTGGTCAGCCAGGAACTGGTGAGTTTGGTTTATGAATTCTTGGTTCCATCTTTTTTCCACCAAATTTATGCCCGCTATTTTAAATTGAATATTTCCAATTATTTGTTGAGTTGTAGTTGGTTGAATACATTGCAATTCCTTTCTGAATGATCCACCAAAGTCAGTTCTGATTTTACGCGATCACTGTCCAAAGACAGATAGTAGGCAATTTTTTATGAAGTGGGAAACTCAGAAGGGCTCTCTCAAAATTTTCTATGAAAGCCGTGTATTTCATGTTGATCCAATTAATTATGTTCATGAAAGAGCAAAGGTTGAAAGTGAGCTTTTAAGATTCATGAGCTGCCTGAAGCATCATTTTTTTTAACAGCTTATCGGAGTCAATGAAATGGGAATTGTTGAACTTAATGAATTCAAAATCTCCTCATTTATTTCTTCATCTATACGTTGCCCTGTAACTACTGAAGAGGGAGGGTGGTGGACCCTCTGAAAACCTGTACCTACTGACAGAAAAGTAAGAAAGAAAATGTTGAGTTTTTTAAGTTTAGTGATTCCCATTTTATTTAATTTGGTACTTTCATTGTTTCTAGCCTTGTCTAAAAATTATTTTAGCTTACTAGTTTGACATCAATTGAAGAACTAGGAGGAAGATTTTCAAATTGTGTCGGCATTTCATTGTAGAAAAGTTTTACAGGCCCATTTAAAAAAAGAAGAAAAGACCGAGGAAAGATAAAAGACTGAGGAAATTTGCATTTTCCCCATTGCATTCTGCTGTAACATAGTCAATTTTGCTTTAGATGAGCTAATTTGAATGCCAGAATTCGCTGTTCTCCTATTGGACCAATTTCAATTCCATGAAAAGCTCATATTTAAGATGCAGTGGGATTCCATGTACTTATAGAAGAACCTCTGTCTACAAGTTAAGAATAGCCATTCACACAGTTTTTTTTTTTTTTATTTATTTATTTATTTATTTATTTTTTTAATGTGTATGATTAATTATAATGACATGCTTTTATGTGTATTGAAAGGAAAACAACATTTTAATGATAATCTTATCATTTCTCAAAATTTGCCCTCTATTTTCAAACTATGTTCTAATAATCATTATTTCTTTCGCAGGGAAAACTGCTATTGCTATGGGAATGTCTCAAGCGCTGGGAACTGAGGCTCCTTTTGTGTGCATGGCTGGATCAGAAATTTACAGTTTAGAAATGAGCAAAACTGAGGCACTCACGCAAGCCATCAGAAAATCAATTGGTGTGAGAATAAAGTAAGAAATATCTTTGAATCTTTTCAAACAAAAATTTTCTGATTTTTCAACTCTTTTAAAATGTTGTTTGCCATGGGATTTATGTACGCATATTCTCTGACGTCACAGCATTATCTCTCCTTGAAAAAAAAATAACAAAAGTTCAGCGGTGTGTTCCTCTGTTGGGGCTATGCTGGGCGTGAGAAATGAAAATATTAATGGCTTCGCTATGACTGCCGGCCTCATAGGAGCGTTCAACGTGAACAACCGCATCCTGGTCAAAACAGCCGGTAAGATGTTTTAAGCGCCCCTCAATGCTGGCCGATGCATTTGGTGTGGCAGGCGACATGTTAAGAAATGTCTCTCTGCTCTATCACCATTTCATTGAAAGTAGCACCTACTTTTGATTAGAGGAAATGAGTTTTAAATCGATGTAAACATTAATATAACTAATTTAATTATTTAAAAAAATGTGAATAATTTTAAATTTTCTAATTATGACGGTTAAATTTTGAAAAATGGAGGAATAACATCAAAATTTGACTTATTCCTTGTGTAGGCGTAGGAATTGACATATTTGTTAACAAATCTTAACTTTAATGTTATTTTACAAACTCACTGAAAAAGCTGTGAGGAAATAAAACAATTTGACAGTGTAAGTCGGCAATCACATAACTCGGTTTGCGACGTCGCAGACTTCCTGTCGTACTTTATTTTTTTAACGGAAAACTACTCAACAGCAATTCTTTAAAACTGCCGTGATTTTTCTTCTCGGTGCAAATAAAATTCTGCAAAAACTTCAAGGAATGATGTTAATTTGTTCTCCTTTAAAAAAGTAAAATAAAGGTGGAGATTTTCAGACACCGCAAACGAGATTTGTGATTGGGGACTTACGCTGTCGAATTGTTGTTTTCACACTCAAGCTAAACTTTTTCGGAAACTTCTCTTTTTTTCTCTGGAGATTGTAGTTGAACGAATCGTCTTTCAACCCCTAAATGGTGCCTACTTTTGAGCATTTATCTAAGCAGTTCTCAACTGGTGACCCGCAGCCTCTTCAGATAATATTTCGTTTTTTCCAACTTTGTCTCAATTTTCAACGTTTTATTTCTGAGTGAGAATCTATTTTTTCCTATCGCTATGGAAAAGAGGGATGCTCATAGATTGATCCGACTTCTCAATTTAAAAAAAAATTCACTTGCAGAACCCAATCTTTACAATTCATTGCTCAAAATCTAAGACCTTATGTGAGAGGTAGAGCTGTAGCAGTCTCATTGTGGATTGTGTATGCCTCCTCCCTCCCTCCCTTCTTTATTCAGATTCTAAAATGTGGATTTATGAAACAGGTGGTAGATTTCCATTGGTATTTTGCAGCCTCATCCTTTGCTGGCTGGGTGGTCTGTGGTTGAAAAAAGTTGAGAACTGATGTCATCATAATTGAACTGTTTTCATAATGCTGTTTTGTCTATACTCTTTCAGAGAGGAAACTGAAATAATTGAAGGTGAAGTAGTCGAAGTGCAAGTTGACAGACCAGCCACTGGAGTTGGAGTAAAAATTGGAAAGTTAACTCTGAAAACTACTGAAATGGAGACTATCTATGATCTGGGAAACAAAATGATTGAATCTTTAATGAAGGAAAAGGTTTGTTAGACTTTAAAAAACTTAATTTCCTCGATGAGGAATTAATTCCTCATGTTTAATTAATTTCCTCATTTCCTTAATTTCCTCATGTTAGGAGTGATGAGAGATTCCAACATTTTCGTTTTTTTCACCTCACAAGTAACTATGTACAGTCGAAACTTTACATGCTTAAATTTGTATGCTCTAAATTTCAAAATTGTGGTTGTCATTTTTTTTCAAAAAAGAAAACATTGGTAAAAATTTGCAGCATCATGCTACAGAAAAATAATTCACTTTTAAACAAAACCAAAAAATGCGTGGTTGCGAACAAGTAACACCAGGCTACAGAGGGTTTAATTGTAATTTAAGTGAAGAGTTACGGTAAAACCTCAATTTATCGAATTTCATAGTACTGGCGAATCGATCTATTAAATTTCCAGTAAATTGAGGTCTTACTACTCCAAAACTGACTATGTATTAAAGTACCAATTCAAAGCTTGATATTAACTTTTGTACTTTGCTTTTTTTCCTCCTCTCAGGATAGTGTAGGCCGAACACTATCTTCAAACCCTGTCTACCAAAATTTGAGTTTTAATTTTATTGTTTTTTCCTGTTCATACGTAAAATACTATTTATGCACATTTTTTGTCTTGATACTTTGTTTTACAGGTACAAGCTGGCGATGTTATTACGATTGACAAAGCCACTGGTAAAATCAGCCGTCTTGGTCGTTCCTTCACCAGAGCACGCGATTATGATGCAACAGGTCCTCAGACTAGGTAATTGATTCTAAAATATGAAGTTGTTTAGTGATGAAGGGACTACTAGACAGGCTAAGTAATTATAAACGTTCTTAGTCTTCAATATGAACAGAAAAACCATAATTATGGTAGGCTAAATTAGGTAGAATTAGGCTAAATTAGGAATCGATCTCTACGTTAGATAAGTACTTGGACCTTGGTTTCACACACATGTCATTTTCTTCCTCTTCCTTCCTCAACATACCTTCAATTTTGTTATTGCCCAGGAAAATTCTCCCAGCGCAAAATATATGGAAATCAGTTAACGCTCCATCTGACTCAAATTTTTTTGTGAGCAGGAAGTGCGAATTAACATTGACAGAAACTATTTTTTGCCCATGAGTTGAATTTGGACAGTCTAAATGTGTCCATCATATTCTACATATAATTTTGAAAAGTACTTAATTTTGCACTCAGTTAAAGTAGTGGTCAGTTCAATGAATGTGAATTAAACATCCCTTTATTAAGAGCCATGCCATGTGAAGTTAGGGCATCTGTCAATATTTTTGTTCATCTTTTACCATTAATTTAGTTGATTTAAGTCATGTACATTGATACAATTTAACTTACTCTTGTAGTCGTTACATTTTAAGTTAATACAATATCTTATTTTCTACAGATTTGTGCAGTGTCCAGAAGGAGAACTCCAGAAAAGAAAAGAGGTTGTTCACACTGTGTCTCTTCATGAAATTGATGTCATCAACTCTCGAACTCATGGATTTTTAGCCCTGTTTTCTGGTATGTATTTGTCATTGTCTTCTCCTTTCAGCTCTGCATTTTGAGGAGAGGCTTCAATGTTTCATCAAGGATATAATCAAATGTTTCCTCGATCATAATGAAACATTTTCCTTATGGTATCTCATCATCACTCATATAGTCAGTATTGTTGAGGGGAAAAAAATGGAATTTATTCACATGAAGCCTTTTCTAGTTGTTGATTGAATCGCTCAGGTCTCGTGATGTTTAATCTAAAATATTTTGCATATAATATATTCTGCATTCACAAAACGTCTCACTCAGATTATCAGTGATTATTTTTTGTATTATTATACTACCAATAACTTTAAGTTGCGGATATTATTCAGTTATCTTCATGATTTTTCTGACTTCCTCCATAACTTCTTTCAGTAGAACATATTTGATTGGTTAATCATAATTTGATTGGTTAATAATTTTCTCTAAAGCTGCTATCAGATTCTACGGGAAGGTGTAATGTCTACTCTGAAATACTTCTGACCAATTGACTTACTTTTCTCTGTCACTCTTCATTTTTCTTTTTTTTGGATTAATTTACAGGTGACACCGGTGAGATCAAATCCGAAGTCAGAGACCAAATAAATGCTAAAGTCAGTGAGTGGCGGGAAGAAGGCAAAGCCGAAATTGTACCTGGTGTTCTTTTTATTGATGAGGTATGTTTTTGTCTTTCTTTTGTTTTAAACTCTTTTAATCTGGCATTTGACATTTCTCAAGCTTTTTTTTTTTTAAGGAAATGTGGAACATGGTCAAATGAAAATCCTTTTCTCTTTTCTTTATTTCCCTTTTAAGTAATTTTTTGCACTTACCTAATCGGCCCTAAAATCTGTGTGTATGATTCTACATGATATTACATTTTCGGCAGTACTACCTCAGCAAAATATTTTTAGATGGATGTTAGTTTTTTATTTTTCGGCTGCCTTCATTTTCCATTTAAATTTTTACAAAATTCACATCCTCGCTCATCCTAATTTATAATTATATTTAATATTTAAAAAACTTTATTTTTTATGTATCCATATAGCTGTAAATTATCATAATCAATCACTAGGTGAGGAGAAGAGTAAATTAAAAATTATGTATCTAACTTTCATCATTCTTCCAGTGTTTAGTTTACAATGATGTTTGCATTTCAGGTTCATATGCTTGACATTGAATGCTTCTCTTTCCTAAATCGAGCTCTTGAAGATGAGATGGCCCCTGTTGTCATAACGGCCACCAATCGTGGCATAACAAGGATAAGGGGCACCAGTTACTCCTCTCCGCACGGAATACCTCTTGATCTCTTGGATCGAATGATCATCATTCCAACTATACCGTACACGGAACAAGAATTGAAGGAAATCCTAAAAATTAGGTAATTGAGTTTGAAAACCTTTTGATGGAACTCAACATTTTCTGTTTCATAATTCTTAAAATATCGATCTAAAAAGTCAACAAATGCTTATATCCTCCATCGTAAAGTTTAGAAATCTTCAATCGCACCCATTACTTCTTTTTTTAAAATAAAATTTAGTTGGTTTTATAATACTTTCTAGAGCAATTTCATGGTTGTCTTAATCAATTGAGGATTTCTAAATTTCATTAGACTTTTTAAAAAATGTCTCAATAATCAGTTGATTGACTAAATATTGAATCGTTCTTAAAAGTGCTGAGGATCCTCCTCATCCAAGATATCCTCTCGAAACTTTCTATAAAAGATATTTAATAATTGAAAGGAATTCACAGAGCATTTGAGGAACTTCATTTTCTAAATTTTATGGCAACCCTGTTGCAGTTGACTTTATCGCTATTCTTAACTCATTTTTTTCCTATCTGCAACTTGGTTTGTTTCTGTTAAACTTGCTCGGTAAACATCTTACTTGGATGTAAACATCATTTGTTTATATCTGATTAAAATAAAAGTTAGTTGTAATGATTGTTTTGATTTGTTTCCTTATTTTATTTTGACGACAGCTCATTAAATCACGAATCTATTTATTGTTTTTTAGGTGTCAAGAAGAAGATTGTGAAATTTCTGACGATGCTTTGATCATTTTAACAAGAATAGCCTCCGAAACATCGTTACGATATGCAATTCAGTTAATTACAACAGCCAGTTTGGTCAGCAGGCGGCGCAAGTCTACTGAGGTGAGTGAAATTTATACAAGTAAAGGAAAGATATTCTTTTGAAGTTAATTTATGAAAAGAAGTGAAAAATTCGTAAGTGTCTTCCTTAGTATGTACTTCTCAGGGCAAACTTTTTTTCACAATCTTGCCAAACTTATTTTGGAAATTAATTTTTTATTTCAATCAAATGAAAAATTATAGGGTTGCTTCAGTCAAGGTTAAAATTTTTTTTTTAAATTTCTGTATTTTTTACTCTTTCTAATTAAAAATTCTTAATTTTATCAAGTTATTATTTTTTAGTTCAAACCTGGGAATGTCAGAGAAAAATGGTTAAATCACCTTTATTTGTATTTCAGAATGGGTTTGATGTTTTGAACAATAAATTTTTTATGAACATTATCTCCACTAATGTCTTTTAAACCATCTAGTATTTTCTCTAATGTCAGGGAATTTTACCAAAAAGCGTCTAGGAAATCAGGGGTATATCAGGGAATTTCATTTTCTAAATTCTGAGGCAACCCTGCAGCACACACAGGTTTCTTTTGTCCCTGTTTTTTTCATGATAAATTTATTTCTAACCCTGAGATGATGATTACTTTCATTTTACTTTTCTTCAGTTTAATTTTTATCACTACATTTAAGGGGCTTGGAGGACAAGGCACATCAGTGCAGTTTTTGCTACTTCGAGAAATACGTGTTCGAAGTTTCAAAGTCACATGGATCCTTACGGCAGAAAGAAAGTTCAGACTGACTTTTTGATGCTAAAAAATTTGAATTTGGGAGCGAAATTTTCGCAGAATATGCGTTATAAGACTAGTTTTACTTGAATTCATTAATATCTCAATTTTTTCAGAAACTGCACCTATGCGCCCAGTCCTCCAAGCCCATCATTAATCAAAAATTTGAAGTTGCACTTTTTTAAGCATCATTAATCTTCAACTTTTTAATCTATTCTTAAAATCCTTTTCTTTTTTCTAGGTATCAACTGAAGATATTAAACGTGTATATTACCTATTCCTAGATGAGCATAGGTCAACTCAGTTTTTGAAGGATTACCAGGATGAATATTTGTATGATCAAGGCGCAAATGGTCAAGTCACAGGTAAGGGTTGTTTCACTTGTATCACTGTCTTTGAGCCCATTTGAATTTTTCTTTTCATTTTAAAAATGCAACAATTTTACTCCAGTAGTAAACGCTCTAAGTATTTTACATTCAATCTTCATGCGTATGTACTCTTTAACTCCAGGATATTGTAAATTGCCTGGTTTTTTAGACTTTTGTAGTTATATTGTTACGCAGAGAACAATCCTCCAATCTGTAACTCTAAAAATCTCATGGTGGAGACAAAAATCATGTTTCCAACATTGGAGGTTTACTAAAATAACCGCTAGTACTCAAGAATGCAGAAAAGTCATTCGCAATTTAAGCCTCTAATTTTTCTCATTCTTCAAAAAGGTCAGAATTACCCATCAAGCAAACTATTTCAAATTCAGTTGACTTTTCTTTTTGTCGCAGCTCATAAGATTTCTTTGTGCTCTGGCTTGCGTGCTCAAGTATTAGTTAGGATGAATTACGCAAGATCTTTAATGACTGACGAATGCAAGGGTCCAGAAATTTCCCCCAAATTCAAACAACTTTTCCCTATTTCTAACGCAAGAATCTGATCATCGAATTTCTACTTGCTTCTCCCTGAGGATAAAATACAAATGGTGGAAAAAGACCCTCTATACCCAAAAATTGGATCTTTTCGTTGCTTTCACACAGGTTTTCCCCGTTATCATGTGTGTTCTCCTGTTTTCTCCATTTTCGAGGAGTTTCCTGCGATCTGGTGTGGCCGAGCCGGTCACATGCCCGAAAAGTTTCTTCTTCTCTGGACCAATTGCAATTAGTCTTGCAAAGAAATCTTTTTAACATGAGGTATCAACTGTGTAAAACTAACGTGATGTTCCTCTCTTCTTCTGTTGCAGAAACACCAGAAATGGAAGTGTGTCAATAAAAATTTCCTCAGTATTGTGGCAACAGGGCCTGCAATTTTAATCTATCATTATGATAAGTAATCCAAGTGGTGGAATTTTTTTTCAAGCAAAAACTTAAAACAGCTTTTTAAGCAATTTCGGAATTCCAACTACAATTTTCAGTTCTCCAACTGGAGCTGTTCTGCTTGCCAAACTAGACTTGATTTTCTAGTAGGTAAATCCACCTGTCACAAATGAGATTGGTTCCTTTTAAATGTTTCTTTTTTACCAAGTTATAAAGTCAAGAAGTATTTTTTTTTTTTTTATTTAAGTAAAAAAAATGAAAATAGAGTCGGTTTCAGATATTATTGTCCTTTCTATTTCCAGCGAAGTCATACCACTCATCTGAAAACATCGCTTTATCTGCTACAAAAACAGTACTGATATTCTTAAAATGAGTCGTACATTCACTTGCACACTGATCCGAAACACTTCCACCTCAGTACTTCTCCAAAATATAATTCCTTTGCATACCGTATTTTTAACACAATAAAATTTTTTATCATCCAAATAAAATAGTCTTTTCTCTCCTTTTTTATAATTTTCTCTCATTCAGCCTTTAAAAGCCAACATCTCAGTTTTAGAATTTAAGAATACAACAATTTAGGTATGAAGAGGGGATAGCCTCAGAAAGGGCGGATATTCGGTTTTTGAATTAAGAAAATTGTGCTCAAAATTTTTGAATTCTTTGATTTTATTTAATTCCCATGAACCAAGAAGATTCAGCTCAGGATGTACATATACAACAAAATCTCCTCTACAAACTTATTTTATATTCATATCTGTTTTATAAGAAACAACATCTGTCGTTATTACTGACTGGTGCATCTTTTGGCATCAACCCCTAAAGGAATTATTACCGATTTGACTTACAAGAAGCTCTGCTGGTTGTAGCGACCAGTATTGAAGGGTTTAACAAACGCCACAGAGGTTGCTTCAACCAGAATGCGGTAGCCTGTGTTAAATGCTCCTGCAAGGCCAGCAGTCCTTGGAGCTGTGTATATGCAAATGGTTTGCGACCAGTATGACCTCCAAGGAAGAATGCACCACTGAACTTCTTGTTTCATGAGAGAAAACAAACAAGGAAGCCCCTTAGGAACCACACCAGGAAGGAGTCAGTCAGAGAGGTTTGACATGATATGGCAACTTTAAAAACTTGCGTCTTTGTGAATAAAAAACTTAGAGATTCATAAGTGATTCCATTGATTTTCTCGGTAAATTTTCTTTACGAAGCATAGCTTCATATTTACAATGAGATGAAACAAACATTAACATTTGCAGTTTTTGTAAAAAATTCATGTCTGACCTCTCTCAACACTTATTCCACTGCGCACCAGAGGGAATATATGTAAACCTGAGGCACTGTGGCAGACAAGGTGTTAATCCCCCTCTCCCTTATGTATAATCCTCTAGACTGAGGCTTCAAAGAAAAGAATGTATGCTTTAAAAGAACATATGCTAAACAAGGGGAAAAAAATTAATATGTTTATTCTATTCCATTGTAAAATTAAAAATTTAATACTTTCAGTACAACCAATGACAAATAAATATTCATACTATTACAAATAAAACAGTATAAAAAACATTGGAGGATGCTCGGAACACTCATTCTAGCTCTTCAATTTTTCATAGGAATCAATACCAATTTCTTGGAATAATAATCAAGAATTTAGAAATATGGCTATGCCAACAGATTACGTTCTCTTGGTGACTTGTTTAACGCTTTTGACACAATCGTTATCACTTGGTAAAGGCTCAAAAAGAAAATGTCAAAATACATAAGTAAAATAAGAATCAATAAAAATCTAAATATTGCATGGAGTTTGAATTAAAAATTAAATTAAATAGAAAAACCGGAAGAGAATGAGTGTCTCAGATATCCTACACCTATTAAAAAAAAGCAATAAACATGAGTAAAAAATTGTGCTTTGAATTTTTCTAAAAACTCTTTCAGTCCAGCAACATTGATGAATTAATTAAAAGAAAAAACAACAAAAACAACCATTCTACGAGAATAAAACTCGAGTTGAAAAATAGACACTTAAGGCAAACCTTCAACATACACTAATGATCAACAGTAGGTATGACAGGTATATTTTAATAAAATACTAGTTTTGCTCAAGATTTTCACAGAAAACGGATGCGCTGCATGTTAAAGTATATTTTAGCTAATGGAATCTTGGATTGATTTTCTTGAAAACTCTGTAAGAGTACCTAAAATCAAAAGCAAAATTCAAACCTTAATTAGTCAAATCAAACTGTGAATTTTGCATTATAATACATAGTATTTAGTTCAAGCTTTCAGAAAATAATTTTTTACATTTAGAGGCTTGAACTACTGAATCTGTATTCTGCTTAAAATTGAAAGCATAACCTGTGTTTCAACTACGTATGTCCAACTTTTTGGTACATCTAAACATTTGCTGAAGATGACAAAATCATCAATGATCACTGTATAAATAATTCATCCAATTTAAGCAGCTTTTAACAATCAAATTAAAACTTAAGTAGCTCTACTTCTTAACCAGTCAGGATTAATTTGAGGATAAATGGCACACCTCATAATGAACGTTATAGAAAAAAAATTACCTGTACCTATGTGCACAATCAATAGCTGCTTAAGCATACTTGTGAATATTTCTCACAGAAATTTAAGTTTCAGAGTATCAGAAGATATTAATAAACAAATCGCCTGGCAAAAGACAAATAAATCAGGGAAATTGACAACAGAAAGAAAAATCAAATTATGGAATATTCAATTTCAACCACAGTATATTTGAAGTGGTAGTCCTTCTTTTAAGATTGCTGAACTTCTATATGTCATATCAAACAGAAAATAAATAGTAGTTCAAGGTAGTTAGTGGAGTCAAAAAGTTATGTGCTGTATTTTTCCCCCCAATTTTAAGTATATATTTTGACTTGAATTGCTGATAATTTATAACTGCAAAAGTAGGAATACTTGCTACCTTACTATACAACATTTACTTTTAATTTCCCAATTGGGAGGATAAAATGAGAGGAGGGCAACTGCATGAATGACCACTGTTTTTATCTTGGAAATTCAATCCAGGCAGTAAGTCATCAGCGGTTGACCGCTTTCTAAGTTTTGGAACAGCATCAGAGATCAGGGTGCTGGTCGTAAAAATCAAACTAACAAAGTAAAACGAAAACTGACTGATAGCTTTTTTAGGAAATAACCTTTAATTTTTCTCACTCATTCAATATTATCCACAGAGAATTCCAAAAATCGGTAAGCTTATTTCTTTAAAAAATTTAACAAGATGAAAGATCTTGGAATGTCACAATGGAGATAAGGCATATTTTGACTTCAATACCTTTTTTGGATTTTTTGCAACAGATGCAGTTTTCATACACTAATACACTGTAGGAGGTTGTAAAGTACGTAACAGAATGCAGGAGTAGGTGAAACTTGTCTTTTAAGGAATCAAACTTGTGATATGGACACCATTGCTTACTGCGGAAAATTTTGTTCATTACAAATCAAAGAACATTCAGAGATCGTACCATCAAGAGCCCAAACATTGACATTATAGACCTTTGAGGAGGTGACATATTAATTGATTATGAGGAAAAAGTGGCTGAAAATATTAAAAGCTACACTATTACCAGCTAATGGACACATGGCGCTTGGCTAATACTGCTATTTGTTGGGCAAATTAAATAAAATGTATCGATGGCCAAAGTGTAAAACCATGTGTCTCCATTGCGGTGTCTCAAAATGTCTGCTATTTTATTTTCTTGAGGATTAACAAACCAACTTCAGAGCTAGAAATTTATAAAGAATATTTTGCAGAGAGAAAAGAGAAAAGAGAAATCGAAGAGATTTCCAAGAAATTACATTGACTAATTAGTTTTTAAGGAAAAAATAAAGTATTATGGGAAGTTTGCAACGTCGCAAACTGAGATACACGGTTTCCCACTTTGACCATCCATATTAAAATTGATCCCATTTTTTCGGGACCTTAAGACTCTTTCTATGAAATGAAATTTTCTGTAAAAGACAGCTGTAAACGCCTTTCTCTTGGACCAGTCTCACAGAAAAGAAGGAACGACTATCTGACTCTTATAAAACAACAACTGTCAACTGAGCCTTAGGTACTACATTTTTCATACACCTGATGGTTCGACGGAGATTTTCAAGCAGCTTTAGTTAGTGCTAGATTTCTAACAAGGCTTAATAACAACCTTTGGAATTAGCTGTATCACAGAGAGATACCACTACATCTCACAGCCGCACTCAACATGGAATTGGGATCAGATTCCTCTTTTAATATCGATACTTTGACCCATTCTCGATTCATGCTAGACTTTCGGAGGGCATCTATCACAGCTTGGACATAAAGTTCATCTTCAAAAGATGCAGCGAGCTCAACAGGTTCTTTAATCCATCCTCTTTTGTCTTCAACAGGCAAAAAAGCTTCCTTCAGAGCACCTATCATTTTGAATAAGCCTTTCATATATGGTTTTGGAATGACATTTGTAGCAACCGGGTTTAACTGTTCGTATTTGTGCTTCATATCCTCTACGTCAAGGTAAATAACCTCCTCCTTTTGAGCAGTATTTTTGTACGCGTACAAGTCACCGCCTCGAACAGCTAAGTGCCCCAATTTTCCACAAACTAGAACCTCCTGATTGAACATTCCTGGAAGATGGTTGTTAAGCGTCACAGTTACGAGTGCACCATTGTCCATCTCCATTTGGAAAACACAAAAGTCAGGACTGGTTATGTGTCTGTGTCCGTTTATTTGATTGGTCACTTTAGTAAATGTTCGTACCACACTGTGAACTCTAGCAGCTCTTTGGGATATTAAATGGGAAACTAGATCAATAACATGACTGCCTACTAGTGTTAGTATTCCACCTCCCATTTTATCGTCACAAAGCCAGTCATACTTGTCATGAAGAAGACTACCCATTTGAACACGGATGTCACATACTGTTATCTCGTTTGAATTTCCAATATAGCCATCTAAAATATACTTTTTCATCTGAGAAAAGGCCGGCAAAAATCTGAGACTATGGTTCACTATTGATATCAGAGAAGGATAATACTGCGAGGCTTTGACCATTTTCAGAACATCATTTTGACACAGGCCTCCTGGCTTATCACAGAGAACATGCTTGCCAATTCCTAGTGCTTTCACAGAAATTTGTGAATGAAGATTTGGTGAGCAAACTATAAAAATTAAATCAACGTCCTTGCGGAGAAGAACATCATCAATTTTGTTGGTGTAAAATGGAATATTTAACTCCTTGGCGACTTCTTTTGCAGACTCGACCGTCCGTCCCCACAATGCTTCGATTTTGAACCCTTTCTCTCGGAGGAAAGGAACAACAACTTTGACAATGTTTCCCGTTCCAAAGATTCCAATTCCGGGCAACATTTCGCAAGCTATGGGAAAGCATTTACCAGATGAACATAGCTGATACACTTGGAGCAAATTTGGAACTTTCTAATGAGGTTCCGCACGCACAAAAAATTTGGGAAAGATAGCACACTGGTTGGGAATTATTATTGAGAAGGAGATCCGAATATCAAGCATTTTAAAGTTGATGACCACCGATGACTGGCTTGAAAATTAGAAAAATTGTAAGTCGGAAAAACCAAGAAAAACGGAGAAAAATTGGAACTTTTGGGAAAAGTGAGGTTGTGTTTACATATTTTGTTTACATTCCAATCCCCTTCCCCTTCAATCATCCCCTTCATCCATCCCACTCTCACATCCTCGTTCCTGTGTTCGGACTGGTTCGAAAAAATGCTCACACTAACTTGATTGGCTTATTTAAATTTTCCCGCCCATCTACGTATCTAACCAACCAATCAAAGTACGATTTTGAAAGTCAAGGGAATTTTGGAATGCATTTTGGAATTTGGAACGTGGAATTTTGCGAATTTGCTGATGTTTTGTTGTTGCCGAGTTGCTCTTGCTCGCTGTGTAATCTGCTGAGTTCGCCGTCCGATGGTGTGTCGCAGTGTATCGTTCGCCCTTAAAAATTTTATCAATTGACCAATATGTGCGCCTATTAGGATATCATTTCTTACCATTCTTAGGCTTGCTTGTGCCTACCCAATTTTTTAATCAGTAGATTCATTTTCCGGCGGTCATGGCAGGATTCTCCGAGAGTGTTCTATCTAAGAAACTGGACGATCTCAATGCATCACAGCAGAGTATACAAACTTTATCACTGTGGTTGATCCACCACCGAAAACATCACGTGAGCATAGTGAAAACTTGGATCAAAGAGATTCAAAAAGGTTCGTAAGTATGGCTTTATTATTGCTCTCTAGCTTCCCTAGTATTCAGGTATCGCGGTCTGTTTAGGTCCATGTTTAGTCGCATACTTGCCTCCTGGAAGGTTTACGCAACGCAAGTGTTGATCAGAATGCATGACTTAATCTAGTATGTTTCCCTCTTCGAAGATTTTATCCAGTAAAGAATGGAAATGCATAATACTTCAATGATGCGATTACTTTTAACGAGGACCTTCTCAGTTGCATCAGTAATCATCAATACTTACCTGCGGGCCGATTATTGAAAGTTTAAAGCAGCCGGATAAGACATTGAAATGCTACATATTGCATCGTTAAGATAGGGCTATGTCTTGTCTTATCGTGCTGACATGGTTTCAATAATCGCCCCTCTGGCTAGACGAACTGATGTGTATGATTACCCTCATAAATTGAAGATCACCAGTATCCCTAAATCTCCTTTAATTCCAGCCATGTGAATGGATTGTTACAATCAATTCTGGCCTCTTTTTGAGGATTTTCGCAACCAACTGCTACAGTGAAAGAATTATGGAATTCAACTCCACTTCATTTTTACCATTAAATTAGAGCTCCAATGCAGAGAGGCCATCTAGTATTACCAACCTGACATCTTTTTCACAGAATCAAGGTGTATTCAAGTTGTATCCTGCATCTGCATCGCTCTGAGAGGGTTAGGTTTCCTTGGGAATTTCTTACCTCTAATGTATATTATAGTATTTATCTGTATAAGTTTTATCTGTTCGTAGCCACAGTTGCTTCTAAATTTTGAGTTTCCTTCTTTCTTTTTACAGCGGATGAAAGTAGATGTTTAACTTTGATGTACCTTGCCAATGATGTAATACAGAACAGCAAGAAAAAAGGCCCTGAATATGGTAAGGAGTTCGGGGGTGTTTTAAAAAATGCCTTTGAAATGATGGGGCAAAAGAAATGCAGTGAAAAGACAATGAAGAGTATCACGAGGATTTTAAATATTTGGGAAGAAAGAGGAGTCTATGACAAGAGACAAATAGCGGAATTCAAGAATGCTCTCGGTAAGTACAATTTTTATTCTCTTTAATTACTTACCGTCCATTTATAAGCACTGTCCTCTTATCTCTAATAATTCCTTTCTCAATCAGATTACAAGGCTTATGCCATGAAAATGACTTCCCATAATTATGTTGATATGAAACTACGTAATTCCTGATTTTAATCGTCCAGTGACATGAGAAACTTCCATTTTATATACTCTCTTTCTTCTCTATTAAGTTGAGCCAAAACACATCACGTTCTTAGCACAAAGAAAAATCTCTTAAAACTTATTGAAAGTCTGAAATTCATAAATCTTCAAGAAAGGAAATATTGGATGTCTCATCTACATATTTTTAATTCTACATATTTTCTGCGGAGAGTTTTCAACGCCTTGCTCTTGAGCATTGACTCCCAGACAACAGAATCTCTTTCCGGGCTTTGCTGCAATGTGGACCTGTGGTAGACTAAGAAGGAAAGCGGTAAAATAATGCGCTCGACTCAGTATTGACAATCTGAAACAAGCAGAGATCCTTAGTTCACTTTTTTCTACGTTAGGTTGTTTACAGCTTTCTTGGCAGCTATGTTTTGCCTTCTAATTTCCAGTTTCAGTTAGCAGAATTGCTTTACCCATTGCACAGGACGATGGACCTCAGAAAGTTATTCAAGTGCAAAGGGTCAAGCAAGTAATGAGGAAATGTTTTTGGCACAAATGGTTCAACCTGATGATACCAGGATTTCACAGAAAATTGAATTCACAAGTTTACTGGGGGGGCGGGAGGGGGGGGTGTTGAATCCCTCAGCCGAGCTGGGCACGGCATGAAAGATTCCTTTCTTGAAGCTCAAACTTTCCATTTCGTTTCAGAATCAATTGTTACTCAATTTATTAGCCTGTATAGGTAGGTAGGTATTTTTATCTTTCCAATATTTTTTTTTAAATTTTTGAATGATGGATTTTTGTTTGATTCTGCAGAACCACCTGAGAAAGAAACACCACAACCAAGGAAAAAAATGCGTAAATCGGAAACTAGCGATGACAAAAAGAATAGTAAAAGCGGGAGAGACTGGGCGAAGGCTGAAAAAGAAATTGAGGTCGAAGGAATGAAAGAACTACATGTAACTTTGTCCCCTAGAACACCGCCTGGAGATCCTCCTGAGCCAGAAGATCTGATAAAAGCATTAATAGTGAGTGTACCTTAATTTTCACTTCTCTCTATGTTTCCTGGTAATTTAAGATTCCTGTTTATTCATGCAGCTGCTTTAAGAAGTCCTTCTTCGCTTAGTCGAAGGTGTCATCAACATCTCATGAAATTTTCAAAGAAAAAGAAAGGTCCGATTTTGAGTTATGTTGTTTTGAAAATAAATTTTCGCCAGGAATAAATTTTGAGTCAAGCCTAATTTTGTCATAGGTACATAATTACACATATTAAAATATCAAGTTTCAGGATAGTAGATTAGTGCAGGGTCCTCACTAGTCTGCAGGGAATCCAAAGCGAGAAAAACCAACAATTTAAAATCAAGTCACAAATGCACTCAAATGAGTTTCAGTTCTAGACTTAGCAAGGATAGAGTTCAGCTCAGGCAGGTGCGCTAGAAAACTCAGATACTTATTGAATAACATGAACCTTAACTCATTTTTTTCTAATCCTGCAATTTTTTTCATTCAAAGCTGGAGCATATGTATTAAACTTTAATCAAACCTCAAGACTTAGTTATAATTTTTTACTAATAGCGCTAATACTGTCAGTCATTCTAATGAAAGTCTTTTTTCCTGTTACCAGGATTTAGAAAATTCTGCCTCCAGTGATGCAGTTGTTAGAGAAAAAATTGCTAGTTTGCCCCCCGAGGTCTCGGAAGTAAATCTTTTGGCTAAAATTGAAGGTATGTATGGAAAAACAACTAGTTAAATACTAAAAACTATGAAATGCTAGAGATAAGGAATTTTGTTCTCAGATAAATATCACAAATTGAATAATGAGGAATGAAGGAAGGAAGGCACTCCTCTGTCAGCAAACAAAGTAGACACAAAGCTAAACTTGAGTTGAAAATTCATGAGATTTTATTGCGATTTGGCTACTATGTAGCTAGCAGTCCTCTGACTCAGTGCCTCTGTGTGATTTGTTTTGTTTTGCTATCAATTTCACTCTTGAATTTTGTTTTGGTTTCTCTCTTCCTCCATGAGTTGTTTGTTTCCAATTTGGTTCTGATGTGATCTAACCTTGAATTAGATATCAATCTTTCCCTGAAGCTCATCATTTTCTCTTCTTTTTTCCTATTTGTTTGATTTTGCTGTATCTGATCTTAGTCTCATTGTCAGTATCACAGCATCAGTCAATGACAGCTCTGTCATTGACATTTGTCATGACAAATCTGTGTAATAGAAGTGTTTCATGATACCAGGTCTGCACATTTAAGTAATCAACATTGCATATTGATGGCCCAAGTGCGAAACCATGTATCTCTGTTTGCGACGTTGCCGACTTTCTATCATATTTATCTTTTCTGTGAGAAGCTAGTAAATGTAACTTCTTGCATACTTCCTCGATTTTTTTCTTCTCTGGTAGCAGAACATTCTGCTTTTTCAAGCTGAAAAGTTGGCTTGTCTCTCCTCAAAAAAATGATGTACGTGCGGAAATTTTGAAACACTGCAATGGAGATACTTGGTTTTGCACTTTGACAATTGATGTCATTATCAAGCCTCATCTGCGTCTTCTCTTGATGCAGGCTTCTAAAAAATAACAATATTGGTCAATAAATATTACAATTGTCAGCCTAGATGAAGATAATAATCTAAAACTGTATTAATTTCTGTTTTGGGGGACTTTTCTGTAGTCTATGATCAAATGGACCGCGTTAAACAGAAAGGAACCAAGCCACATCAGCTATTGCCAAATTTAATCGAGCAATTTAATTTTTTACATGAAAACGAGTTAACGGATTTTTGTGCAAATTTCTGTGAATTTTCTCCATAACACAAAGCAAATTCCTTAAAATTTTCGGAGAAACATGCATAGACGTTCTCTCGTAAAGGCAAAAGCTGATGTGGCTTGGTTCCTTTCTGTTAAACACGGTCCAAATTAGAATTAGATTAAATCAATCTGTTTAGTGTGTGGTTTGCAGAAAACTTTCAATGTAAAAGTTCGGAGTCCCTCTAAGCCCTGATGCTTTGCATGAAGTATCCTACCAGCCAACAATTCCTTCCCAATGGAAATCTTAAACACAAAGGAAATTTGCAGATCCTGGAAAATTATGAATTGTCCAGCAACAAATAATACTGTTGGGCTAATTCTAGTTAAAGCTATTCGATTTCCCTGAAAAAATTGGAAGGTTTTTACTCGGTCTCACCGTATGAATTGGAAAACCAGGATATTTACGACAATAGTAAACACACACACGGTAAGAATGATGCAGAGATAATTCTTGTTGAACAATGTCTGATGTCTCTTCCACCATTTCATGTACTGAAAATTGGGAAGTCAGAGCTATTTTTACCTCACACAAGCAGAGAATGCAGGAAGTAAAATTGTGGCTATTTTGTTGAAAGTATGTTTTACAACTGATGGTGGGTGATTTAGATCTTATTGTATTTCTTTAGTCTCCTCAGTTTGCTTTTTGCATTCCACTAACATTTATTTTCATCTTTCCAGACAAATTAGCCGCCGAAAGACTTGCAGTGCAGGTTAATGAGGCTGTAACCTTATTAACCGACTACAACACCCGACTGGTAAATGAAATGGAAGAGCGGAAAAAAGTGGCATCTCTTCTCCGGGACTTTATTGTTGCTCAACGCGAACTGTTGGAACAAGCAGAGCACCGATTAGAGGTAAAGAAATTAAGCTAAAGCCACTTTTTCATAGTGCTTCTTTTATTTATTTTTTTTGTTTCAATCGCAGGGGTGAAATGCCATTAGCTGGGATGTCATCCTGCGCCTTTGCAACCTTCTGACCACCAAGGCTGGCAGTTTTCCTAGTAGGATTGCCCGCTGATCAAGGTTAATCAGTCCGCTCCGCTCAAGGGTATGCAGGGGTGCCAGTGTTCATATACTATTTTTATTCAGCTTGAAACTTTTCTGCTTAGTAGTGCAATATGAGCTCATTGTTGAATTAGAATTCAATCCTGCTACATTTGCTCTATTTCCTAGTAATTCTTTCATGATTGCCATTTCTCAAATTTTTCTTTAGCCTCGTGAGAGAAGACTGAAATTTTCAGACAAATCGGTGGGACAATTCTCCCAAGAAATAGTAAAATGTTCCTAGGAATACTGAAACAGCGCAAACAAAAAGTGTTCCTTTGTACCAAGCATGACAAATTGTCAGGCCAAGCAACCCGAACAAGCTAATTTTGTGTACTTTACCTTCGTTTAATTTCATTCTATCTCTAGCATACAACTTTTGAGGTAGTTTCCTTTTGATTTTTTCTCTAACCGTCCTTTTTTTTTTTTTGTAGGAGTATCGGGATAAATTGCAGAAAGTGTGTCTAGTGCGGCAAGAAATCAAATCTCACCTACAGAACCTTCCAGACCTAACAGCTTTGCCTGATGTCACCGGAGGGTTAGCGCCACTGCCATCTGCTGGGGATCTTTTCAAAATCCACTGAATTGCATCTCCTCCCCTGGAATAAGTCTTGTTAGCTGTTTTGCATTTTAATCCTGCAGCGTATCATTCACCAATGTTTTATTTTTTAGTTATATTATTTTACGCACCAAATTTTATTGTTTTAGTGAATTTGAACGAACACTAATGAATGAGGAACATTTTTTTACGTGTAAAAAATGATTGTGATCCTATAATAATTCTATTATTAGAAAGTTAATCTGATGGTTCTTTCACAGAGAGTTTATTGTTTAATTCCTATCTTGTGTTATGTTTAACTGTAACAACCTGTATCAAGTAAGTTTAAAATTTTAAGTGTATTGTTTTTCCTTTCATTTCTGGACTTTGAAATGCATCTCAAATTATTTTCAATAGAGCGGTACTATTGTTTTAAATTGATTGTCTTGTTTTATTTATCAAAGATAATTACTACCCTCTCCAGTGGTGGATAAATTTGATGAACAAATTGTGGATCGATTGGAAACTTTTCTTCTCAAAACTAAATCATTTTTCTCTACTTGATAGGCAGGCAGTGTTCGAAACTCCCAGGCACCAATGCGCCAAATTTTGCCTAAGGAATTAGTTGTGGCGCCTAAAAAATGAAGGCTCTGCGCCAATTTAGCCCAAAAAATTCCCTCCCCCCCCCTCCCCCAAGAAAAGAAAAATCCTAATTTTTCTGTCAGGATGATTTTGGAGTTTTCCTCTTCCTCAAGTTACAGCTACTAGTTCTTAACTAAAACATCTTGTGTCTAACTTTTCACTAGGCAACAACTCAAATTGGCCCCTAAAAATCGAGCTTAATGGGCCTTATGGCTCCTGAAACTCAAAGGTGAGTTTCGAACACTGTAGGCAGATGTACGATGTGCCCTGAAGTCCTTGTTTGATTCAGGCTTGAGGGTATCATAGATTAAGCTAATATTCTTTCCTTGCACAGGAGCTGATAACACGAAAATTGATCTTTTATATATCTGCACCTTCAAAATTAGTTTTCATTAAAAGAATTAATCAGATTTTTAAAATCTCATTTCTAAGGCACCACTGATATTTATGCCTCCTAACCAAAATTTTGTCTAACAAACTGAAGTCACTCACAATGACCAAAGAAAATATGAAAAAGACCCTCTCGCTCCCTTTCATATGCAAGTACTAATAGTATTGGTGATTTAGTGACAAGAAAATGGATTGGAGAAAGGGTGGCAACGCAAAAGAATACACAATTCTAGGTCACAACAATAAACCACTGATCAAATGGACGTATTTATGCTAAAACGGACTATGTTGTGTGCAACATTGTTCCTTTTAACATAAATACGTCGAAATGGAGACTGTAGTGAAGTTCAGGAGTTTGTGGTGTGAAGCAGTACATTACGTTGTACTGCAGGTTCTTGCACTTCGCCTAATAGTCATTACATTTTTTTGTCATCGATCTCTAAAAACAGCTGCTAGTTCAAAGGCACTTTCACTGAAAACACTTTCGTCATGTATGCCTAGCCAGAAAAAAATGATGTGTATTTCAAATTGATTCCTAAAGAATAGTATCATTACATCGAACAGAAAAGTGAGAAAAAAACTTCATGCAAATTCAAAGATTCTGGATCCTTGAGGTCCGATGTGAGTTCAAGAAAGGCTCTTTGCCAGCCTCATTCAGGTTCAGTCTGAATTCAAAACTGAGAGTGATGAAACACCAGGTAATATCCGAGTAGAGGTACTCAAGATAGCAAAAGAGTGCTCAGCTATTGCGCATCAGAAATTCCGCATAAAACTGAAAGATTTCAAACTAAGCCCTGTCAGAAAACCTCAACTTAGTAATAGTTTCTCTCAGATGGATTTGCCGTTTTTTATTACACCAAGATTCCAATTTTAAAATGCAAGGAGCTCTGGCCTGGAGGGTGTTGCGCTAGAGCACGCTGAATTTACTTGGCGCCAATTTTTTTAAAACCTGTTACTTTCTCAATTATCCGCTGGAGGTCGCTGATAAACAACATAAACAAAAAATTGAGGTTATGTCCTTTTTGTTTTTGTTTTCCGCATTGACGTATAATACAATCTAGACCGCGCATTACGAAATTCAAGCGAGACGATAGGCAACCCAGCAACACACATTAAGTGTACCGGCGAGACAATGGTGGAATTCGCGGAAATGCCAGTCTTGCCAGTGCCGTTGCCTGATACGGGTACACTTAGCTCGTATATCCGGCGGTATCAACTAGGCTGAAGGCGCGTCTTTACCCCCCTAGCTGTCTCACCTTCCCCGCCTAAAGTCGGGCCCAATGCGCGGTCTAGATTGTATTATACGTCAATGGTTTTCCGCAATATCACGAGTGAACAGATTGGCCCAGATATTCCGGACCACATTTCACCAAAAACTGCTGTTTGTCAAACCGCCGTCAACACCTACCAAGCGGCGAGTAGGCCTTCGGCCATGCTCGGCAATCTTCGTAACCAATCAGGTTGCCGCTCGCCGCCCGTAATCTCGAAGAAGGTTCGGCTCCTCTCCTACACCACCCTACACTTTTCGAATTTTGGATTTTGGCAATCGGCCTGATTCTCTTTTCCTTTTTTCCGTAATTAATAACAATAAAAAATTCATTTAATCATTACTTAGCGGCACCTTGTCCAATTTGTGCCTAGCGCCTCTACAACTTAGCAAATTTGGACGTAACCTTTTGAACATTTCATCCCTTCCCTTTGAAATTACTTAGAATAAGTACACTTCACATATCACACGGGACTTTTATCCGCATATTTACTTGGCTTTATTCGCAAAGGATCTTTTAAGAAGTAAATTCTTTCGATAACTTATTGGGGATGGTCAAGTCACCAATTAGAGCCCGTCATTCCATGCCATTATTAATACAGGACTAGGTTTCTTACCTATAATTTGATGGGCACCGTGAGAATAATAGATAACCACAGTATTTGATCCGTGCCTTAAAAAATGAACTGCTGGTGGCAGAACCATCTTGGTGATGTTCATTAGGAATTTTAGACTTTATTCTATTTTTTCAGCAGATGAACCTTACATGGTAACTTGTAAAGTCTTGCCTCATTTTCCTTGAGTTCTACTTAGTTTGATGCCAAAAAACAAGAAAATTCATGGAGAAACGTGCCTTAAAGGTGATAGTTCCCCCTCATACTTACTATCAGAGTTCCAACGGAAAAAATCTTGTTGTCATAGGTAAATACGGTTTCCATTGCTTCTTCAGCTGTTAATAGACAACTATGCGGGTTTGCTGGAGAATTTGGTGACTGCTAGGATTGTTAATTAGTATCTCCGAAGCCTGGTTGTTATAGCTAAACTTAAAGCATTGGCTTCAACGCATCGCAAAACCAGAACCTTGGAGAGACCAGCGAACATCCATGAGAAAGTGAGTGAGGAGCAAGGTACCTAGCATTGTACATCCGTCTGGTTTTCACAACTACCGTTCCTAGAGATTTAGGATTCAGATTTGCACATCAACCAGAAAGCTTTTCTCCCAATCATCTTGATATAGAGGCAGCTATGCAAGGCGCAGCCAGGTAGTCCAATGCTCAAGCCACTTAATCAACACAAATATTATCCTAACTTACAACAAAATGACTTGTTTCTTCTCTAACAATGGAACCGGAAAATGTTACTTTGAATGCGCGAGAACTTCTTTGGTCGAGATGAAGAAACGTAAATGAAGAAATGAGTCCGGAACATCTCGACCAGGCACAGGCCGCTTTGTTTACGTTGGGAGTCTGGAGTATCTCGCCGCAATTTCACTTGAAATCACCATGAACAGATCAACGGGGTAACTGATATTTGATTTTACGAAAGGGATACTTAAATGTTGGACGCGGACGAAAGTTCTTTTGTCGAGGTGAAGAAACGCTAACGCTGAGAAATTGAGTCTGGAACATCTCGAGGAAGTCCGCTCTGGGTCCGCTTTGTTTATGTCCGGACTATGTCGCCGTTCGTTTGTTTACATTAGGAGCGAGTTTGACACCGATGACAGACTTTGGTTTTTGATGAAAATTTGGTCTGGAATATCTGGTAGCACCCAAAGACATTATAACCAATATCACCACGTTGGATTTGGACAGATTTAGACAAGTGCGTAAAAGGTGTAAATGAATGAATAAATCGTTTACTATAGTGAATTTTCTCGTGTTCAGTAATATTTTCTGTCATCTAATTGATTTGACGGCAACGATTTGACATTTATTGCAAGGGAATATTTGACACCTCTCATAGAAAGGAACCGAAGGTGCATCGTATCGCAGTTGTCTCTAGAGCATTCCAGTGACATTAAGGGATAATTTCCCCCTAAATTTTCTTGGCAGTCATTCCTTCAAGCAGGTACAATTATTTTATTTGTCTACCTCACAACCTAGGGACTTGGACGAAGAGTTGGGCCTGTAAGTAACACCATTTGTGCAAGAGCCCAAGTAGAGCTTGCTCATCGTATGTTGGGACAGAATCCTAGTTTTATCTATGTCACCACTCATCAATGCTACCATCTGATTCCAAATGCATGTATTAATTCTGAGTGGTGCTAGTTTGGACCTAATATGAGACTGATATTTGTTTCGACGTACGATGAGTGAGCTCCAATGCTGTTGGGGGAGTAGTGCTTTGCTTCTCTAGCATTTCTACCGTAATACAACTGTTCAAATTAAAAGCTTTGTTTGTTCTGTAGTATGAATTACGTGCGCTCAACCTTAGTATTACCTTGCCTTTCTACATGGGCTGTGCCGTCTATGTGAAACGGTCATACTTGCAGATTTTCCATTTGTTGTGAAACTTGGAACTTTATAGAAACATTATTTCAGTATTTGATAAAGCATTGCATACATTCCTTTCTGTGTGGCTTTGTAAGGAGTACTTAAGTCTACTTTACAGAAGTAAGCCTCATGGCTAGATGTCATGTTAACAACTTTGTCTGGAACAAGAGATTAAGTAGGTAAGGAAAGAATGAAAGAATGCTAACAGAGTGTATTTTTACTAAACTTCGGTAAGTACAATGAATAATGTAAACTTCAGGCAATTTATAGACTTGTTTTGTCAGCAGAAAATATCAAGTAATTACACCATGAGTCAGTCTTTGCCACAGGAGAAAAAGGAATATACTGAAGAAGAAAGACTAGAATTAGCAAAGAAATTGGATGATGACTTGGATGCGTTTCTCGCGTCTCGCCCTAGAAAACCCTATACCGAAGGATGGACAGAGGAGAATTGGCAAGAGGTATACCTAATTTTTATTTTTTCAAAATATTTTTCCAGTTGTCCTAAGATAAAATATTGTATCCAAGATAAATTGTCTTTAATATTACCTACATGGCTTTTTGTAGTATTCTTGCTCCTGAGTTCCGGTTCTCAAATATTGAGTACTTAATGGGAGACTTAAACTCACATCATTAATGAGTTAAGAAATCTCTAATGTGCTAAGAGGTTGACCCGCCATGATATTTATATATAGGTATTTTATTTCTCACTGATTAAACTCCTTTTTTTCTTGAAAATTGATGGTGCTTTTTTAACTTTCCGTCATAACATAAAAAATTAAAATGTAAGAAGTGAAAATTTCAAAATGTTCTAATTCTAATGTCTAATACAATATTTCGACTCAAAGCGCCTTCCTGGTGATTTAATTACTTGAGCTCGGTGAGTGTTGGATTCTTTTTATTATCCTATATCATATTTTGCTCCAAAGTAAAATGGTTCTTCCCTGTTTTTTCTTCAGGAATTTGACAAGCACCCGTTTTTTATGTCAAAACCACCTGAAAATCCAACAGAAATATCACCTCTTGTTGAAGGAATTCAACAACTAAAGTATGATGAATCAGAAAACAGCCCTGAAGGTAACAGTGCCATCCGTTTAATTCTCATGTCATTTCTTATTATGATTATTTTCATGCATATTGCATTAAAATTTTTCTATAACTTGAGTTTCATCCATTCATCCTTCGTTACTAAAGAGTCTTTATAGCTGCAATGGATAGATAGTCTACATAGACAGTCCTTATTAGAAATACCTATTTATCAGAAACTCTAATTTAAGGATGATATCTATTTACATTAAATTTTTGTGAATGAATTACGACTCTATTAGGTTATGTAGTAGAAATCCTTTTGCAGGAAAATAAGGTATAACTTCATTAAATCTAAGAGCACTATGGCCATTGCGGCTATGTCATCTTCAAGTGCCAAGATAAGAAAAGCAGAGACATAAATGAAAATGAAACCCAAGTTTAAACTGTGTCCGCAAGTCCTGTTGGGTTTCATCCATCGCGACCAGCAAGCACAGTCTTAATTTATGCTTATGCTTTTACTCTTTTTAATTCAGCACCTGAACATATTGTCAGTCAAAATAGTGTAGTGTTTCTAGTAAGTTTTACTCATACATCGGAACAGCAAGAAATACTAAAGAAACTAACAGAGAGACTGAGTTAAGAAAACTCTAGACTAAAAAAATCTTCCTTTTGTTAATTTTAGAACTTGCCGCAACATACAAAAAAGAAGGCGATTTCTTTTTCAAGTGCAAAAAGTATAAAAAAGCCATAATTAACTACAGTCAAGGACTACACTATAAATGCAATGATCAAGAACTGAATGCAACTTTACTCAACAATAGATCTGCTGCCCACTTTTTTATAGAAAACTTCAGGTTAGTATAACTTCTTATGTTAAAAATTATTCCTGATTCTGTATTTTTGAATTTATTTTTAAAAACTCCAATAGAATCAGGGCTGTCTTGGTCAAAAATAACTTAATAGACAAGACGCAAAAGGGCAAATGACAAAAGTGTTAGGGGAAAAATAATTAAATTCCTTTTTACTTGCTTTCTAGAATGTGTTTGACCCTTCAAACAAGAAAAATTGTGTGTTTGAATTCGGAAGTAGCAATTTTTATCCATCCTGCATATCGTCAAATGTCAGGGAATTGTATCATACTTTTTAAGGGAATTCGATTTTCTAATTTCTGTGGCAATCCTATAGAATGTACATGTAGGAAACTATCTCTTTTTCTCTTCAACTGAATAATGGACCTCATATTTCTCCTTTCAGGTCAAGTTATAATGATTGTAAAGCAGCTTTAAAACTGAAACCTGATTATGTCAAAGCCATTACTCGCTGTGCCAAGTGCTGTCGGCGCATGTCTCTCTTTGAAGAATGTATAGAATATTGTGATAAAGCTCTGAAATTCTCTCCAAATGATCCTGACTTGAAATCCCTCCGTAAGGAAGCGCTAATCGAACTGGTTAGTTTTTTACATAATATTCAACTCGGCCAAATACCCCTATCTCCTCAAAATGTTTGCCAATATTCCCTAATTTCTTAGCAAGTTCCCATTTTTTCTTCAAAAAAAATTTCTCTCAAGATTTTACAGGTATCTAAGATGAAGCTCATCACTATTTGAGAACTTTCTTGAGTTGTTTGCCAGGCCTACCATTTCCTGCAATCTAAAGGCTCAGCAATTGTAAATTAATAAAGCATTAACTGTTTCTATTGGTGCGGCTTCTCAGCCTTGTGACAAACTTTGTCCTCCAAAAATTGCACGGTACCTTACATCACTTCGGAAGGTCATTATTTTGTCTTAACTTCCATTATTTTCCTCATGCTCTAAGATTTGCTCCAATTTGTTGCTGCAATCTACAAAGTTAATCTTTAGATCATTCATTTCTCACACTTCTATTGGATACTTCCTGCACTCTTTGCCACATCCTTGGAATTTTGTTGACAAAATGATTCCTGTATCGAAATTCAAAAGTTCGTAGGTTTGAAAGTCAGTTCCAAACTCTTGTTATTGCCTTTATTTTCTCATGTGGAGTAGATTGTAGCCATTTGAGAGCATCTCCTTTTACCTTCGTTTGAACGAAATTTTTTTTGGAACAATTGGGAAAAATTAGATGAAAAGCCTGAGATTTTGTTCACGACCCAATAAACTTAAATTTACGAAGTGCTGAGCACATGCCGAGTCTGATTGAAAGTTCTGCCACCTGAATTCAGTATTATCTCTCTAAAACAGAGATCTAATCAATGGTCTTAAACTGTAGGATGCAATCGAATTTTGATGGTGAAACTGCAAACCTGCATATTTCAATTACAATGGTTCAAAATATCCTCTCCCATTTTATTTTTTAAAAGGAGACAAGACCAATACTATGGCTTCAAATTTTTACAGAGTATTCTTTGTATAGAGAAAAAAATCACCGAAGTTTGCAAGAAATGAGGTTGAGTAGTTTTCCATGTGGAAAATGAAGTATGTATTACAGGAAGTCGGCAACAGTGCATACCTAAGTATGCGTTTTTGTAGTTCCATTATCGATCTCATAGGCTACCGTAAAGCTTTTAAATTGTGAATTTTTCCTAGAGAAACTGAAAATCCAAGTCAGCAAAAGATAAGATTTGGTTTTAGTCATTGGTCTCATAAATTTATTTACGATCATAATTTCTTCCAGAAATGTACAAATTACCTATACCCTTGCTTTTCCTTTTGGTTGCTTTACAGAAAAAAATGGAGAGAGACAAACGCAAAGAAGAAGTACTTAGAAAACGCAAAGAAGCAGCAGAGAAGAAATTAATCGCAGCAATAAATGAGAGAAATATAAAAATATATCCTGAAAGTAAGAAAACATGTTAATTTTATTTTTTAACTGCATAAATATTTTGTTGCGTGCGCAATTTTGAACCAAGTGATCCTTTTTTAGTTTCAAGATTCTCATAAAACTCACAAGACAATGTGAGGGCTCCTCTTTTACTTTAAAAAAAATTGTTTCATGATCATGGAAAATTTCTAAGATAACTTGGCTTCCGTGCGAAATATGCGTGAGTGACACATTTTTTGAGCTTAATAGAGCTTAGAAACATTCTCCTGTTGAGAACAAAGTTACCAAGTGTTGGAGCAACAGGATAAATTTACTTGATTTGACTTGAATTGAATGATTGACTCCAGTCTCAGGGTCATTTGCTTGATCAACTTCAAGCTTTAATCATTTTTGCCCTTAGAAAATAATGCAGTCATGGTGCTCGGTTGCTTTGCATGAGTTTGAGGGTGCTCGAGAAACTTGGTGGCCCTGAAAAGGGCCGCTTTAGAGTGAAGAACTGGAACAAGTCGGAGCGTGGCTGAAACGAACTGGAGCACTTGGGCAGAGCCAAGTAGTGTGGCCGCAAGACAGTGTCAACGTACGGTGAAGCGCTGAGCTGGAGGGTGGCTGCTATATAGTGCCAGGAAAAAGGCCACGGGGTGCTGGGTTGAAAATTAAAGTTTTTTCCATAATTTATTGCTTTAAGAAAATGAGGCAAAGTACCAACCAAGATGAGTTAGTACCAAGTTCTCACATTGTCATTTTCAGAAAAGAATACCCTACCCTGACTTGCTAGGAAATTGTTTGATGCAATGAATGTTTTCTCTTTTTTAAAAATTGAATGAAATCATCTCCAACCTTTGCTCCCTTGTTTTTCAGCCAAGGGTCTTACGTCAATGAGCCAGCTGGAACCTTGTTTCCCAGAGGTTGTCCAGAAGACTGTTCATTTTGAAAACGATCGGCTCGTATGGCCTGTCATTTTCCTTTACCCCGAATATGGAACTACAGACTTTATTCAAGAGTTTCATGAAGACTCCAGGTAAGATCTCTTGACTGCATTTAGCAGGTTAAGCTACTTTTTTGTTAGAAAATATGTAACCTTAGGAATCACCGAATCCACTTACCTCTGAGTTACCAAATAGTCACCCATTTGAAATTGGCAACAATTTCTTGAAAGGCATACAACTTATGGAGGCATCGCAACCGCAGTGCTGTAGAAATTTTTTTAGATTTTGATCTAAGAAGTTTCCATTGGGCCCCGTTTAGCAGAAAAGAAACAAGCCACACCAGCTATTGCCAAATTTAACTGACTTATTTAATTTTTTACCAGAGAACGTTTGTGCGAATTTTTTTGAAGATTTTAAGGAATTTGCTTTGTACCATGCAGAAAATTCACTGAAATTTGCTGAAAAAATCCGCACAACCATTTTCATGTAAAAAATTAAATTGTCCTATTAAATCGGCAATAGCTGATGTGGTTTGATTCCTTTCTGCTAAAGGCAGTCCAATCATCTCCGTTTTCTTTGACACATATTATAGCACTCTGTCTCCATAATGACACCTATTATAACAAAAATTTCCTTACGAAGGAACTATTTAGTCTGTGGAACTCACTGTGTTTGTGAGCGATGCTTATTGTAAGGGAAATATCTCAACAACAACAAATTGTTAAGTCCTAAACAAGGAAATTTTCAGTGCACACCATTAATCTATTATCAAAAAATGTCCCAAATTCCTGGTTATGTAACCTTTCCTGTCTAAAAATTTAGCTCTGCAGTGGCCAAGGTTTGTCATCGATAAACTCAACCAAATGTTGTTCACTACGTAAGAATTCTGTCAATATATTTATTTTGAAAATATTCAACAAATGGACTCTGAAATTTTGTCATGTTAAGTCTTCTATGTTCGGCATTAATAGTTACTAATGCAAGATGATAGAGCCAGACCCCATTCTAAGAAAGGTAGCAGAGCTGCTAAGGCTAAATTCTTCAACTCGTAGATGTGTCTAAACAATGGGGTGTAATTTACTTTTGCCATAAAGTAACTTAATCAGGATCAACAGTATCTATCATCATTTTGGATTTTTCAGAATTTTTTAAAGTGAGAAATGATACCAACAAAGCGCAAACCCTCATTATCGATTCCGAATTTTTGCCAAAAGTTTCATGAAAAAAGTAGTGAGGTTAAATCATAGGACTTTGATGAGTCACTAAAAATAGTTGGATGTTACAGTTATGCACTGTATCCTTTATGTGTTTCAGGTTTGAAGACCATATTGCAGAAATGTTTCAAACTGCTCCAGAATGGGACACAAATGGCCAATACACACCTGATAAGATACGCATTTATTTTGAGGACTTCGATCATAATGCTCACCGTGTCTCACCTGAAAGCACTCTGAATCAAGCCATAAGTCATCCAAAGTAAGTCAGTTGGAACTATAAACAAACTCTCCTTTAAACTTCTATGGCCATGGTGTTACTTATTTTTTACAACACTTTTTTTAGTTGTTTAAAAATTGAATTATTCCTCTAAAGGATGATGCTGCAAATTTTCATAAAGTTGTTTTCTTTAAAAAATGATTACAAAAAGTTTGACATTTCGAGAAAAAAATTTGACATTCAACGTCTTTATGCAACCTAGTACATACATTTGTCTTCCTCAGAATCTGAGATCCAAAATTGATTTATGCCACAGAGGGTTAAGTCCATGCTGCAAGCAATGTGTTTTTCTGAGGTATCAATTAGTTTCTTCAAAAGCGCTTAAACAGACTGTCCCATCAGTCCAAAAACTTTTGTCCGTATGATTGATAAAGATTGATATGATGGAGTGATGTTCCTCTGGTGTACCTTTGTTTCTGGCTTTGTGCTCCCATCTTTCATAGATTTTGGTACTCCTAAAATAACTAATAAACAGAACATGAGTCTGCTCAGCATTATTTTGTACAATAATGAGGGATCATGAGCTAATCACTCTCTTAAGTTCAGCTTCGCAATCGTTCTTTCTCGTAATATGAGCATGGCTCTTCAACAAATTTCTCAATCAAAGTCAAATTACAGGCTTGTTTAGGAGGATAATTTTTGTAAAAGTAGGGCCTTTTGTTAGTTTAGTATGCAAGGTAGAATTTTATCTGCAGCATGTAATTCCTTTTATTTTTTTTTTCCTAAAACCTGCAGATTCTTTAACATATGTTCAGTGTCAGAACTATCAGTAAATATAGAACACAGGAGATGATTAAGGAAATGGTGTTTCGTGTTTTCTCTTGGCTTCATCTGTTTGCTGGAACCAAATAATGTTTCTGTTGTTTTCAGTAGTTTTTTTTTTTTTGTTTTCCTCAAGCACAATCTCTCCATTTTCTGCTGTCCTTCTTTTGTCCTAATTTGCGTTTGTTTTGATGCTTTGATTATTTCTTTTGGGTGCGCTGCAATTTTAGATAGAAAAATTAGCTCTAGTATTGGCTTTATTCTTTAATGTTTTGATAAAGTAGTTTAAGATACTTTGGTTCTACTTCATCTTTTTTCATAGACTTATTTACTTGCTGTCTAGGTATCGTGTGGACGGAGGAGTTCCAGCTTTTATCATTGTTGTTGACGGCAGCCTTACCGAAAAACGGCTTCTAAGCAAGTGAATTTCTTAAAATAGAAGGGATAGTGGGTCATACCTCTATTCCAAGACATTAATTTTTTAAGGACATCTTTTTCTCTCACGCCAAGCCTCCATCTTGGTCGCCTATCATGATTCTATGTGTAATAAAAAATTGAATCTTATTCAAGTTTTTATTTTTATAAAAAAACAAATTGTAAAATTATGGTCTTAAAGCTCGTCAAATAAAGTTGTTTTTGTTGAAATTTAATATTTTGATTTCAATGATGATTGGTGCAGGTTTTAGTTAGATAAAATACATCCTCTTGAATATCGTAATTTTCTACCATTGGTAGGATAGAGCCCTGAGAAGTAGGTGAGACTGGTAAGATTTCTAGCGTTCCAACTTTATCGAGCACTTAGAGAAAAATGCGCTTAAAAGTTATGCTTTGGCGCCTAAAAGCTCGCAGCACTGGCCATTCGTGATGCCTGAAAAAGTCAGATGCAATCCGTCATGAATTCTTGAAGCAGCAATAGCGCACTAGACAGCACACCGCTCCTAGCGTAGGTGCAGTAGGGTGCAGTTCGAGATGGAAACAAACACCAAGCGAAAGAACCGGTCAAAGCGGTTTCTTGTGCCGTATGATACGTTTAGTATGTATGAAAGAAAATAATTTTGGCCCCTGTAAAATTGAAGATGACTCCTGAAAGTTAGGCTTGCCAGTCAAAATGGCTCCTGAAATTTTACCCTGACGTTTGATCTTCGGAGACTTTCCCAAGTTTCTTATAGTAGTCCTTTTTTCTGCATGTAAAATTTTATTCATGATAATTTTTGAGTGCCGAAGTGTATCTACATATCGACGGTGAAACTACCAGTGAACATATCTTGGATTGTGACGTTGTAGACTTCCTGTCATACTTTTTTTTTCAAACGGATAACTACTCAATGTCAATTCTTGAAAACTTTCGTGTTTTATCTTCTCTATGCGAAGAAAACCCTGTGAAAATTTCAAGAAATGATATTGATTGGTTTTCCTTCAAAAAAATAAAATAGGAGCGGAGATTTTTAAACACCGCAAACAAGAAACATGGTCTGGTAGTTTCTCCGTCGACATGTTAAGAGCTAAAATAATTAGGGCTGTGCGAACCATGCTTTTGAAGGGGAAAGCAAGATTGCCACAGTCAGGAAATACCGGGAAAACTGGGAAATATCAGGGAATTTTGAAAAGTCAGAGAAAACCTGAAAATTTCAGGGATTACAACTAAAGTGTCAGGGAAAAATTGTTAATTCACCTTTCTCAGCTTACTGGAATGAATTTGACGTTTCAAACAACAAATTTTGCCCAAAAACTATTTCTAATTATGTCTTTTTGACCATCTGGCGTATCTTCAATTGTCAGGGAATTTCACCAAAATGTGTCAGGGAAATCAGAAAAATGTCAGGGAATTTCATTTTCTAGATTTGGTGACATCCCTGGGAAAGCCAGATTGCGTTCAGTTCGATTCTAAAATTTTGGTGTAGAAAATTCCAAATTTTTAGCGCGGTTTTTCGTAGTTTGGCGAGCATTCACGGGCAGTACGATTTTCAGCAGGTTCTTGTGATTTCTACCGAATTGTCGCAATTTTGCGCCAACTTGCAAATGATGTGATTTTTTGCGGAAATTTTCAGTTTTGCGAAGTATCGCTCTCATATCGATTTCAAAAAAAGATCGAACTTTTCTGGTCATGAAGATTTGCATAATTTTAAAATTTTAAACACGTATTTCTTGAAATTGTAGAAACTGCACTCATGCACCTTGCCCTCAAAGCCGTCAAGAGAGATTCTTGGGAGGACCCGTGAAAATTCTCTAAATGTAGAGTCTCTCTTATATGGCACTTTCAGTACCTCACCGGCCCTTTGTTCGTTGCAGAGAAGTGGAAAATTAAAGCAATAAGTTCCACAAATATCTCGTTCTCGTTGTTCAGCAGCGATTTTCTTTACACTTTTACCCTTCAAATTCGCATTTGATTAACTATAGAAAATTATCATCACACAATGTTATCAAAATCCAATTTAATGCCAAATTTGGCTGGCTAAGTTGCATAGAACATAAATCAATCACCATGTTACCCAAATCTGTACCGTAGGTACTTGCAACCTATCTATTGAAAACGAGTGGACCAATTATTCCATTAGAATTAATTGATCCAAAATGAAAAATAGAAATCAAGTAGAAACTACCCAATTCAAACTGCAAAAATTTGTAGGTAATTCACGCATTGTTGTTTTCGTGGCAAAATCGAAGGCTAACTTCAAATAGACGACGTCTACCAATCAGCTCACATTGTTGTTTATCAGTTCAATCTGAGCTTATGGATGTTTCGTGCAAATTGTACGATCTGTGGTATGTTTGTTGCCTATATGTCTCAATTGAAGGCGACTTTCAAATGGAATACCTTTGCTAATAGGTCTACCTATTTTCTGCAAGTTCAACAGTAGTTTCTGGCGAACGATAAACGAGATGCTTGGATACAAGCAAGGCGCATAAGTGCAGTTTTTAAAAAAATTGAGGTATTAATGATCTCAAGTATAACTTGTCTTAATGCATATTCTGTGAAAAATTCGCTCCCAAATTCCAAAATTTAAGCATCTAAAAGTCAGTTTGAACTTTCTTTCCGCCACAAGGATCCGTCTGATTTCGAAACTTCTAACACGTATCTCTCGAAATAACAAAAACTGCTCTTATACGCGCCTTGTCTTCCGAGCCCCTCAAATGCGTTTTCTTTGGATAGACAACTATTCGCGCTCCCTGGTAAGTTTGTTGCCTATGCGGCGATATGAAGGCGACTCTCAAGTGGACGACTTATGTCAGTAGGTTTACACATTTTACTGGTTCTACCAAAGTGTGTGTAGAGCGTGCTGAATGTGTGTTTTTCGAACAGGAAACTGATTTCACTCCCAGGTAGATTTTACGCCATTCATTTTGGATGGTCTGTAGCGAAGGACCGTGGCGAGGCGTGAATGATCGATTATCGATATTTCTTCATTTGGAGGTACGGTACAGAATCGATCAGGGCCGGATTTTCCCACTTGCCGCCCCCGCCTCATTCGTTTTGAAACATCTATAAAAACCATCAAGTGAACGTGTCGGAGGGATGCATAAGACTCATTTACTCGTGTTGGACACATTTTTTGCAAAAGCCCTGTCAACACTACTAGCATAAGTTCACGGAACTTTGCGAGAAAGCTAAGTTCCTTAAACCTATCTCTGTGTGAACAAGGCCTTCCATAAGAGATGAACGTAAAAATTATGCAAGAACAAACATAAATGTGGTTTAGGTAATAATGTTAACTTCCACCTCCGCGCTGACCGCACTGTGTTTGGCGCAATGCGTGAAATATTTCTACAGTGTACAGTCTTGCAAGCGCTATGCGTTTCACGCCGACCGCTGCTGAACGCACTGTGTTTGACGCAATGCGTGAAGTATCCATGAAGTCTAATAGGCGCTATGCATTTCACGCTGACCGCACTGTTTGTGACGTAATGCGTGAAGTATTCATGCAGTCTTGTAGGCGCTATGCGTTTCACGTCGCGCGTCGGCCGCTGCTGACCGCACTGTGTTTGACGCAATGCGTGAAGTATTCATGCAGTATTGTAGGTGCTAATATGTGTTAAATGCCGACCGCCGCGCTGAGGGCTTCTCCTTTCATCTCAAGTCCTCGCCATTATTGCTCTCTGCGCCGCGCCGCTCCATACCAAATTGCGTGTTTGGTTTCTCTCTTAACTCGACTAATTAAAAGTGGTGTCTCTTGTATCACTGAAAGACGACAAAATTAGCAATTACTATTCTCTCAGGAAATGAGAGCTTTTTGTCGTCTTTTCTCGTTTGTACTTTTTTTTCTGAATCCAATTTTCTTTTTATACCTACATTTAAAAAAATTGCAAAATTTGCCGCCATGGGCCGCGGCCCATAGGGCCACCCCCTAAATCCGGCCCTGGAATCGATTATAAAGGAGTTCGTTTCAAATCCTCCGTGTATCGATCCTTTTTCAAAGGTCTAAAAGGCAGATCAACCGATGTATCGCAAAGCACGCCACGCCACTGGCAAAGGAGCACACCATCGTTTCACTTACCTTGATGGAGTGCCCTTTCTGCTCTTCTTGAAGGCTTCTCCATCCTAAGGTCTCGATAGACGATCAAATTCCCGAGCCAATTAACATCAAAGTGTCGGGAGTCATCAGTCTTTAACTCATTAATTTGCTTAATTTTAAAATGAAAACTTGGCAGAAATGTTACCTGTGGCAGGAAATTATGAATGATGCCACTCCATTCTGATCTTACTTTAGCCCTGCATAGACGATCAAATTCCGAACCAATTCCGATCAAAGTAGACATGCTGATGACTGGTGGTTACCATCTACCATCAAATTTCGACGGGCCGCACTTTTTTGTTCAAAGTAAGATCAGACCGGAGTACCATCATTCATCATTTCCTGCCACAGGAAACATTTCTGCCAAGTTTTCATTTTAAAATGAAGCAAATTAATGAGTTAAAGACTGATGACTCCCGACACTTTGATGCTACTTTGATCGGAATTGGTTCGGGAATTTGATCGTCTATGCAGGCCTTTTGAACAAAGTAGTGCGGCCCGTCAAAATTTGATGGTAGATGGCGACCATCAGTCATCAGCATGTCTACTTTGATCGGAATTGGTTCGGAATTTGATCGTCTATCCAGGGCTCTCGAGCCATTGCTGGACGTTGCTCACCACTCACCTGGATCATCGGTCCTGCATCGCTGCACCGCACCGGGCGGAGCTGCCGCCGATTCGGACGATCTGAAAGCAGCCGATATTCATCCTTGTCGCGGACTTAGCCAATACATCAAAGGTTGAAGAGTTCACACTTCCAACACCAAAGACGAAATTGACCTCAATTGATGCCCAGATCAGAGTCGCGCCTGAATGGACCCAACCGATGCTCCGATTGGCTGGACAATTTATTGACAAGGGTATCAGACTTTAATCAGACTTTAGTAATGAAATCCGTCCGAGTAGTGAATCGCAAGTAGGCTAAAATTAGACATGTTCGGGCTAGTCCTCGCGCTGTTCCGGAGGGCACCGGTGCTCCAGCGGTCGTCACCATCCTCGGATAAGCCCACTTAATGCGCAGTTTCAAAGTCTGGAAAAAATCCACCCCTGAATTTTCAATTTAATCGTTCAACAAGTTTCAAAGGTCACAGTTTAAAATATTCCGGAATAAACTCTTATATTCAAGAAAATAATCAAAA